CGTTTTTTTTTCTGCGTTTTCAGTCGTCCAGAAATGCCTCCAAGAAAGTTTTTCCCACTCTCAAAAGCTGACCCCCTTAACAGCAGAAACGAGCCCGAGCATGTGCCAGGAGTTTAATCCGAGTTAGGGTAGGAGTTAAAACGCGAAACGCAACCGCTGGGGGGGCTCTAATGCGACTACGAAAGGGAAAAGCAACGAAGCTCCTAGAGATACAATTGATGATCTATAATAGTAGTACCACCACATGGTCGACCAGCTCCATGCAAGAAATCTGCGAAAGGTCACACTTTTCCGCGAGATGCTTCGTGTACGAGTCAAAGCGGCCGTCACGGCGCTTCAATTCGTCCAGCTCCACATTCACGTTCTCGCGAGCTTCTTGAACGGCAGGAACGGCGCAGACAGCACGCTTGGCCTCGGCCTCACGCACGTTGGGGTTGTCGTTGAGGTACTGCTTGATTTGACGCACAGCTGTGCCAGACGTGGCCCCTTTGATGTTCAGGGACGAGACGAGACTCTGGGTGCGAGTGCCCGGAGTGAGAGTTGCCCAACCAATCTTCTTCTTCTTCTTACCATCTCCTGCACCCTGCGTCTGTGCTGCTGCGGCAGCGGGCGTCGCCGCGGGCAAACGACCACCGGTTGGAGCAGCTTTAGCCTTGGCCGGCATTATGAAGCGACTAGCGAAGAGAACTAGTAGTCGCTGGAGGTCTGTGTTTAGCTTATGAAAAGAGAACTAGCCTCAAGAAAGAGTCGTTATGAGTGTCGAACTCGAAAATTCAGCCTCGTCGTGATGACTTAGTTCGTGGAACCAGCTACGTTAGCCTCGCCCTGACGACTTAGTTCTTGGAACAGGCTACGTTGGCCTCGCCCTGACGACTTAGTTCTTGGAACCGGCTTCGTGAGACGACTTTCTTAGATAGTTGGTTCTTGGAACATCCCTAAGAAAGAGTGTTGAGTTGGTGATAAGCGATGAGGTGGAGTAAGCAAATGAAACTTACAGAAAGACTTCGTTATTTTGGCTCAAAAATCTACATAATTTCGAAAAATAGTGCAAATTAGTGCAAAATAGTGTGAAAAATAGTACAGAGTAAAGGGGAAAAGAGCTATTTTGTACTATTTTGTACTATCTGAAAACACTATTTTGTAAACAGCTCGCGCAACCTTTCCAAAGAGCTAGCGTTCTGACTGCATCATCTCCGCACTACTAACGCACAGTGGTGGGATCCTTTTTGCACAGTTTGACCATTCTGGACCAGAACCACATAGACCATGACCTTGATCGATGCGTAGAACACACCACAATCTCTTCTGCTATATGCCGCGCCCTTCTTAGAACCTTCCAAACTTCAATACGAGTTCGTTTTCGGGACTTTCTACCTTACGAAGATCAACGAAACGCGTTTCCCAATGGTATTTCTTCCAAAAAGACAAGGTAACTACTGGAAGAACACAGGAAGCACGCGGGTACAGATATCACCACTATGCGAGACTGAGCCTACTGATCATCGTCATCAAGGTCTTGCGATGCAGAACTACTCGAAGAGCTACTACTGCTACTACTATTACTACTTGAGGGGCTGGAGTCTCCTCCCTGTCTATATATGGCCCTCCCACTCTTATCGTACTTCAGTGGCAACACATTCCAAGCAATTTTGTAACTAACGTTCTCTATTTTCCCAACTGCGTCTAGCATATTCTTCTGCTCTTCAGATAGTTGTGACTCCCAAGGACCTAGTACCTGCTTCCGAAAGTTATACATTTTCATTTCATACTTCATAACGAATTGGATGGCTCGTTTCTGCGTTCCTACCTTGGGATTTCTTTTCGATACAGTAATTAGAATGAAAATGCGCCATGCCCACAACATGCACCAACACCCTGCAACCCGTTCATCAAGTTCCGTCTTACTCTTGGTGGTGAAGGTTCGCACACCCAATCGACCTGGTGTAAACAGAGCTGCTCCCGCGTCTAGCAGTTGCTGCACATGCCCCACTAGGTTCGATGGAACCACCGCTCGAAAACGAGATCCATCGGCATCTCCCGCCACATCAAATCCAGGCGGAAGCATGTCTCGCGGAATGAGCGACGTAAGCCGGTTTCGCTCTTCGTCACGCTCGATAGCGCCTCTCCGTGCTTCTTCCGCGGTGCGTATGTCCATGACGTTTCCTGGAGTCTCGGAATGAACTCCAACTTCTGGTAGAAGACGGGCTTTCGCCTTCGCTTTTGGATTCGGCTCTGGCATCAGTCGATAGGTTCTGGTCACGGTCTGACCAGATTCAGCGTCGTTTTCAGCAGCTGCAGTACCGGTAGTATCTGGAAAATAGAGGAGTATTCAAGATTTGAGCGATTTCGCTTGATTTGAGAGATGCAACTACTCACGAGCCGACGTCAAGAACATCACTGAGTGTCACACTTATTGCCAACATACAAGGAAGGGAGGTACCGAGACGCCTTGCAATCGGACCCAACGCATCCCCATCTACTTCCATTGAAGCTGGTTCCTCTCCCGCATCTACTTGTCCGGCTGACCCTGAAGCAAGAGCTGCAGCGACACTACTGGCACTAGCGCCAGCGGATGCCTTCTTCATCTTCATCTTGGTGAGATGTATCTCTTCAGCTACTGCTGCAACATTCTCCGTCTTCTGCCTTTTCGCTTTGGGAGCTGCTCTAGCCTTTGCAGCCCCTCCTTCTGGAGCCGCTTTTCTCTTCTTCTTGAGATGTTCAGGAAGTTCCTTTTTCTCCCCGATTTCGAGCTGATTCATGAACTCGATGCCTACTATGGAAGGGTCTTCAGGAATCAACGTTAGACAACACTCAAACATGCGAAATGGTCTTGTGTTTCTATCCACATCGTTCCGGTTCTCGCAGACAAACGCGGTGTCGTCGATTATCGCACGTCGACCGTACCCGCCTCTTGACTTTGCGTTGTAGTCTTCGTCAAGCAATTCATCTGGAAGCCCGTCGATGGTGGGAATACGATCCACGTCTGCATCGTCGGGCGAAGCTCTGTCGCGAGTGGTGTTAGAAGGTGTAGACTTGCCACCAACTACAAAAGGAGGCGGATCAAGAGCTGTCGCGTTACTGACGTCTACGAACTTCACCTCTACTGCACAATATTCATACGGCGTCTTCCGGATTTTCGTTATCACGTACGACTTCTGCGTATCCAAAAAGACCAGCCCTAAAAGCTGGGGAATCCTTTCATCTTCGAGAGCAAGATTCTCGGCATGCTTCGCTCTTTGTACTGCTTTCGTTTCCTCGTCGCTAGAGTCATCTAGTTGCAGATGAACCGGTAGCCCTGACTTCAGCTTCTTTTCCTGTTTGCGGTTGATCATGATGAAACGCGCCAGAATCCCAGCTAATCGGCTTGCCGGAGGCTTCTGCTTGTAACGAACGGTGTTGGCCTCATCCTTCGCGGAAGTAGTTGTTACCTCGGACCATTCCTTCTCTGTTTCTTTCCACCAGTTCTTCGCCAGCATGCCCTTCGTGATTTCCTCTCCGTTTGCCAAGCGCTTTCGTTCCACCGATGGTATCGGTCTACATGACGTGCAGCGCGTGAAGTACTCGACGCATGCTGCCTCAACTGCTGCGTAGTATTTTCGCTGGTAGATCAATGCGCCCTCACGTCGAAGAACGGCTTCGTCATGTTGTGTAATGTTCCAAGGTGCGTGGTCCTCTCGAGCACGTCGCGCACGCAAGTAGAACTGCAGGTTTTCTGTTGCTTCATCACTTGCAAACTGGTCTTTTTCTTTCTGCGACAGCTGCGTCCACAACTTCAATCCACTCTTCTCCTTCTCTTCCTTATCACCTGTTAGCTGCACGCGACCCCAGACTTCTAGAAACTTGCGGTAGCCTCTAGATCGTTTCTTCTGCTTAGCAGGAACAGCAGAAAACCGCTCCGCGTGTTGCGTTCGTAGACGCGCGTTTGTCTCTACAACATCATCAAAAAGCTGCTTATCTTGATCTCTGCATATTCGATACTCCCAGCTCCCTCCTTCTTCATCTAGCGTGCTTTGTGATTTTGGATGTAGATCGTTCTGGCGTAATTTCCAACGGCCAAGCTGCCGCTCAACCAGTTCAGTACTTGGCTTCGGTTGCCACACAACTAAGTCATCTACTGTCTTCACTTGTTGTTGTTCGTTCATTTTCTCCAAGAGCTTCTGAAGCGATTGCAAGCTGATCGTACCAGGATCGCTTCTATCCAGCCGCACCGACGTACCTAGTAGCTTGGTAATTTCTGCTTTTTTGGCTTCCGAAGAAGTACAACTTTCGTACTGGTTGAGGAAATCAAGATGGCTATTCTGGCCCCCAGCAACTCCATTGAAAGAGCACCGCCACGCAAGAATGCTCTTTTCCACTACAAGCGCCCACAGTGCAACTCTGCGCAGTATGTCGATATGGGTCTTCAAGACTTGCGCCTGTAGATCTAGCTGATTATCGAAATCGATTCCGGTCATAACGAACAGCTCGTCTAAAATCTGTTCCAAATTACGCAGTAGATTTCTAACGAAGATGTACTCGGTCTGGAAGAAGAACCCAACCTCTGCAGAAGACATAGGCCGACTCCTTCGTAGCTGCAGCCGCTGCATTACATCCGCGGGACGTGTGATAAGAACTACAAAGTAGTTCAGAACTACTGTCTGCAAGTGCGTGTCTGTTGTAAGTAAGGTCTACACGATGGGCGTAATTAAGGTTATTGAGTTTGAGTGGCGAAAGTCGGAGAAAAGAAGAAGTGGTCTGCGTTGGTGAATACATAGCAAACACGAAGTAGATGAGTGTCATCAAAGCGATGAACTCACTGTCTTATACTCATGCCAGACGTCTATTTGTTGCGCGTGGAGTAGTAGAAACATACACGCAAGCCTCTATCACCATAAGACACAGCTGTACCCTTCTTCGGAGATTCAAACTCGGGCGTTGCCTCGTCAACGTACGACTTGTGGAGCTTGCCGAGAACGAAGAACAGCCCCAATCCTTCTGCGCGAAGCATACGCATACACGCTTGCGCAACTGTGCCGTAGCGGTTCCATCGTAATAACTGGAAAACAAACCATCGCCGAAACCGCTCTTTTTCTAGCTTCTTTTCGCTCTTTGATGGTGGAACTGTCCATGTCTCTTCACCCTCTACTCTTTCGAAGTCGGCATAGCGAAAATATTCGTCCCGCTTCATGCAGTCTTTTTCTTTCTTCTTCCCTGCTTCACCTATGAGGTACAAGTGAGTATATAGTTCTCATATAAGCACGCGCATCAGATCAGTTTATTACTGGTAGGAATTCGAGTCTGGTATACGTACCTCCAAAGACAGAGATTGTACAGCAAAAAGCTTAGCTTCAAGCTCGAGTCAAAAAATATGCACGAAGTACACCGCAACTCGTCTCGTGTGACGACCTTTGTAATGTCGCTGTCATCTTCTTGCGCCGCTTTCATTGTATACGCAAAACCCTCTACGCCCACCCGGCGCTTTCTGATAGCACTTGACTCCACTGGAACCACCCTCGATACGCGGTGTAGTAGCGTGTCCATCAAGTCTGCAACTTTTTTCTGGTTGTTCTTGACGGCGAGTGCCTGTGTGTAGAGATAGAACGTCCCAAATTCATTTAAGGTGAGAAGCTGTATGTCATATCCATTGCACCTGCGAGCTCGAAGTCGATGAATACGAATGGAGCATTTATTGGACGCGTAGGCGCGTAGTCTCTCTTATACGAAAGCGAAACACAAGAAAGCACATAGAGGAGAGTCAATATGTACTACGAGGGCAAAGAGTAAGAAACTAACTCGAATACCATCAAATACGCTCGCTTCTCAAACTTCAAGCGAGAAAAGCCAGCGATCCTGAAGAACTCATCGCAAACTTCCTCTTGTGCGAGTGCCACTTGATGCGTGAGACACCTCAAGACCCACACAAGCGTTTTTTGGAAGCGATCATCTGCTGCCACGCAACCACCCGCATCAAGCGCAAGATCTAAGTCGCCTGTGTCAGTCTTCGGGGAAAATATGACAAAACTACTGTCGTTAGAAAGCTGACATGCTCGATCTAGTTTCAGAAGTTCTTCCTGCTCAACATCACTCCACATCACTTTTTCGTATAGTTGAGTATGTGTTGGAACATACAGCTCGCACCTAGCTGGTCCATGAACCTCACGAAAATTATCGGAAGTAAGCCGAGCAGACGACTCGTGAGCCTCTACTTGCTCCACATGCATCGCAGCGCCTGATGGTTGAAGCGCGTTTGCTGTTGTGGCAGTCGACGTTGCTTGTGGTACATCCACATCATTATCGCCGCTGCTGTTGCTATTAGTGCTGCTATCAATCAAAACACTACTGCCGCCTCTGCTGCTATTTGTGCTTCCGATGACTTGCTGCTTCTCCTTGTCAACGTACACCCTCTCAAATTTCGGCTGATTGATTCTTACTCGATCAACTGGAGGAGCAGGGCAACTCAAGTAAACCCTAGAGAAGAACTGATTAGCCCCAATGTCTGTGACGGTCTTCTTTTTGACGCGACGACTGCTTCCATCCCCTTCTTTTACAAAGACTCTAGGCCCTGGAGGCGCTTTCGACGCGTATTCGACTGCAACACTGGGAGCCACATTGCAAAGAATATGATGGAGAGTTGAAAAAGTTCTTTGATCAGAGTACTCAGCCTCGGGATTATAATGGCCTGTCGTACCAGATCCATGCTGATAGTAGTACATTACTTTTTTATGAAGAAGATCGTCATCAGGAAGAGACTTTACGCTTGTAGCTGTAGCTTTTTCTCCTCCCGTGAGGTTCGTTGAAGTTTTCTTCTTGTTCATTTTCTGCGCCTTCTGTCTTGGTAGTGCTGCATTTGGTGCTTCTGATTGTGGTAGGAAAGATGCAAGACGACCATCACCGTTCTCATCCTCAACAACGACGCGTCGCTTGCTCCATGACGCTGCACCCCCGTACTTCGCAGCTATGCGGTCAGCAATTTCATCTGCGGCTTCCACGACAGATTCATCTTTCAGCCCTGGAAAGACAGAGCTGCTTGTTTTCATTTTGACACAAGTTAGTATATATATTTATATTTATATATATATATATTTATAGATATATAAATGCCGAGACGTGTGGTAGCAACTTCTTGGAAGCAGACAGCCTATTAAATTATTACGAATGGACACTCTGCCAACGAACTTCGTTCTTGCAAACAAATGCAACCTACTTAGTCTCACAATAGAAACGAGAAGCAGAAGTCAGTGTCTGACGAACGAAAAGAGAAACTGACTGACTCTTTCTTATGAATAAACGACTATGCCCAGACGTGGCGGTGGCCAGCAACTACTAGCTAGCACCAAGTGAGTACATTTATATTCACAAGCAATATCAAACTAAATCAACAGTCGGCATTCATATTCATTCAATTTCGATAAAGGTACTCAGCAAGACTGTAGCTGCGCGGCCTTGTTAGGAGTAAGATGTAATTATCACGGAATAGGTGGCATCTGGTCACGCAGATGAGAGCGAGAGGGCCACCCTATGAGGCGGAAGGTGGTGAATCGAAGCCATGCTGGTTTTTTCTTGTGTGTCATCATGAGTAAGCTCCTTTTCAAAACTATGCATACTAGAGCTACATGCCCCCTTCAGGAGCGACTTTCTAGCCTATTTCTCATAGTCAAGCGGGAGCCTGAGGAAACCAGTTTGAGTTTGATATCGTTTCGAGATGCCCTTTTTGCTTTTTTGACTTGCGTAGACTTCGCTTCATTCACTTTTTCTTTCATCATCGATCTCCCAAGCAATTTTTTTGAAAGAAGCTACACTCTCATCGACTCTCGTATCCCTTTCTCACACTCAATACACTACACGAAAGAAGAGGAGCGACCTGTAGCTATGACTGGTCGCCGAGTGACCATTCGCCGAACGGTCGCAGTCGCAGAGACCACACACGCATCGCTTTGGCTTTCACAGTAGCAGCCTCTTTGTACCAAAAGTAAAAAATGAGGCAGCCACGACAGTGTCTTTTTCAGAGAATCCGAAGGCCTTGCTTAATGTTGAGCGAAGTGCTGCTGCATTGGAAATAAGACTCCTTGTGGGGTTTATGATTTCGCATGCTCGAATAGCCAAAGCGCTAACTCATATTAGTGAGACAGTTGCGGTATGTAAGTATTACTTAGATTATGTTTATGAGTGTTTCGTTCTTGTGTCTTAGCAAAAAAAAGCGATTTATGTGAGGTAGAGGCGTGTGCCGTGATTCTTGAGTCGGAGTTTTTGAAGGTTCGCCCGTCATCACTGGGGCATCTACTACTTGTCTTTTGTGTGAACTGGATTAATGTCCATATGTAGAAACAGAACGAATCGCGATCAAACAAACCAAAATGAAGCGATGATGAAACTAAAACTAAGACGAAAGATCGCCTATTGATATGCGTCCAAGATGACGCGACAGTGACACAGATACGGCGACGATGCATCTGCATGAGTATGAAAATCAACAGTGGAGAAGTAGCTACTTAGAGTTAGACTTAGAATAAAAAAGGACTAGGACTGCCCACACCACTCGACGGGAGGTCTGGCACTGACTTCGCTTCTCCCTCTCCGATGGGTCCGCGACCCAAATTCATTTCCTCTTCTTCCTCCTCCACCTCTTCTTCCTCCACCTCTTCTTCCTCTTCCTCTTCTTCCTGAGCCTCATCAACTATTTTCATCGGATCGAACTCGGATGGCTCGGGACTGGGTGGTGAGGCTTCGGCTGCCTCGGGTTCTTTCCTCGACTTCATCTTCGTTTCCATATGGGAAGAAGATTCCATCCTCATCGAGATCGACTTGCTGCCTTTACTGTTATTACTAGAAGCGCCCGGCTTGGATTTCGGTTTCGCTTTCATGGTTTGCTTCATTTTCATTTTGGCATCTTTTTGCTTCTTCTTCTCTTTGGCTCGATCGAAGCGAGGGTCTAATGGGTCTTCAGGATCCTCCAAGCCAAGCTCAGCGTAGCTGTCTTGCAGCGTAGTCGGCACCAGTCTGTTTTCCGCGATGAACCGCGCGACCTGCATATACCACGTATTCGCGCCATTCTTCTTCACGAGATCCGTTAGTAGTTCATTGTGATGGGATATTCTGATTATGAAATCCTCAACAGCAGAACGCAGTGCAACTAGGGCGTCATCTCCAATGGTGTACTCATGCAAGCCAATAAGCATCATTAGGCTAGAGATCGACTCTTTGAAGCCCTTCATCGGAATCTCAGATGGGATATCCCGACTCTTATTCAGATGGTGCTTAAGGTCTCTCGTCTTCATCTTCATCGCCTTCTTGGTGCTAGATTTTGTAACTGTAGTATTGTTCTTTTGCAGAGACTTCGACTTCGTCTTATCTTGATACTTCTGACGCATGGATGCAGCTCCAGCTGATGTTTTCCGTTGCATTTTCATGGTCATGTTCTTCATCGATTTCTTCATCGCCTGCTGTTTCACTACTACAGAAGAAGAAGAAAGAGCCGAAGGGGATTCAGCTGGAAGCTCGGCTTGCGACTTGTCGCTCCGTTTGGTAGTTGTAGTCGTCTGCATAGCTTTCGAATTCGATGACGAAGAGGATGAAGAAGAAGAAGCAAGTGTCGCTGCCTTAGGCTTACCCTTATTCGTTCTCCTCTTCCCATCTTTTGAAACAAGGCAGTTGTTTGGAATCGTTCCCGTGTGCGCGAGGTGACGGAAGTGCCAGTGGAGGTAATACAGATTCTGACCCTCTACAGTCGAGAAATCATGATGGTCAGCGTTGTCGTTCCAAATAATTTGGAGGCTATCTGCCCAAGCGCGCTCTGTGAGGGTAGACGTAGAGAAGATGATGAGTTCCTTGTCTTGCACAACGACCAGAACCAGATCCAGATGAGAAAGATATATTGACACAAACAACTACAAAGGAGGACTCATCCACACGCGTGCTGCAGTGGGAATTGGATAGAAAAGAAATCAACAACAGTTTGTTAGTTACTCAGAGAAGCGGTCGCAAAACAGACACGAAGGTGAAAGGCAGGAAGCACTTCGACTTCGCTGGTAAGGTAAGATCAGCGAAGCCATGAAAGTAAGTACGTTCCTGCTCTGTTTTATCGAGCCCAAGATCCGCTAGCCTTTCTGGATCATTTTGAAAGCATTCTCGCAATTCGTGGGCGCTGCTCACTTCATACACGACGGCTTTGCCACGGTTCTGCTGCACCTGTGAAATTCATTTTCAAAAAAGGAGGCAGTCACTGCATATTTATACGAGAAGAATAGGACCAGCAAACATCCAGAGACGGCTGAGTGTAATAATCAATCTTAATTTCTTCAGACTGTTCTCTATATACAAGGAGGAGGAGAACAGATAGAAACAACAGATACAGACTAACTTGCAAGAAGAGCATGAGGTTATTTATATATGCTTCGAGTCACCATGAAATACAGACAGCACCTGGCCAGGGGTCTCTGGTGTTTTGTCCTGCTTTACACCAGACGGCTGCTTCGTATTCCTCACTTTTGGCTGTTCTCCAGGACCAGACTGCGGAGGCGGTCCTTTCTGCTGCTTCAGATTGGATCGCCTAGTCATAGATGCACCAGTCTTTGCTACTGAGCTCATCGCCTTCATCATAGTCTTCTTTACTGCAGGCTTCTGAGTCGATTCCAGCTTCTGACTTGCTGACTTCTTCATAGCTGCCACTGCCAGTTTTGTAGAAGAGGCTGCAGACGTGGCGTTCTGGTTCTTCGCCTTCATCTTCATCTTCATAGATGTTGCTAGCTTAGGCCATGTCAGAGGAACGACAGTTGAACGAGCACGCTTGAAAGCAGCAATCTCTGCTGCTGTCTTGGATGGGGCTCCCGCCCACTCAGGTTTCTTCTTCATTTTTATCTTTGCCATTTTTTGGCTATGATTATCGCGGAGTGAAGTTCAATAGATGAGCGACGGACTGCTTGATTACGCATCACAAAGTTTAAGAATGTACTTTGTCAGATCTCGCTGGCCAGGTGGTGCGATGGCGCTTCTCTCTTTGCTAGACACATTGATACAAGTAGAAAGTAACGAACGCCCTACCTCCTTTCCTTGTTGCTTCTGAGTAGTGCACTTCTGAGTCTCCGCATCAGAGTTGACGACAGCCACAGTTTTGATAGCCTGTATTTGTTCCTCTGGAAGAGGCTTACTCTACACATGCACGCTCTTTCCATGGCCACTCTTTGAACACGGACGTTTCCTTCTAAGGCAAAGCAAATTAGAGCGATTGATTCTGTGTGTCAGCAAGTTCGCTGTCTTCACATTTTTTGAGTGCCTTTGTTTACTACACAAGTCCCTAGTCCTTTCTCTATGGTTTTCCTTCGTTTGCGTGGAACGCGGGTCGAGGTGTTTACTTATCTACGCAAGCTAGATCGACAGCCCACGTCAATCACCTGTAGAGTAGACTGTTCCCGGGTATGCTGCTCCAGTGCATCTTGAGAGATCTGCATTCATTCCGCGAGAGCCCGACACATACTCCGATAGACGTGTCCCCTATGCCATGCGAAAGCGAAACGTCGTCCAGGGTTCATGAAGAGGAGTTGATGGGAGAACGTTGGTTGAGCTTGTTGAAGTAGATGCTGCGAAGTGGTAACAAACTATTCAAAGAAAAGAAGAGTAGTTCTTCTACTGAAATGAAACGAAGTTCTTGAAAATGATATAGATGCTGCTTCGGGAAGCAAATATATAGCAGCTTCCTATTATTGAACGAGAAAAAGTAGCAACTTAGTACCTGTGTGGTTGCTGCATCGGATCCTTTTGAATTCTTCATGTTCATGAAGTACATCATCAGTTCCGATCATCCAGAAGCATCCTGCCATACACGAAAAAACTTACTTTTTTTGAAGTCCGTCCGGAAGCTCCACAAGATGACTCTGTAAAGGCCTTGCACTATGGGAATCACTATACTGCACTATCGGAAATTAGGAACTCCAGCACCAAGTTTTGTCATGTACCGGAGAAGCAATCATGTGCAGGCGTTGGATGCGAACGCTTAGCTAAACTCATCAGATGCGAAAAAGTAAAAGGACAGAAATGTAGTACGAAGAGTCACAGGTCTAACTGCGATGGTGTACTTCATCAGATTGTTGGAGGACGATGAGGTCTCATAAGCATAATATTCGATAATAGGAACAATTATTCAAGGTCATTGATGTATTTAACTAGGTACGTGTTAGTAGAGGAAATGCTGTGGGCTCGAATTGTAAGGGTGAATGGGGTTCATGACCATGAACTGGCTTTTTATGAATCTGTGCAAGTAGTTTGTGTCTGTTCAGCTCTGTTGTTGTAATACGAAACAAATAACTCATATTCATTGTGCCTTCTTCTCCTTGTTAATCGTCAACATGTCTACTAGAAGTATCGAGAAACGAATAAGAGTGAGTATGATGCTTGTTATCTTATTACACTTGGCGATAAGAAAATGGCATTAAATCGAACAAGATATTGATGCTACTACTAGGAAAACAGAAATTTTGACTGTAGTTACTTGCGAAAGAAAAGTTCATTTTGTGTAGTCTCATGAAAACTGTGAATATTGAGAATGTAACTACTGCCGTCATACTGTCGTGGGCCACAGCCGCACAGTGTCCCTAGCTGCGCAGCGATGATCAAACAAAAAAAAGCTCAATGTGTGTCCGAAATGGCTTCTTCATACGTTTCCACCCGCACCCCCAGTAGAAGAATATATACTAAATTTGTAATCTTCATTATGCTCATCGTTCGTCGTCGCCTAGACTAGCATTAGCCACAACATTTCCGGCATCACTGAATTCACAAAACAGTCGCCGGCTTTCCGAGTTCTTCGATAGATAGAACGCGTGGAGAGCAGGCACCTGGCGCCGCCTGCATCGTTTGCAGCTCTTCGGATAAAAGTGCATGCTTCGCTTTCCAGCTCTCAGCATCGCGCACTAGTTTCGCCTCCCGCTCTCTGTGTGCCTAGAAGTAGGAGGGTTTGGTTTTTGGGGAAAGGCGGTTGCAATCTCGGAGTGAAAAACAAAGAATGATGCATGTGTGACTGATTACCGATTCAAGGCACGACACCCTTTTTCAAGGCATCAATTAGTGCAGTCACTCAGACGAAAGTACCAGTGACAAATTGAAAACAGTGTACCTCCAGTGCACCCTTGACATTCCTAACTTCCTCCTCAAGCTCCAACTTCGTCAAGAGGGCTCTCTGCAAATCGGATTCCGTTTCTACACATCTCTGCATGAGAGAGTCGCATTCGGTGCTCAACTGCCGGTTAGACTTGCGCAAAGCCTCCTCATATCGCCTTTCGCGAATCGCAAAGATCCAAACGTAATAACAGAAACGTACCGTTTCCATTTCTGTCGCTCCATGTGCACGCCTCAAAGCACGAAGTAATAACGGAGGACACATCACGTGCTTCTGGAGGTTCTGAGCAGATGGTTTAGTAATTGTACTAAGTGCAGTCGTGGTTGTGGTTTCTTTATTTGCTGCATCAGTTATCATCTGGAGGCTCTCGTCTCCCGATGAAGCCATGGTCTCTTTCGTTGATGGCGATGAGATTGCTGGCGCATCTGCATCCGCCAAAGCGACCTTCGTACTCCACCTTATCCCTCTACTCGACACGCTCAAAGCACACCAACGACTAAAGCACTCGTATTTCGTGACATTTCTCCGCAATTGCCAGATCACACGGTTCTGCTTCTGGAGTATAGTTTTTTGGCCTTGGACGTCGGAGTTCAAAGAAGAAATGCGATCTTCCAAAGCTTTGGTTTCCAGCAGTCCACGACTACGCGCTTGCTGCAAAGTCGAAACTTGCTGTTCCAGACTCAAGATCCGCACACTGCCACCACTCGCACAGCTTAAACTGGAGAGATTCAACAAATCGGGACCACCAGAAGGTAGATCGGAAAGATTTGCTATTGTCGTAGCGTGGCCTCCTGCAGCTGCACCACCAATTACGCCCACTGCTGATGGCCTACTTGCGGAATTCGGGACACCGGATGCCGCTGTCGAAAGGACGCTTCGGTTAAGTGGAACAACCCCTTGATTGGCAGTAGCACTTGTGACGCGAGCCTGTTGTTAGACCTTCCACAAAAATCCATCCTGAGTAGAAGCATCGTCCTGGAACCTTTTTCCCCTTGGAAAGAAACGGTCTCCGGATGCTTCCGAAGATGGATTTGCGGAAGTCTTAATGCTGTCTCGCAGCACCACTGGCGGTAGGTGTGGTGGCTCTACTGTGCAAGGTCGTCGCTGAGGCGCTGCCAGATAAAAGAGCAGCTGCTGCACCAACATCGCCTTTACTCGATAGGTTGGCTTTTTGTTGACGTGGATTTAGAGGAAGGTTTGCTGCTAGGAGAAGTAGATGACATTTGTGATTATAATCGAAGCATTTCTGTTCTTTCGCTTATCTGTCCGTCAATTCGATTTTGTATCATGCTCATGAAGAACAGTGAAGAACAGGGAAGAGCAGAAGTCGAGGATGAGAAAGCCAAAACAGAATCTTCATCTTGATTCATCAGTTCATAACTTCAATTCTGCTCTACAAAGTGCTAGTTCCCGCTTCTTGGCTGCGTGTGCAGACAACAGCCTCCCATAGGTGCCTTTCAATTCTCGGTACAGGTCACCAATTTGAACGTCTTCAGTGCGATTGTTAGAGAGCTGTAAGTAGATGCAACAAACTCAACGGGACGAGGTATCTTTTCACTTTTTAATATCTTCAAAAACTTACTCCAGTTTATTAAGTACTTCTAGTTTTTATCTCCAGTTTAAGTACTTCAAATACTTACTCCAGTTTTTATCTTCAAATACTTCTAGCATCGACCATATTTCATAACCTTCATCACTGCCATCTTCTTCCGTTTTTCTAGAAGTATCATCTCCCGAACCTTGTTCTCCAATTGGACCACGCGAGACTCGGATGGATGGAGGACGGATTGGCTCAACCGCTCGTAGACTTGGGACTCAAGGGTCTGATACTGTTGTCGCATCATGGAAGCAAATATGGATAGAGAAGTACGCGTCGCGACCAGACCGCCACGTAGCTCAGAATTTTGCTGGTGGACTAGACGACCTAGATGAGAGTGTTGGAGGAGGAAAGGGTAGGCTGAGGATGAGAATGAGACTGAGTAGATTGGTACGACATACAAGCACATACATAGCAGTCAAACATTGTTGAAGACATCTTCAGAAGAAAAAGGCAAAGAAACGACAGTGAAGAGCGACATTGAGAAGAATGGCGGGCACTATGGATTTATAACAAAAAAATCAGAAAGTCTCTATACTTTCTTTCACTTCCTTTTCGGCCGCATCTAGTCTGTCTCGCAATTTCAACTTCTCCTCCTCTAGTGCTTCGTCGTAGGTGTCTTTTTGCTGTTTTAATCTATCCGCCACCTGTTCATCCCACTCCTTCGTGCACGCGTCAAATTCACTCTGCAACTCCGCTTGATGCTTCTCGTGCTTCCCGATTGCCACAGCATGACGCCAGGCGTGAAAAATTCTCAATAGAATGCGATTCCACGTCCAGCGTTGGGCTAAATCGCCAGCTCTAGAAAGGGCAGCACCGAAGGCGTCGTGTAGGCGGGATTTCTCAGACACGACGAAATTCTTCTTCTGCTCATCAACGTCTATCAGTAAAGCGTCAAGTCGAGCTTGGAGGGCTTCTAGAGCCTTGCCCTGGGACTGGAGCTGGCACCTGATGAGGTAGATGAGAGAACAAAAGTATGAGTATGTTTCGTTGTGAATTCTTTTGTTGAGAAGCAACGATTCGTCGTGAGAGAGAGTGAGAGACACGAATCTAGGTCTACTTATAATCCGCAAATATCTTGGTTAACAATCACGATGATAGTACTTCCTCTTCCCCAGCATATCCTTCTCTTCTCTTATTTTCTCCCTCTCTTCTCGCATTTCCGCATCCCTATTGGCAAAGTCCTTGAGTTTCTCAATCTGCCGCTTTCTATCATTGTCCAGCAACTGTGCCTTACGGATTTTCTCCCGGTCGTTCTTCCGCGTCTCGGACAGAACTTCACACTTCTGCTCTAGAAGTCTGGCTTCCTCCTCTTTGCCGGCAGCACGACGCTCCGCTTCTTGGTACAGGGCTTGAAACCTGGTAGGTGTGGAGTAGGGTTTTAGAAAAACTTAAATCATTGAAGTTGCGACGGAAGCTTTGGTCTTAACGAACGATTGTGGGACACGTTCATGTCGAAGAAGACAACGACAAGGAAAGTAGAAGCACTTTTTGTCTATGCAAACACGAATACCTCTCCGCTTCTTCTTTCGCACTTTTCGCTCGATCTTCTTTATCCGCTTCTGCCAACTTCAGTCTTTCTTCCCACGCATCCACTAAGCCCGCCTCCCTCTCTTCTGCCTCTTTTCTCGCTTCTTCTTCCGCTGCATGCCTGGCTCCCTCCACTGCTCTGCTTCGTTCAGATTCTAGTTCATCCGCTAAGCGCGCTGCTTCTCTACTACTGGCATCCATCTGGTTGTTTAAGCTCTCAATCGCCTCTGCCAGTCTACTACGCTCGTCGAGGGAAGCGGAGAGTTCTTCCTTTAGACGAGAGATTTGCTCTTGGTACTGGAAATACAGGCCTCCAGAAGATGAACTAGAAGCTGGAGGATTAGTGCCTCTCTTCGATGTACCCCCCTGACCCGGCGCACCTCTACTCCCTACTGGCGTCGACCTTCGACTCCCTTGCCCGCTCATATTGCTCAATGTCAGCTCCAACTGCTGCGCTGATGGAAGTTGCCCCGTACTGCTGCTCAGACTCAGATTGTAGTTGGGACTATAAGCATTTGGACTAGTGCCCTTACTAGCCTTTTTACCTCCATTACCAAAAGATGATGTCGATGAAGCTGCACCACCTGCTTGTTGTTGTTGTGACCTGCTACGTCGTCGCTTGTATGAACCGATGGAAAAACCCGTTCCACCAACTTGGTGATTGCTGTCCGCAGGTGATCCTAGAACGACTTCGCCATCATCATGATTGACACGATGCAAAATTTCCTGTAAGGAGATCTCGCCATCAGCCGATGATTTACTGGACATACGCGAAACACCAGGCGCCGCAGCGGGGGAGCGGAAGAAGGCTGTATAGTATTTGTTTGGATTTGTTATCTCAATCGTTGTGCATGTCGGGTAAAAAGTGGATGATTGAAGTGGATCATGGATGGTGAGGAAGATGGTGGTACTGTCATTTTTTTGTTCTTGAATGATCCTACATCCAGATCTACTAGGATGAAAAAGCACGTCCAAAGAGTCAGAACATCACATCAATAACATACCCATTCCCCCCTCTCCTCTCGACTCTCGAAAGCTCGCGTCTTTCGGACTACTCTTAGGACTGAGCTGCCATGGATCTGCGCGAAAACACTCCCTACGCCATGCTGTCCACAAGTTGCGCAATGACCGTTTCTCGAGAATCCGATTCAATCGTCCTGCTAAGGCTTCCCGAGTTCGTCTACGAGAGTCGGCCTCTCTTGCTTGGTATTCTTCTAAACACTGAGCCTTGATTTCGGCGGCAAGCAGTTGTAAACTAGTCTCGTCGTCCTTTGGTTGTAGAGAAGGAGAAGACTGGTCCTTTTTGGGCGGCTGGTCGTGTGAGAAGGACTGATCGTCTTCGTTTTTCTCCACCACGCTAATAAGATTAGAACCAACTGGAAGCTAATTCACGCTAGAGGCTAAGACATAAAAACGAAAACCCCTTTTATCAAGCCTCGTCGGTCCCTTTTATCAAAGTTAAGGTAAACGACATCTACCTAGTTGTACTTCTAAAGCACCATCACATAACAGCTGCTCCCTCCACTCCAGCATCATGCTGCGGATCCTCCATCTTTATTCCCCGCAACGACCCTCTCTGTCGCTTCATATCCGCTACTTGCTGTAGTCGCTGATGTGTGGGTAGCAGTAGTGCACCGCCACCACTACCTCCAGTGAGAGAGTTCCTTGTTGCCGACGTATTAGTGGTTGTTTTGGAATTCCGTGTAGGCGATTTTCTTGTCGGTGACCAAGATGGAGAGGAAAATGACTTTCGATCAACTACTTTACGTGCTTGCAGTTCTAGTTCTGTCAAAGGAATCGTTCGGGCTGAGTCCAGATCTCCGATAGCAGCGTCGATCGTATTTGTATTAGCTCCAGCACCTCCTGAAATTCCACTAGTTCTGTCCGCCCATTTGTGTTCTCTAGCGCTTTTGAGACTTATGCGGCAATTTCTTGTCCACTGTAGAAACGCTACTTCTAGCGTCAATCGGTCCTCCTTCTTTCTGGCCTCCCGCATGTAGCGAGCCGCGATTTCTAGGCCTCTAGTGTGCTCGTTGTCTCGAGATTCCTGCAGCCTACGAAAATTGGACAATCGCCAATTGAAAAAATGCCTTGCCAATGCCGAGCGATCCTCAAGAGAGGAAAGGAATCCTGGCGTGCCTGTAGTTTGCGATTGCAGCGGTCTAGTAGTAGTTGTATTCCCAACTGTTTCAGATTCTCTTCCAGATCCACCTAGAAACGCTAGGCCAGAATAAGACGACCCCACACTTTGCTTCGGAGGACTGTCTACTCGGCTACCACTAAACCTCGCAGATGGTATCCGTTCAGATGGCGTGGAAGCGAGCGTTGAAAACCGCTCTTCAGCGCGGACGTAGTACTTAGTCGCCGATGCTGAACGTGATGAACTTGAGCTCGCAGAAGAAGAGGCTCCTGTAGCGATACTAGTAGCTCCACCAATGCTTCTTCCACCTGGCGCAACAAGAACACTTGATGTGACAGGACTAAAGTGACCACCAGCAGTTGTGTTGACGTCATCGGCTGCCTCATCTAGGTAGGCTTCTTCTTGTTGCTCTACTCCTAGTCCTGTACGCTCTTTCTGGAACAATGGCTTCACACCAGCGAGAGATAGATGCAGGGGCTTTCTCGATCCTGTCCCTGATATCCCTGTGTTATCTACACCACTAGTAGGTGCAGACTTCCTAGTCCCACCTGTCGGCGTCGTGCTTCGATCACGTCCAGGAGACACGCGACCACCTCCCCGTCGAGGTGCACTCGCTGCTCGACCTGTTACAGGGGTACCTCCAAGATGGCCTCCTAGTACAGCGGAAGGGGTCCCTACAGTAATTGGACTCTCGCCTATCCCCGTGCCGTTCGACGAGGCACTGGAACGCCGCAATCCTTCTAGCAATTCACCTGCTGATGGATCTCGTTTTACTGCAGCTGATGTCATTTTTATGCTGTTGCTGTCTTGTCTCGTACTACTAGGTTGAAATCCACCTCTTGAGCTCGACGAGCCACGAGCAGCAGCTGGTCTCTTCATACTCTCAGAGGACTGAGCATTTGGATTCCACGTTGCTGCTACTCTACCAGTGCCACCGCTACTGTGTCGCTGCATGAGCATTTCCTGGCTGCGCGACACTTGTTGTGTCTGCTGTCGACCGCCATTCATCGATGAATCAAGGTCCGGGTGCTGTTGTGTCCGCTGAGCTGGGGCGAAGCTGGTTCTCAACAGATGGCTCATGCGTTCGTGCGATTGACTCTCCTTACTGGAAGATGCGGATCTTGTAGTATGTGTATGTTGTTGAACGTGACCACCAGCCACACGCTGATGCGGTCCAACGTCTCCTCCGGCGTATCGCTCTTGCACTCCACCTCCTCCACGAGAAATCTCTATCCTATTGCCTGGACCATGATTCCCTGCACCTCCTCTACTTGACAAGACTCTACTTGCTGGGGTAGATGTCCTCTTGTTGTCTGGCGTCAGGAGCTGCGCACGAGTTGAGGGTGAGGCATTGTGAGACGGTCGCCAGTTAACGTGGACTGTCCCATCACGCTTGGTTTCCTCCACTAGAATCCCTTTGCGCCTCACAAAAGGCGAGACGCGGCCCGCCGACGCAGAACGGTTCATGGTTTTCTCTGTGTGAGTCCGCGGGTCTACTACATCTAAAAACGATCTTCTTGTTGATCACATAATAGGTATGCATATGTTCTTTTCCTTGTGTCTATCCTTTATTCGCAAAAAGTAGAAGGGGGCAATTATTCCAGTATTCGGCTTTTATCGATGACGGCCTTCATTTCATGGGCACTAACAGGTAAAAGAAGCATCAAAATTCATTGGGTCTGCAGCTCGAGATACAGCTCACCGACGACGATGTCAGACAGTCGATCTCGGAAAAGTTTTGTAACTTTTACTTCGACCTTTTTCATCGTTTGCCAACTACGAACCGATGGAGACAAAGAACCGATATGAGCACTAAAATCACCTCGATTTACGAAGCCGATTGCGAAACCGAATGCGAAGCCGACGTCATAGGCAATCAACGACATGATTGAGAACAGCGTGCAGGAATCCCGAAAAGTTGCAACTGGAAACTTGCCTATGAGGACTCACAAAGAATATGAGTGTGGAGCGAAATGAGAGGGAATAGTAGTGTAATCTTCAAAAAGTCAATGAATTCAATGGCGCGACATTACACTTCCAGAAAGCGATTCGGGTAAAAATACAAACCTTCAACAGTATCATCACGACAAATATGTCCTTTTGTTTCTGCCATCTTTAGCTTCAAAAAAGCTAAGCCCACAGAAATATTCCACAAACGAGCCACATCAGCCGCGGATAGACACGATTGGTTGCTCCTAGAAGTACTATCGGAACCCGTCGCACCTGAAGGTGGAGCAGAATTCCCCGTGTAAGTGGTGAACAATGCCGCCACCGCCGCTGCCTCTTTGTCTTCTCGTTGTGAAACTCCGCCAGCTCCTCCAGCCGAATCCCTCAGCAGTTCCACAACGGTGGCGCCAGCAAGCTTGCGCACTGCTAGAGATGATGTTGTTGTTGTTGTTGTTGTTGTTGTTGTTGTTGTAGAACTAGAAGAGGACTTCGCTCCTGTAGCCCCCGTCGTCATCTGTTCTTCACAGAGCTTCCGAAACTCAGCTGGCGAAACTGGATCTGTCCCGCGTAAGCGGTTGTAGATACAATAGAGGTCGTGTATAAGAATTTGGTCAACTCCGGTTTTTGACAAGGCTCGTTCGCAAATAGAGGCGACGGCTTGAGGCGTTTTATCGGGGATCATACTGGCTAAGTCGTATTTGTTGGGTCCTTTGACGGCAGGAGTGTCGCTGATATTTCGTGATGGAGGGTCGAAAAGACATGAAGCTGAAGCAGATGGAGCAGTGCCTCCTGCACCAGCACCCAGGAAGCCGTAGTCTCGTAGCAGTTTCTTAATCGCTGCACTATCCTCATCGCCCTCCCCAACGCCTGACCGATCGCTCACACGTTGGGCTAGTTTTACCAGCACTTCTGCATTCTTTTTCAGACTCTGCAAATCCTGCAGACCTTCGTCAACGTGCTCTTTGTCTTGCTGCAACTGCTGTTTAGACCGTTCTAAAATCGCTGTTATGCCTCCAACGATCACCTTTTTCCGATACTCTGGATTCCGAAGTGCGAACGGCTTCTCGACCAAGGCGACGTGTTTCAAAGTAGACAGTAGTTGTTGCGTGGCTTCTTTTGAAGCAGAAAGGCGAAATAGAATGGCGGATTTTTCGCCATTTTTTCTTTGAATCGCTACTAGAACACGTTGATTCCGGAATAAGCCTGAACCTTGCGCTGCAACTTCGATCACCTGGTCTAAACGTAGCTGGAACCAAGGACTTCCTACCGCCACTCCTACTCCCCTTTGCGCAGCAACTGACTGTAGTGCCGGACTTTGCAGCAAAAACCTATGCGTCGTGAGTTTCGCTTTCGTTACAGGCACGTAATCGGGTACAAGGTTCTGCAGGTACAATTCGAGGCCTTGGAATTGTACGGCAGATGAGGTGCTTGTCGGAGAAGCAAGAAGATGTTCTTCCTCGTCATAGAGACCACAAGGCAGTAGAGTCTTTTCGTCGATCTCGCAGAGTTCCAGAGCGCCAAATGGCGCCAAGGCAGCACCGAAGGGGTTTGACATCGTTTTCTTTTACAGTGGTCGTATGAACGTGAAGATGTGGATGATGCTAGTTGCTTTACTATAACTATGGGCATGAAACAGCGCAAATAAAGAGTCCGAAAATTGTTCTTGGAAAATTTTTGCCTCCTACAACGTGATGAAAATAAGTGGTGCAAAAAGGGTCCTACTCCTGCTGCCCGCTATCAGAGTACTTACTTTTTGTTGTAGATCTCTGTAGCTCTTTTCTCTTGCTGCATAGGCATCTAAGACTCCTTGGCGAGTAGATTCTTCGATCACAAGATTCGCGAACAGACTCTGCACACCACGCAATAAACAAAAAGAGCAGCAGGAACGAAGTTCTATTGGTCAACTTCTTCGCAGAGAAGATGGATCATTCTTCTTCTGTGCATTATCAATCGTTCATTTTCTTACAAATTTCATTGCCATTCTCTTTTGCGCAAATTGATAAATAAGATGTGGTTTAAAAGTTGTCCAATTGATAAGGTAAAATGAGCTGGTGTTTGATAGTGGTCGGTAACCTGTAACTGTAACTGCTATATGACATTCTCTGTAACTGCTATATGACATTCTCTGTAACTGCTGTATGACATTCTCTGTATCTGCTAAATGGCATTCAAAGAGTTTCTAGAAGTAGTGTTTGTCTTGCGACCTGTTGTGACATGTTTATCATCATCAAAAAGGACTGAAAACAAACCTATTTTCAAAAACATCAAGATGTTTGTTACATTTTATTTCATTGTAATATCATGGTGCCAAAAAGACATTGTGTCAGTAAGTGCCAATAGATGCGTCATGGTCCGAAACTTTCTGTACAAGGTGATCAATTATCATACAAGGTGATCAGTCCCAAATAGAATAAGTCAAGTATCGGTTTTACTACACACAACCACCAACTAGCATTGCATCATCGCCCATCCCATGCTGTTGCCTAGAGTAGCTCGCGAGTCAATCCTGCCAGGATCCAACAAGCTCGGCTGTCTAACACCATCGACGCTAAAGTAGTCTGCTACCTGGCCCAAGCCGTAACTCCCAGCTAACCCACCACCTAGGGAAGGGTCTTGTTGCTGTTGAAGTAATAACGCTGTGGTCAAGCGGTCTTTTTCTAGCTGTTGTGCTTGTTGCTGTTGCAACATATTCAGATGAGCTTGAGCTTGAGCTTGTTGTTGCTGTTGTCTCTGTAATTCCAAAGCTGCTAAAGCTGCTGCTTGTTGTTGTTGCTGCTGTTGGGCAGCTAGAAATTGTGCTGCGCGTTCAGCTTCTGCTTGTTTGAGCAAAGCTTGTTGTCGTTCAGCCTCTTGCAATGCTGCAATTTGTTGTTGTCTGACAGCTTCTGCCTGTTGTTGTCTTAGCAATTCTGCCTCTTGCAGTGCAGCTAACTGTTGTTGTTCCTGCTGCCGTCTTAGCAACTCAGCCTGCTCTTGCTGCTGTCGCAAAGCCAGTAGCGACTGTTGTTGTTGTTGCTGCTGTTGCTGCTGAGCAGAAGCTGCTAATAAAGCTTGTTGCTGCTGCAATGCCAACAAACCTGCTTGTTGTGGATTCTGTTCTACTGGATGAGGGAAAGGTTGTTGAGCTCCTCTTCCTAGCAGTGCTGAATGTTGTTCTGCCGATCGTGGCAATATCAAGCCCAAAGCAGGCGATACTGGTCTAGGTTCATTCGTCACTTCGCTCTTTGGCAATAGCAAAGTCATATAGCCTGGCATGGGATCGAAGTATCTGCTAGTAGTTACCACTGGCTTGGGACTGCCCATCAAAGCACTCGTCCCAGCTTCGGTGTTCTCACTCGCCACAAAATTCCTCCAGGCTGCTTCGTACGCATCGGTTTTCTTAGTATCCACGACAGAGATATGAGCGGCACCAGAGCTACTACTCGCTGATGAGGTACTCGAAGTTGCTCTATTAGCAGTTCCACCTCTAGCAATCATTTGCATGCCAGGTCCACTTCCTCCAGTTGCGAATGATGGTGCTGCGCTTCCTCCACCAGCTACTTCACTCCCTGACGACGCTGATCCATGACCAAGGCCTGCCGTACTATCACGGTTAATGGCTTTCTCTTTCAACTCCCTTAACAGGTCGCGCACGCTTTGTCGTTCACAATTATCATCTGCACGCGCCAGTTCGGCCTTGTCTTCATTCGCACAGGTAGCCTCCTCCAACTGCGCGAGGAGATTTCGCATGACACGAAGTCCGCCGAAAGCTCCAGTATTGGAGATCATCCCCATCCCCACAGCTCCAGAAGGACTTGCTAGAGCCATGTTCTCAGTCGGGGAACCTCCCTGTTTAGCTGCAGAACTGACGTTCGACGAACCCTGAAGATTCTTAGAGGTTTTCGTCATCTCTGGTGGCGTTGCTCTAGCAGAACCAAGTTTTGGAGATCCGCGAGTTGGTGTCTTCAACATGGTAGCACCATTAGCTCCACCGCGTCTCTGTTGCCCTAGTGCTGAATCTTCTAAGAGCAAAAGCACAGCTCGCGGATCCACTACTTGTTGCCTAGAGGTGGATGAAGAGTTCACTCCACTACCCGCTACGATTTCCTGCTCTCCTGCTTCTCCTAACAAGTCAAAAAGCATCGCCTCCGCCTTCTGCTTCAGTCGTCGTGGTGTACTAGGAGGGAGTTGTGCTTGTCCTACAGGAGACGATTGGAGTAGAGAACAGGTCTTGGAGCTGCTACGCGATGCTTGATCTGAACAATCTTTCCCACTGAGAATGTAGTTCACGATCTTCTCGACTTTGCGGGCTTTCCCCTCTTTGGCTTCTTTTTTCCTCGAGACACTAACTGTAGCTGCGGAGGGGGCAACCGCGTGAGCAGCTAAAGGACTATTCCTTGTCGAGGACATCAAACTTGTGGCTGCTGATCCCCTTGCCCCAATGGCCCTTGCTTGATGTTCCACTCCTTGCTCTCCTGCTGGAGCTGATGTAGCACTACTTTGTTTCTTCCTCCCATCAACACTAACCGAAGATCTCCTTGCTCTCGAAGCACCTAGAAATGGATTTCCACCTTCTAGGACTCTTAATTCGTCTTCACCTACTTCCGTTTTCCACCACTCTTTACCGTTGTCTTTTAAGCGAAGCCGGTTCTTAAATTGCTGCAAAAGCATAATATTTCGCATATTCGACATCATTTGCTGCTGCGTAAATAATTGCGCCTGACGAGGGGGAAAAGAGTTGTGCGATGAAGATAGAGATTGAGGAAGTTCCAAGTTTGTATAAGAAAGACACTACAAAGGCGTGTTTACGAGCGCCAACTTAACACTTGACTCTGCATACTCGGCGGGAAAACTCATCCTCAAGAGAAAAAAGTTCATTGACCTTCTACAACGTGGTTTAATAGTACCTGGAGGTTCGTCTGCTTTTCAGCCATGGCTTCTAACGGTAGGCTCGGCATCGCGCTAACCCCAGACAGAACTCCTCGTGCGCCGTCATCGATCTGACATTTTTGGCAATCAAATGATAGATCGTTTTTTACCAATACGAGATTCCTAGCATCTTTCGACAAGGTGGCGCTTTTATGTCCTACTTCAGTAAATGCATTGTTTCGAAGTAAGTACTCCCTGAGTTGTCCAAAATAGTGGATGATTTTTCTGCAAAAAGAAGAAGTGGGGCTCATCATAATGAGGTAGACCGTGGAAGACCAAAGGATCATCATAAAAAAAAATCGACTTGCAAGTCATATAGGAAAATGACCCGAATAACTGCTTTTATAATACCTTCCCCGCTCCAACAGGCGATCCCGGATTTCTCTGCGGCACTTGTCCTACACTTTGCTGCTGTTGTTGTTCACCCGGAAACGGGACGTAGCTATTTGCTCCCTGAAAACCATTCTGACCTCCGGAAGTTGAAGAAAATCGACAAGCAGCATGTCCTGCGGACATAGCAGAAGCTGGCAGTCCCTGTTGCGGAACTCCCGGGTTTCCAGGATACATGCCACTAGCTCCTGAGGAAACTCCGGGATAGAAGTTGTTCGCCTGCGGCGGCATACCGTAGCCACCTACAAGTGCGCTCTGCTGCATCGGCATCGCTCCTGCTGGCATATAATTGTTTGCAAGAGCTCCATAGTTACCCGGAGCTGGCGGAGCACTCATTCCTCCGTAATTCATACCAGCCATAGAAGCCATTTCAGGAACTCCTCCTGGCCCTGGACCCATAGGATTTTGATGAAAATTACGACCTCCACCACTATTTGCTACACCCATCATCCCAGCTGGTCCGGTTGCCGACAAACCAGGTCCCACAGGCTCAAAATTCAACGTACTCGTGGCAGCTGGTGGCGCACTCGCCGCCGCTGGTGGATCATTGCTACTGCTACGTTTTTGTTTCTTCTTCTTCTCTGGTGCTGCTGGTGCGGAAGCGGAAGCGGCTTTCCGTCTGAATTTGTTCTCCGGCGTGTCCAGAAGGTGGTTGACGGCTCTGTTTGATCGAACGATACAGAGGATGGTAAACAATAAGAAAGAGTCAATTCTTCAGAAAAAAAATGTCCATGTTGACGACTTTTACAATGGAAAAACTCGTTTCACGAGCACGTCGAATAGATAATCACATGAGTACAACTGAAGTACCTGTTTGCATCCCCATCAGCGCCATCCCACAGTTCTTTTAGCCACTCGGGGTCCACATCCTCCCCAGCCATGGCAACGGCCGTCTTAACGAAGCTGTCGAACTCGGACATATTTTTGAGTTCGATAGCTTCCCTTTCATAAAGAAAAGACTACTTAAGACTTCGGCTTTACTTCTTGTAGTTCAATCAAATAGATGTACTTACTGCACCCAACAAGTACAAGACCAAACAGAATTCAGCGAATTAAAGTTGAATCAAAGGAACCAAGAACGGGGGAAAGAAAGAAAATTAATTTCGGAAGATAGAATAAAGAAGGGCCTGTGAGAAATTTTGGGTCAAAGAAGGGAAGAGAAACCTACTTTTGATCTTCATCTTTGTTGATGTGACACCCGAATAATAAGCAACTAGAACAACGACAGATCTTGTTTTGAGACAGACTTTGTTCTTGATATCCCTCCAGTTTTAGCTCCCTCGGTTTTGACACAGACTATTTGCGCTCACTTCAACAGAGGACAGACCCTAATTGTCTCATAATACGGCATTTCAACTTCAGCCTCTTCTGGATGGAGGTTTTACAGACTGAAAAAAGTGGATAGCTGTTCGTCTTCAAAGTACCTCCACAAGTGATAGCATCTTGTATCATATTCATTCTCCTGTTTACTCTCAACAGATCTCTCCACAGATCTTTTTGCTTCTGCTTCCTAGGTCCTCTCTGACCAGAAATTTACTAGTTGACTGATTGTACCAATTTTTTACCCTTCCTGGAACATTTTCGCGTGAGTTCATTCTTCACATGTATCGTTTTGTCTTCGACTACACGCCCGGGCAGCAGGATGATTATACAAGAACTGTCAAGCAACTTATACCAGTTTCTACTCCGCCTCTTCTTGTTATTTTTCCGAAAATTCATAAACTGAAACGTTTTTTGCATCACTATAACGACAAACTTTGCCGCTTCAAAGACTGCTGCAATACTCTTACTGAGTCTGCACTATCATGACTTTTCTTTTTGTTTTCATCCTTCCCGATCATCACCACCACCACCACCTCTGATTTCACCGCTCAGCGCCTGATGCAAGGTACCTAATCGGGAAACAAATTTTGCTGTCGGGATTCGCAACAGAGTAGCCGTCTCGGATTCGAGCTTCACGGCAACGGCGGACGTGTAGGATTGGTCTGCGGGAATAACGTCAATGCGGGTGTCAAGCGGTAAGAGAAGCGGCAACTCATTCAAGTATCCACCCACACGCAAGGTTTCGGATGATGACTGCTGTTCATTTGCTGCGGCAGTGGTGGCTCCTTCTTGTGTTCCGCATCCAGACTCCACTTTCAGCACTTCCACTTCTCCAGCTAGGACGACAAATGTTGAGGTAGAGGGTCTTTGTGTGATGTTTTCTGCACGGAGCTGATGATTCAAATTTTCACCTTGTTCCTGCAACAACGTGGTAAGAGTAAGATCATCTTGCAGATGAAACACTGTCCTCTGATCATGAGCGTCACCTGGTTTCTCTTTTTGGTCAAGTTGTTCTTTCTCCTCGTTTCCGCGCTTTTCCAAATTTACTACCTCTGAAAAGCTAACGATTTCTTCCAACTGATTCTTGCTCAAACTACGAAAGAGCGGCGAATCGGATAGCACCGTCACGGCTGAAGCACGCTCTCGACGGAAGGCTTTCATTAGAACTACTGAGGGGAATCCATGTTCAGCAGCTTCTGAGGCCCCCTTTTTCCTTTGAAAACGGGAACGAAATGCCCGTGGAGTTGTTTTCCTCCTTGTAGCCTTAATTTAAGCAAGATCATCAGGAAAACAGCAGCTGGATAATGATGAGACGCCATGTTGGATGACGAGGGAGATCCTCCATCAAGGTGGTTTAGGGTTTCACTGATGCTAGGGGTGTTCAAATCATCGCTGTTGTCCGGTTCTTCTTGAGCAGCAGTTGAATTCAAGTTTAGCTGCTCTTCTCCATTTTCATTTCCTCCTTGTTGTAATTCAGCCTCGTTCCTAGAAGTACTCGTCAAACTCTGATTGCCACCGGAAGGACGATCTACTTTATTGCGAGGTGGATCCCTCAGTTCCCAGAAAATAGCCCTATTGTCCGTTTTGAGAAGTGGTAGCGAAGATTGATCTTGCGCATCTTGAATTGCACTAGTACCGTTTTGGTCGTCTTGTACTCCACGATCATCATCGTGATGATCTCCCTGTCTATAGTGGTCACCACCTAGCAAAGATCGTACAGCCGATCGCGCCAAGGCCTGTCGAAGAGTTCGCGACATCTCGATAAACCCCTGCCGATGAACCAAGTTCGTCTGCATACTTGATAGATTGACATCACTGCCGCCACCTCCGGCACCCGCATGCTCTGCATCCGCATGTTCAGAACCTTCATGCTCCCTCGTCATGTGACTACTCTTACTGGCACTAGCGTTCCGGTCGGCTGCCAGCGACGGACGTTTGCTGGCAGTCAGACCTTTCTGAAAGGCCAACATCGCTTCTTGTCGTGCGGAGGCGTAGTCTTCCATCACCGTGTGCAGGTCGAGAGCGTCGTATGAGAGAGGTGCTGGAAACACCGCCGCAAGTAACGAGTCTTCGGCTGCACCCACTTTTTCATCCAAAGGTACGGATCTGCTCTCGGTGTAGCTTCTCGTCCTGCTCTCTTGTGCAGTTAACCAATGACCCTGCTCTCGCTGTAGTTTCCCGTCCTCAATAAAGCACACTGGTGTCCGCAGTTTAACAGACGCGTCTGCGTCTAGCTCACGCTTGCGAAACAAAACCATAAGCGAATCAAAAAAGCCTCCGTCACTGCCGCAGTGCTCTCTCATCCCTTGGAAAAAAGCTGCATTTCGCAGCGAACTCCGACTCAGCTTGTCGAAACTCGCATGGTCTCCCGAATCTGTCTTTAGAAGCGAGGGTAAGATGTCCTCAGGCGAGTCTGCCTCTGAAAACTCATGCAGCCTATTCAACACCATATTTGTTTGCGAATCCGAACCCGTGCTGCTGCGGTGTCCTTCATCGAAGTGTACGGACGACAAAAAGTACTCAGCTGCGACAGCATAGTCGCGCCATGTAGGTTGGACAGCTCTCGGTTCCACGTTTTTCGAGCGGGTTCCGTCTTCGTCCGTGTCGCCACGCTCGTCTCCCACATCATGGTGATCTTCAGTAGACTTTTCCTTGACCTCCGGATCTGCTATGGCTCCTACCCCAGACTTCTCCCCCTCCGCACGCCTTACGTCATCTCCTGTCAGTCCGAAGCCGGCCCCCGGGCCGCTAGCCCCTCTGTTGTTCACCACCGCCCGATGCACCATACCAGCGATCTCTCGGAGGTTTTTTTGCGTTGCGCTTTCCTTGCGTTTCAAGGACTTGTTCTCCGCCAACACTGGACCTAGGGTGTCAACCGTGCCTGGATGGGCCACAAGACATTGCTCGAGGTAGCCTACGATGTCTTCTGGCTCCTCGGCGATCGCACTCGTGGCCAAAGCGACGAGGAGCGCGTGCGCACGCGTCTCCATTTCGGGAGAAGCGGCCGGAGGTGATGAGCTCATGTTTTTACAGGTCACCTGCAAAATGTACTTGATTTTCGTGTTTAGAAGCAGGGATGGCAATGCGATTGGGAAGTAGCTGTACTTAAAACCCTCTCTCTCTGATCTCATGAATAGCTAGCCACGTCGAGTCGGAGATTCCTTTTCCGTCCCTTTTCTCATCTCTCACACAAGTCCTGCAACGGTTCTCCTCAAGCTTATTTTTTCACGCGGTTACCAAAGGGGGAACAACACAACACCATAGGCCACCTCGGACGGGACCTCGCGCAGCGACGACCCGCTGCCGTTTCATTTTGTTCTTTCGCGTTCTCCTTCTTGTGAAAGAAGTGCCTGAAATACAAGGAAAGCGCAAACTGCCGAAGCAGAGTGCGCTGATGTGCCTTAAGCATGCGTGGTTTCTTATGAGGTTTCTTCTGAGTTCTGGACGTCAAGCGACCACACTCAACCACACAAGAGTTTTAGTGAAACCCCAATGCCGTCCACTTATCACCTTGTTGGTAGATTGATTATCCAATGACCGATCCAGCGAGTACCTTCCAACGGATAAACAATCATCCACGGAAAATAGTAGTAGGAAGACACCAGTTTGTTTTAAGAAGTGCGTCAATGAAATTTGAATCTAAAAAATCTTGAGAATAATTTCTATTTCTCATCGTCCAACAACCTTTACGCCCTCCCCTAGTGAAGGAAGTTGGAGGAAAAGACTATCTTTCTGAGTTTCTTTGCATCCCCTCAAGAACTCAAATTCTACATTCGAAGTATTCATTTCGTGCTAAAAGTCATCAACCATGATTGACTCATCCATGACGTTCTTCGGCTGTCCCCTTCACAGGTTGCTGCTGCAAGTCTCCAAAGACGACATGGAAAAGAAAAAATCGCCGCGAGGTGTGATGAATTTCCGGAAGAGTTACCGTCTGCTCAGCACAGCTCGCGTAGATGATACCCACTCGTGTTCATGTCAGTATGTAGATCTCCAGATTATTCCGCCTCCTATTGGTGTGTACTACTTTCTACTACACGGTTCATGAGTCGGAGATACTTCGTGCGCGTCTCCTTCTCCTTCTTGCTTCTCACGCGCCAAAAAAAGCACTTAAGCGAGCTGACCGCAGTCGGCGACAACGACCGGCTTGGCGGTTTTTCCACTCTGGGAACCGACGGCCTCGATCTTCTTGACGATGTCGAAACCTAGTACATAGAGGTTGTTTATGCTAGTTCTCATGACATCACCAGAAAATCTCTAGTAAATGTAGATAACCTCCTCTTTTACTCACTGCGTCACGCTCACGATGTCAACTTCTGTCTCCTCTACTGATTTTTTCTCAAAATAATTTCCCTCCCTTTCTGCAAAAAATTTCCCACACAAATGAAATCAGACTTATACCTTCGGTGACGGCTCCAAAGACGCAGTGCTTTCCATCGAGCCAAGCGGTCTTGACAGTGCACAAGAAAAACTGGGATCCGTTGGTGTTCGGGCCCGCGTTGGCCATGGACAGGATTCCCGGTCCGGTGTGCTTCAGGTTGAAGTTCTCATCGGCGAACTTGGCTCCGTAGATGGACTCGCCACCGGTTCCGTTGCCAGCGGTGAAGTCACCACCCTGGCACATGAAGTCCGGGATAACACGGTGGAAAGCAGATCCCTTGAAGTGCAACGGCTTGCCGGACTTGCCCATACCTATTTTTGGGTTGTTTTTGATATGGAAGATAGCTTCTGGTGATTTACCGGTTGCTGACGGAGACTATCGTCTTTAGATTTGTGTTCTCTTGTAGGGAAAAGGAAAAATGGTGCCGTGAAGGCACATGTCATTGGAGAACAGACGAGAACAGACTGCATCTTCCAATGTCTATTCAAAGCTTTGCTCCAGGTCGGACTCCACCCAGCAAAAAAATCAAAAATGATGTTACCCTTCTCTCCAGTGCACAAGGCACGGAAGTTCTCAGCGGTCTTCGGGACGACATCAGCACGGAGCTCCATGACAATACGTCCGGCGTTCTGACCGCCGATGGTCATATCGAAGAAAACCTTTGGGTTGGCCATCTTGATGGTTTTTGGGTCTAGTGGAAGACTAGAAAGAAAGTTATTGTGAATCTAGTTGAAACTAGTTTTAGGTATTTTCCCTGAAGTTAGTGGATGCGATCGCGATTCGGTTCTAAAGGAGATGCTGCTGGTGAAATTATAAGGATTTTCTTTTTACAGGTAGGGATGATGCTTAGTTCCGGTAGGAATGAAAAAATATCCGACTCATTTCCGTGATAGAATGAGGAGCGGTCATTAGAGAGTGTGATTTAGAAATGACATTTTACAGTACGAGCAGAGTTCACATTCTTTCCCAAATGAGTTGATTTATATTCAGGCAGATGAGTTGATTCGTAAAGGAATGATCAGAATTGTCCACTAAAATCAGCCCTCCTGGAAGATGTATCGGAGTTGTGGATATCAGTAATTCAGCACGATATGAACAACAGCAGCAGCATCGGACAATCCTGACGGGGGTAAGGGTCGCCGCACCTCCCTTTCGCGGGGGTGATTGATGATTTCCATGCTTTTCTTCTTTGTCAAAAATCAGAACCGGCCACATCGAAAAGTTTTTCGGCGGATGACAACCACCGGGCCACCACAACGAGCTCGAGAATGTATGAGGTGAATGCAAAAAAATCCGACATGGAATATCAAAGTCCTACGCACATTCCTTCTACCAAATCGAATTTCTGGATGTCACTGCCATGCAAGTGAAGATATAGAGGGGAGAGTGGGTTCGGGTTCCGCTAGCGTCCGCCTATGGTATACTCCCTCCAATCGAGGCGCTGTTTCTTCGTCTAACTTAGAATAGTTAATTCAATCTAAACGAAAGTCGACGACCGTCAGGGTAGAGTACAAAGGAAGCTTTTTCACTTATGTGGTGACAATATTCGAAATGTATGCTGGGGGACAAACACAGACCCTACTGGCAGCTTTTGTCACGGGGAAAGGGTGTAGATGGACACCGCATAGAAGTATCGATAAAGCGACGAAATATTAATGCATTTCACATCAAGGCTTCAATGCTCCATGTATGGTTTTCTTATGTAGACTGATATAATCTTCTATTCTTGTCCGATTTCATGAGTAACGTCTGTATAGCGCTTCCAGGGTCGATCTCTTCGAGACATAGCCGCAGCTATGCAAGCCCCTTCCGCATTTAATCGCTCCACAAAGTGTATAGCTGTAATCTAACCAATGTAATTAATGTTCATATGGGTGTTGTACAAGTATGTGTCGATTCGAAATCATACTCCTGTTTTTCCTTCTTTTGTACAATACTGGAACGCCTGCCCCTCCGCCTGATCCCTAGGAGGGAGGTTGAATGACGCCCATTCTCCCAGAGATGGAACCAAAGTACTATTTTAACGTCTACAGCAGAACTCGCCTTTTTGACCTACTTCTTTTTGAATCTTCAGTACGATGATGTGTATCCTAAGTATGACATAGTAATGTGACGAGAGACGACTTGCAACGTGGATTGACGATATGTAAGATAAAACTGGGTTCTTGCTGACGCGCATCTTCCATCACGTGAACGTCAACATTTTCAAATCCCTATTAGAGTACAACAGTTGTGGTTCCCCCTGTTTCCGCTTACAATTCGTCATGAGCCTCGTCATCGTCATCGTCCTCGGCACCAGCACCCTCACCACCGGCACCGCCAGCGCCGTAATACTTGGAGATGACCGGGGCGCAGATGCCCTCAACCTCCTTGTGCTTCTCCTTGATGTCTTCGGCATCAGCCTCCGGATTGGAGTCCATCCAAGACTGACCGTCTTCCATAGCCTCCTTCACCTGTTTTTGTGACGTTGTGAAGATGTTGTAAAATATTTTTAGGATGTTCTAAAAAAACTGTAGTAGTTCTTGGATGTTCATGTTTATTTTCAACAAGAAGGGAGGAAAAATCTGAACAATCGATCCCCACACTCAGAGGAATCACATGAAGATATTACCCAACTAGTTATTTGAGAATTTGCTTTTTAACAAAAAGACAAATCCAGTACCTTCTCCTTGTCATCGTCGTCCATCTTATCTCCGAGTCCCTTGCCATCGGCACCTCCCTCGAGAGCGGACTTGAGTCCGTGCATGTAGGAGTCGAATGCGTTCTTGGCGTCGATTCGTTCCTTCGTCTTCTTGTCCTCCTCAGCGTACTCCTCGGCTTCGCGCACCATACGTTCGATTTCCTCCTCAGTGAGGCGGCCCTTATCGTTGGTGATGGTGATCTTCTCAGACTTTCCGGTTCCCTTGTCCTCGGCACCGACGTTGAGGATACCGTTGGAGTCGATCTCGAAGGTAACCTCGATCTGCGGCTGACCACGCGGGGCCGGAGGGATTCCACCAAGCTCGAACTTGCCCAACAAGTGGTTGTCCTTGGTCATCGGGCGCTCACCCTCGAAGACCTGGATGTTCACGGCCGGCTGGTTGTCCTGATAGGTGGAGAAGATTTGACTCTTCTTGGTCGGGATCACGGTGTTACGGGAGATGAGCTTGGTCATGACGCCACCGACGGTCTCGATACCCAGGGTTAACGGAGTCACGTCCAACAACAGCAAGTCCTGGCCTCCCTCGCCGGACAAGATACCAGCCTGGACAGCAGCACCGTAAGCGACGGCCTCATCCGGGTTGATGCCACGGTTGGGCTCCTTGCCGTTGAAGAAGTCCTTGATCAGAGACTGGACCTTCGGGATACGAGTAGAACCACCGACAAGCACAATCTCGTGGATTTCGGACTTGGACCTGGATTTTGGATGATTCGTTTAGACTGATCCGACTCGTGGATTTCGGACTTGGACCTGTGATCATTCTAACGAAGAAAAAGTCGAACGTGATCTAGACACACCAAGCAGTCTTCTCAAAACAACAGAAAATTTGAAGTAGGTTCAAAATAGTACATCTTGGAGTCGGAGAGCACGTCCTGGACCGGCTTCAGGGTCTTTTTGAAGAGATCATCGTTCAGCTGCTCGAACTTGGCACGAGACAGGGTATCATCCAAATCCTTACCGTCGAAGAGGGCCTCGACGCGGACCTGCACGGACGCGGTGGAGGACAAAGCGCGCTTGGCCTTCTCAACTTCACGACGGAGCTTCTGGATGGCCTTCTTGTCCTTGGACATGTCGGAGCCGGATGCCTTCTTAAAGCGTTCCATGAAGTGCGTCATCAGACGCTGATCGAAGTCCTCACCACCCAAATGGGTGTCACCGCTGGTTGCGACCACCTCGAAGACACCATTGTCGATAGTCAGGAGAGAGACATCGAAGGTACCACCACCCAAATCGTAGACGAGGATGTTCTTCTCAGCCTGCTTGTCCAAGCCATAGGCGATAGCGGCTGCGGTCGGTTCGTTGATAATACGCATCACGTTCAAACCAGCGATGGTTCCGGCATCCTTGGTAGCCTGACGCTGAGCATCAGAGAAGTAAGCCGGGACCGTGATGACCGCGTGATCTGAGAAAGGTAGGATAAATCATAAGACTGTCGACCGAGTTTCTCTCGGACAGTATGAGCAATAGTACAACAGCAAAAACTTTCCCCGTACCAAGAAACAGAATTCATGAGTCACACAAGAAATCTCGTCCGTTGATTCTCCACACAAAGCTCTAAGAGATGAAGAACAGGAAAAGGATTAGTACTGACGGTCTTTCCCAAGTAGTTCTCCGCGGTCTCCTTCATCTTGACGAGGACGAGCGCGGAAACTTCCTCCGGCGACATGTCCTTGGACTCACCTGTGGGAAATTTTTGAGAGAATGGGATTAGGAAAAGAGGGAGGGCAGTAGACAAGAAACTTCTCATGAGTGACCCTCAGTCCGGAAACATACTCATGAAACCGCCATGGACATCGGCTATCAAAAACGCCCATCTTCCATGCACCTAGCCAGGCAGAATAGATCCAAACTCACGAATAACTAAGTCGAAGGAAGAACGAATTATTACCCTTAACCTTGACGCGGATGTATGGCTTTCCACCCTTGTCGACGATAGCGTACGGAAGAAGCTTCTTGTCGGATTGAACAGATTTGTCCTTGTAACGACGACCGATCAGACGCTTGACATCGAACAATGTTTGCTCCGGCTGGATAGTAGCCTGCTGCTTGGCCGCCTCACCAAGAAGGCGGGTCTCGTCATCGTCACCGACGGTGAAAGCCACGTACGACGGAGTAATTCGGTTACCCTGTTAGTATTTAAGAGAAGGAATGGTCGTGGCGGACACGGAAGGGTGAATGGGGTCTAGAAATAGAGAGCCCTTCTTTAGACTTCAAAAGTCGACTCGACCCGTTTTCCAAATCTCAAGAATCTAAATCTAGATCTATGATACTGACAGATCGGGTCGCTTTCACTAGTTACAAACAACAACTTTTGATTCGACCACCAAATCTAAATAAAAATCACAATTGTAAAAAAATGACTGACATTGTTCATTTTCCGAACGATACCGACCCACGCCTAAGACGCCAAGACAATAAAAAAGCAAGAATACCTGATCGTTCGGGATGATCTCAACACGTCCGTTCTTGTAGATACCGACACAGGAGTAGGTCGTTCCCAAATCGATACCAACGACGGGTCCATCGACCTTCTTTTCCGCTTCCTGGGCAACTACGGCTCTGCCCGAAAAGAGCGTTGCCGTAGCGAGAGCCAACTTCGACAAGTAAGTCATTTTAGAAATTCAAAAACTTCAAGGAGTGAGGTAGAAACTTTAAAACTAGATGGGGGAAAGGACACTTGACGGGAAAAAGTCTGTACGTGCAAGTGATTAGAGAGAGGACAAGGTGGTGTCTGTTCAAAAAAGATGATGTGTCACCGAAATTGTACCCAAGTGAGTGGAAGAAAATTAGAGCAGATCAAGAGGAGAGTGAATTCTGCAATGGTATTTAATCAGTCGGCAAAGACAAATCTTCGCTGCCCGAAAGTAGACCCTTTAGTACGGTATCCTGTGACCCTACGGAAATTTTCAACAAGGAGATTTGATTTCGTTGGAAAGCCGGTGTTTTTGACGTCATTCTAGCCAGACAATGCAAGACCGAGCAAGTGCTAGTGTGCTGCTTACTTGTTTCGTAATAATATCACTACACAACACCAAAAACTGACCAAATCTTGTTTGAGACGCTGTCATCGATGTTGGATTTCGTGAAATTCTCATGAGAAGATCTTTGCTGAATCACATGCGAGCACTGTAGGATCTCGAGATAATTTCCATGATCTTGACGCTACCCGTAGACCTCAGGACCACCTGAGCTTGCTGAACCTTCCACGTCTGAGGAACAGATCCCCATGGAACTCCGACTCCCTATTGCAGAAGGGGCACCACGAACTCCAAGATTTCGGCATTTGCAGAGAAGGCTGAAAATGTCCATCTCGATATGAATCCTCTAAGACCCGAATGTGGTCACTGCGCATCCAAGCGAACACAAACATCGTTCCGCGTCCACGCAGGGAACTCCTTCTCCTTACAATCCTGAATACATGCCTAGACGCCACCACACAAAAAATAAGGAAATACCTCCACGTCAAAAGTTTCTAACTGCATCAACCACCAAAATTTGGAGATTATTCGCAGTTGGAGGATTATCGTATACGAAAGTTTTTTGGCAGCATCATCGAAATGACACACACCAGGTCAGTACAACAACTCCCACATATTGCGTCTAGGATCGATAGCCTAGCCGATACTCTAGCACAACTGGCAATTGTTTCCTTGACCATTCAAACTATACTTACCTTTCTTACGTGGTGGATATCGTCTGCTTCTATTCACCTTTTTCGCGCCGAAGACCCCGATGCTTTCCCACATACATCCTTACCCCAATACTTGCGCTTTCTAGCTTTAAAAAGACCTAGATGTGTGGCGGATACATGGAGGTCTCCCTATCCCTAATTGTAGTCAATAAAATTCAACTGTGCACGATCTATTCTAGTCCGGGATCTATTCTAGTCCGTAAAAGCATTCTCACAATACAGCGCACCTATCCGCAACCGTTTTCGATATCGATCCTAGTACATTGTTTAAATCGTTATCTAAGTACGGGAAGATAACGCCTTATCTTGCACGGGATGTTCTGTTGCTCATCTTCAAATCATGAGAGCTCAAAGCTATAATATTTCCGTCTGCGTACTTGCAATACTTCCTATTATTCTTGCTACTACTTCCAGATGAAAGGGTAAAATTCAGCCATGCTTTCTAGGGAGTCATTCGAATGCGCAACTTTTCTCTCTACCTTTGCAAATACCTCAAAGTCAAAAATTCAATTAGACCGAGAACCTGAGCGATTCGATAGCTATTTGTGTATGCCTAAATAAATCCGTTATGACTTTCATCCCATAACCTTTACGCACTCTCCTCGTAGCTGAGCAAAAGTACTCCTCTTCTTGTGGATATAATAATGTTCTGCTTCTGTTCAATCATCCTCCACATGTTGACACCGGAGCACTCCACTTCTTGAAAGAAGTAGAAATCCTCCTTCGAAATCCTCCTCTAATTTGTCAAGTTTCCCAGTACTCTTATAGTATACCAATCTCACAGAGCTGGTGCTCTTAGAGCTCGTCGTGGTCCGCGTCGTCATCATCGTCCCCCTGTCCTGGGTTTCCACCCCCGTTTGCCCCTCCGTAGTACTTCGAGACGATCGGAGCGCAGATCTCCTCCACTTCCTTCTGCTTTTCCTTGATATCATCGGCATCAGCCTCCGAACCATTGGAATCCAACCAGGATTGACCGTCCTCCAAAGCCTCGATCACTTTCTCCTTGTCCTCTTCGTCCATCTTGGCGGCCAAGCCCTTGCCATCAGCGCCGGTTTGCATGGCCGATTTCAGACCGTGCATGTAGGACTCAAAAGCGTTCTTAGCGTCGATGCGCTCCTTGACCAAGCGGTCTTCTTCGGCAAAGTCTTCGGCTTCGCGGACCATACGTTCGATCTCCTCCTCGGTGAGACGACCCTTGTCATTGGTGATCGTGATTTTCTCAGACTTTCCGGTTCCTTTGTCCTCCGCAGCAACGTTCAAGATGCCGTTTGCGTCAATCTCGAAAGTGACCTCGATCTGCGGCTGTCCACGCGGAGCTGGCGGAATTCCACCAAGCTCAAAATTGCCCAACGGATGGTTGTCCTTGGTCATCGGACGCTCCCCTTCAAAAACCTGGATGTTCACTGCAGGTTGGTTGTCCTGGTACGTCGAGAAGATTTGCGACTTCTTCGTCGGAATCACGGTGTTGCGTGCAATCAACTTGGTCATCACGCCACCGACAGTCTCAATGCCCAAAGTCAAAGGCGCCGCGTCCAACACCACGATGTTGTTCTCACCCGCCGCTCCAGACATAATCCCTGCCTGCACCGCGGCGCCGTAGGCGACTGCTTCATCCGGATTGATGCCGCGATTGGGCTCTCTGCCGTTGAAAAAGTCCTTGATCAAGCTTTGGACCCGGGGAATACGCGTGGATCCACCAACCAAGACAATTTCATCGACTTCGGACTTCCGCAACTTGGCATCAGAGAGGACTTGTTCCACCGGTTTCAGCGTCTTTTTGAACAAATCGTCATTCAACTGTTCAAACTTTGCACGCGTCAACGTATCGTCCAAATCCTTACCCTGGAACAGAGACTCGACGCGGACTTGGGTGGAAGCAGTGGAAGACAGAGCGCGTTTGGCCTTTTCGACCTCGCGACGCAGTTTCTGGATCGCTTTTTTGTCTTTCGACATGTCTGAACCAGTGGACTTCTTGAAACGTTCCATGAAGTGCTGCATCAGACGCTGATCAAAGTCCTCACCACCCAAATGCGTGTCGCCACTCGTGGCCAAAACCTCGAAAACGCCGTGGTCAATGGTCAACAAGGACACATCAAACGTGCCACCACCCAAATCGTAAACCAAAATGTTCTTTTCGGTCTGCTTGTCCAAGCCATAGGCAATAGCCGCGGCTGTCGGCTCGTTGATGATTCGCAGAACGTTCAAGCCAGCAATGGTTCCCGCATCCTTGGTTGCCTGGCGCTGTGCGTCGTTGAAGTAAGCCGGAACCGTGATCACTGCATGCTTCACCTCCTTGCCCAAGTAATTTTCGGCCGTTTGCTTCATCTTCGTCAGAACCAAAGCCGATACCTCTTCCGGAGACATGTCCTTCGATTCCCCCTTCACCTGAACACGCACATAAGGCTTCCCCGCCTTATCGACGATTGCGTAGGGCAACAACTTCTTGTCGCTCTGCACGCTCTTGTCCGTGTACTTGCGACCGATCAACCGTTTCACATCGAACAGAGCTTGTTCGGGCCTCACGAGAGAGTGCTGCTTTGCAGCTTCGCCAAGTAGTCTTTGGGGACCAGTGGCGTCTGAGGCATCGTCATCACCTTCGGTAAACGCGACGTAAGACGGCGTAATTCGGTTGCCCTGGTCGTTCGGGATGATTTCAACGCCGCCGTTCTTGTAAATACCGACACAGGAGTAAGTTGTTCCCAAATCGATACCAACAACAGGGCCGTCGATGATGGCTTTGTCGTTGCCCTGCTTACCCGGAGACGCGTTTTTGGCATGCACAGGCGACGAAAGAGCACTCAATACAACTAAGCCGACCACTCCGCACCCCAAAAGAGCTCCTACGGAGAAGCGAGGCGACCACCAACTACCAGTTGTGGCCCCTTTTTTTCGGGACGAGACCCACATCTTGATCGAAATCGCTTGGTGGGACTAAGAAAAGAAGAAATAAAATAGCTGACTGTGATTCTTCAGGAGACAACAGGAAGGTATGACGATATTGAGGAGTGAGTGAAAAAAATACTAGACGATGTGCTTGTAAAAATGTTGTGAGTGTGACTCAATCCCTTACAAGAATAACACAAGACAGGTTCTTGCAAACAATTTCTGATAGTTTAGTAGTGCACGCTTATTTCTGGAAAAAACCAATGAAAAACAACTGAACCTCTTCCACTCTGAAAAGGAGCTCCTATCATACACTTTCGTTCTCTGTAATTCAGTTCGATTTAAGTAGTAAAGTTAATTATGAATATAAGGAAGTACTGATGAAGATTCAGTACGTAGGAAAACACAAAATGCTTTTTCTATGCAGCTGCAAATGATGATTATAAGCGATGTACATACGATGTACTAGAAGGTCGATCTTGGATCTCAGGTTGCCGGAGACGCTGCAATTACGGGCTCAACAAGATCACTTCGCACAGACAAAAATTCTGCCTGGATCATGGGTAGTAGGCATGGATCATAAAGATTGATTATTCGAGGATCTTAGCTTAGCTGCATCTTCTGTCTTGGCTTACGAACAACCAGATCTATATTCTTGTGTCGTCCGTATCGCGTGATGAACTTGGAGATCCATTTCTCTGATCGATATTCTTGTGTCGTCCGTATCGCGTGATGAACTTGGAGATCCATTTCTCTGATCGATCTAAGAATCTCATGGAAGATCATCATCATGCCTAAAAGTGCCGCTGTCGTCCTCCAATAAACTACAGAACGTCTCAACAATTCAGATACGATAGTCACAGTCGAATACACTCAGCTTGTACAACTCTTCTTGGAACCGAAAACAACTACCCTCAGTGGATGTTACAAAAAAACCGACAATGGTAGCATCTCTCGTTGAAACAGATTATTTATTAGTGCTCGTGGAAGCAGAGAGTAGGGGTTGTTATCCCTCACAGAACGTGGCAACTTATTCTAACAGAACGACGAGGCAGTCATGATCTCTCCTCAGTGCATCCCAAGACAGACACAACTACAACTCCTTTATCTTGTTAATCCAGGAACACGATCTCCTCACAGTGACCATCTCTGCTGGTACAGCAGCAATAACAACTTCGTCTGGCCATATTTCGACAAAAAATCAAGTGTACAGAGAAACCCCAAATTAAGCGAAAATTTTTCTTTATCGTACAGTAGATTTCCCAAATACCAAAACGTACAGCTGCAATTGATTCTGATGAATTATCGTCGCGTTCTTTCGTTTAACTGATTGTCTAGTGCATATGCAATTGTGATTCTTGTGCGGTATGACTTGTCTTGTATTGCGCAAAATGTTCTTGAGAAGCGATTTTTGTAAATCTACACATTGTTTGATAGCGAGGATTATTTGATTGTGTAATAGGTTTTGACTGCGTTGTAGATGTTCGATGCGTTGTGTATGTATTCTGTGGAGAGAAATTCAATTTTTTTTTGTACAAGACGGTCTTACGATCTTGAATGCGAAGCGACTGTTCCTATGTGATTGTTCCTTGGTGAATATTTTAAGACTTTCGCTTTGTTCTGTTACGTGACTATTTCAAGACTTTCGATTTGCTCTGTTACGTGAATATTTCAACAAGATTAAGATTTACGATTTCATCTTTGTTTGTTTGTTTTGATGCGCTCCGGGCGACGCGTACGATCCCGCCGGATTTCTTTGTGCTCTGTGTGTGTAGTGCTATGGTCGTCATTGCGATCGACTATGGTTGCGATTTCATCTTTCGTTTTAGTATTATGTTAAGATTTGGTTTACTGTGTTTCTTGTTGAAAAATACTTTGTTCATGTTTTGAATTCGGTGCATGCAGATAATTAATGATTCTAGCAAAAACCTTTTTCAGACTTTCGATGTCCTGCAATGTCACAGTTATGTCCTGCATACTCACTATCGACTACTTTGCACTTTGGACAGGTACAACTAAGTACTAGGATATGATGGGATAGTTTCGTGGCGGCCTATATGCTCGTTCTTGCGCTATACTGAGCACATTTTTCGTGTTCTTTTCAATCCTCATCCACACACCTGATGTTCTTTTCTATCCCCGTCCACAACCCTGTAATTCATATTCTTCTCTATCGCCCTAGGCAAGCCCACCCTGATGTTCTTGCTCAATAGGTACCTCCTGGTACTCTTCCAATACCCCGCACAACATCCTTGAAGACTATTTTCCTATTCCCCGCACAACATCCTTGAAGACTATTTTCCTATACCCCTCACAACATCCTTGAAAATGTTTTTCCTATACCCCTCACAACATCCTTGAAAATGTTTTTCCGATTCCCCTCACAACATCCTTGAAAATGTTTTTCCGATTCCCCTCAGAACGTCTCCATAGCTGCTCTCCTGTTCTCCCCAAAAGAACGTCTCCAAAGGTAAATCTCCAAAGCTGTTCTCCTGTTCTCCCCAAAATATCTCCAAAGCTGTTCTCCCATACTCCTCAAAATCTGTTCCTCTACCGTGCTCTGAGATGCGGATAGACTTTGACGACACCCGTGCAGCATCCCTCGTCCGCATCTTCCGTGCCCGCGATGTAGATTAGAAAGGCACGAAGGATTATTCTAAGCTCGAGTCGTAGGCTTATTACAATAACAAGAGTCAGGCAAGTGCTGGGCCTCTTCAGACAATGTGTCCGGGCTTCTCATCCGTGGTGGGGAAATACAAATAGTAGAAGGAGGGCTGGAGTGCGAAGTGGGAGTAGGAGTACTAAGATGTGTGGATCTATAAATGAAGTACTAGTACTGTAAAGTACAAAGGCGAAGACCGTTGAAAGGCCCGCCTTGTCGTTTGTCACAATAGCGACCTCGTGAAAAGTCATTGTCGATTGGAAAATAGAGCGAGAGCCACAATCGACAAGATGCAGACAAATATTGTGGTTAAGGAAAAAAAAGTATGCATGACGCATGCGTCCCTGTTGCCATCTTTCCTGGTAATTGGTAGTAAAAAGAGCATCCGAGAGGAAATATTCAACAAGTATTCTGCTTGGGTGCCATAATTCTCGTGGCTTCGTGAGCACTCCTTGGTCATTTTCATCCTCCGAGATCGACTCGCCAGATGGTGGAGGCAGTTCTCTGAGGACTGGGTGCTTGTCGTTTTCAACTGCTGCTCCGGCGACTGCCGCTGTGTCTCGGGCTTTTTGTCCGCCAATATCTGTTGTTTCTATCAGTAACTACTTGGTAAGCGAGTTCTTACAACTATTAAAAAGTATAACTGTCTAGAAGAGGTGATGACGATGTGCCTATAGATGATAAGTAATGATGACTATAGACGTGGTGACGATGATGAAGTAAAGACACAAATTGCCTATTTCAGAACTCTGTAAGGTGCCAGACCTGGCGTCGCACTGTGGTTTGGCGCCCGTGCTGCGATCAATGCTTTTTCCAATCGGGTAAAATTAGAGCAGACGGTGCTTAATACCCCAGGTAGTAGATTATCACTATGTTGTCTCTATAAGTAGATCATCGTTATCAGGTACCTGATGAGTGCGGAACTCCCTCATATTCCCGTGAACTGTTCACATAAATTCTGTATATGCATCGTGGAAATCCGATGAGGGGTTTGCTTTCCTCTTCAAAAGAAGAGGGAAAGAGGAAGAGCCAATCTATCAGTCACCCATCAATTCAAGGCAGTCTGCTCGACTTGAGGTTAGGTTATCGATGTCTGGCCAATGACTGCGGCATGGAATGACAGTTATACGAGAAAGTAGTAAGAAGTATTAGTACTCCTTGTAAAACCACTTGAGGTAACAACATAAACTTTAACTTACAACAGCAGAAAACAAGCAGATAAACACTTAACCACATCGAAATAGGGCCAAGCTCAAGGGCAAGTGTTTCATGTCTAACCCTCCCTGGCCAAGTTTGAAACAAGACTTACACAAAGCAAGGGAGACCGCACACACTCAAAATCAACTATAATACACACCACATCATAAGCACGAGCCCACATATCGTTGCGTCGTCTTCAGGTGTGCAGTCCTTTTTGTGTCGCAGCTCACAGGCTTTCCGCTCTTTTTCTTAGACAAGTGTATTTCTGGAAGTCTTTGATCAAATGTCTTTATCTTCAAGACATATAGGAAATTACACAGAGTCCTACAGATGACATTTTTAGCCGAAGAGTGTCCATAATTATCCAGAGACTCCTGCAACTTCTGGGCCGACTCTGTGGGTGAAACTTCGTCTTCTACATCGGGCTCCTCGTTCCAGGGGGCCACTAGATGGTGAAACTGGTTCCACAAACCAGCGACGCGGAGCGAAAATTTTTCTATCCTCTTGGTGACCGCCTTGATTAGAGCTCATTGCCATGAGTGCTTAGTTCCTTACATTTGACGTTGACTACCAGAAATATCCCTCAATTTCAGTCGATATAGTTGAGTACACAGAGCCTAAGAAGGCAGAGTAAATACACAGAGCCCAATGGGGTTGGACAATCACAGGGTGAGAGACAAAACGAAGGGTGAGTGCGAGTGGATGCTGCCTGAGTTTCACCAAGAGTGACAGAGGTACGCCTTAATTCCACAGAGGGAATGGGTTCGCCGTGGTGCGCTTTGTTATACATCAACGCCCTGATTTAGAGCTACCGCGCTAGCATCGATCTTCCCTGAGAAGTGCGTGATCCTTGTTACGCCTCAAAATAATTCATTCCCAAGGGCCTTTTTCCTCTGTTTCCTTCTCGGGAATCGGAAGAAATGGCCTGATTGTAGATCTTGAAGGTACGGCATACAATCGATCTTAAGAAGAACCACTAGGACGATCCTTCTCTCCCTTTTGAAAATTTTCCAAAAGAAGAACTTCCAAGCAGGATCAACAAGACACTTGAGAGGCATATCCTTGGGTGAAAAAGAAGAACCTCTTCTGAGCAGCCAGGATCATGACACTAACTTACTGTATGTAAGTGGCGGATGCTTGAGCGGTGCTAGCCATAATCGATACTGTTGCGCAACGAGGTGCCTTCCTTCCTTTCTTCGGCAAACCCAGTAGTCTTCAGCTTTCGCAACCGGGCGACGACTACGGGAACACCAGCATGATCTTAGAAAATAAAGCGATGATGATTAAGGCACGGACGACTAAAATACTTTGCTGATCATGATTAAGTATTTTATTGAGTGAGAAGATGAAACAGCACTGATGATTATCTTGGAAAAAGCGCTGATGATGAGATACCCAGTTCACGAGGAACGGGTGTCGAAAAATTGAGTGACAACGACGTGTCACTTCAAGAAGTTGTCTTCAGTGCAACGACTATTTATTATAATGCTAATGGGCATTGCACCCTCCACCATCTTGAAGAAGGCCAGCAACACCCTTGGAGGCATTTTCATACCCCCTCTATTTCTGTTGAGGAATAATTCATGCCTCTTAGTGCGTATTGAGTAATCCTTTTTGATGCAAGTCATCTCGACAAACATATTCCAGAGACGCAAGTTTTTGTGTGCAAAAGAATTAGCCTTAATCTTCATCGGCCTCTAAGCCTCCTGCGAATAACTTTGCCCGCTGGAGCTTAGATCGTGCTGCACCCAACGCCGTTCTAATTTGGGCTTCTAGCTCCTGTGCCTGTGGTGTTTTGCCTTTTAGTACCTTCCTGCTCTGGATAATCAGGTTTTGCTCAATGCGCAGCTGTTGCTCAAATTAGAGGAACCGACGCCAGCCCATCTGTTCGAACATCTTTCACGAGCACTTTTCAAGTATGTACAACGAAGAAGTATGTATCCCTTGAGTACTTTGTCCTCGATAGAATGAAGATTATACTTCTTGAAGGGATCGTACTGTTGGCTAAAGTAGGATATCTTGCAGTTATAAGGAAGACTAACGACCTCCGAACTATCGAGGAAAATCAACACAACCTCGATTCTGAGTGAAATCAACACAACCGGTGAAATCACTGAAAAACTTCTAGTCCCATACAACAGCAGGGGATTGAGACAATGAGAACTATAACGAGGTGTGTTGATTTCGCTCAGACTCGAGCGTGCGAGATCGAGAGGGATTGACGGTGCCCTTAATCAAAAGTTTCGCTTTCCTTCACGAAGGTGGCGGCCACCTGCGCCACCAACTCCGCGCCCGTGAGCTGCTTTTTCGCCTTCCCAGTCTCATCTACCATTTTACCAGTCTCATCTCCTTCGAGGTATGCTTCGAGTTGTTTTCCGAGCTTTTTGTTGCTAGAGGTTCCGACATTTTTGCATTCATCAGAATAGTACTCTTCTTCAGAGTGAGGAAGAAGTCAGGGATATTGGGATATTATATATAATCCCTCATGAAACCGTTATCTGAGCAATTTCCAAAAAAGTAAAAAATGAAACTGTAGTTTTCATCTTTCCGCACCAAGAGGCGGGGGCCAGGGAACGAAAAGTACTTCCTGATTGACACCGGCATCCACAGAAGCAAAAACTCAAAAAAAAAAAAAAAAAAAAAATGGAAATTTTACTTGTTAAAAGTTTCATATCCCAGACTTCTACCTTATACTGGGAACAGAGTCTACTTACGTTACTAGTGCAGGATGCAATGTGGAAGACCTTAACTTCGAGGCTTTTATACGGCTTCATGTATGCCGATGTCAGGGCCTCCGCCTGCAGGACTTTTTCTGCTGCCGATCGAGCTGCTTCTTCATACCGCGGAATAAGACCACAAATCGCATTCTTCTGGGCGTCGCCGTCTTCTGTTATGAATCTAGTAAGTTTTTCCCTGTTCCAGCGAGCAGTCTATCAGGGTTCGCGGCTAGTACCCTTTTCGTACTACCGTTAAAAACATACTATAAAAAAGTAGAGACTATCGCTGCTTGTGCCCCTTGCTTTCGCCCCCCTTAAAAACGAGGTGGTATAAAAAAATAGTCGTTTTTACAGAAACGTATAAAAAAACGCCTACTAAGTAGACTTACTTCCTCTTGAAACATGAGTTGCGAAGGTGTTCCATTGCGAACCTCATTATTATAAAGGGAAGTAGCCAGGGAGCCGCGATGATCTGCTTGCCAAGTGGGAAAAAAAAAACAAAATCAAGATCTTCCTCCATATGGCCGTGTGGGCAGTCCTTCTGGTGCAAGAGTTTATACTTTTCCTCTGCGAGCTTAATCTTGCCAAATAGGGTTTGAGTTCCTATGAATTTCACGTCCGGCAAGTCCTCGACCAGTTGCTCAGGTGTAAACTTCTTCGCATCGTCTTTCCCCCATTTTAAAGGCAGAAGTAGATAGCTGATTAATATGCGATGTGGTTGTGGACCTTACTTTTTTTCCTAACATCCTCATGGTGTCCCACTACTAAGTAGTGAAAGCCTATAAATTCCTTTTTTCCTACGAGGAGGGCCCTTATAGGTCGTAGGACGAAGACGATAGGAACCCACGCTACGACCTCCACCCCAAATAGTGTGACAACCGCATTCTAGTAGAGGCTTTACGCAGGATAGGATAGGAATGGATCCACCTAGAAAAAGCAGGCCCCGAAACAATATTGAGGCATACCTAGGACCCTTAAGTCTCTGGATAGAATGGAGCTGTACAGAAGACCGCTGTCAGACTCTAAGAATTGCAGGCCAGACTCTAAGAATTACAGAAGACCGCTGTCAGACTAATTGCAGGCCCCAAAGAAACAAAAAAAAAGTAATGATCTTCATCTAGCACCCTTAACAGGATTGCGGTTTCAGGGGTCGTGGCTCTCCATGGAGCCACGGCGCTTTGCAATTCTGACCAAAGTTCTTGACTGCCCGGCGTGGTTGCCTCTACTTAGAGCCAGGAAGTCATGGCCAGTTGCCCAGGTCAGTACTCCGCAACTGTCGATGGGAGTCAGGAGGTTGGCGTATACAATATGTCATGTGTGTATCCCTGATAATGGACGTCGAGGAGAAACCCGTATTTTTTTTTTGCGTTAGGACTATATGCCACCGCTTTTTCAATCAATTAGTTAACCTATATAAAAACACCCAAATTACATACTGGGGGCGCATAAGACCGTACAATCGGCCACAAATCTACATCCATCGGAGAAGCCCGTACAACTCATGATCTTAGAGGACTTAGTTCACATCTTACAGAGCCTAGCCTTAATTTACCTCACCCTTCCTCTGTTTTTCTACAAGCTCGTTTTTGTCTCGTGAAAGCTTCTCCAGCTTGGCGACAACCGCCGGAACTTTCTTACCCTCGCGATTCTCCACGAGTGGGTTAGAGGATTACAGTACTTCATCTTGTATGGATCCTGAATGATTCAATGATATAACATGAAGGAATGAGACAGAGGATTCAAGGACCCTTCACATCTTTTGTAGTACTAGGAGTCAATCTAGTACTTGTTGTAGTACTAGCAAAAATACTAGGTCGTTGTAGTGCTTTCAAATATTAAAGAGCACCATACTAACGTGAAAGGCAAAGGAGAAGATCTGTCCTTGTAAAAAGTAGGTGGCCAGTGGTGTCTGTCTGTTTTTTACCTAACTTTAACTACACCTTTGATTCGCTCCTCTATTCGGTTGGCTCCCGACAAGCTCTCCAACGTTTTCTCTGTTGCTCCCATGGTTTAGACGAGGCTTTCTTCTTTTTCAATCATCTAGAAAAAGAGTGAGGGCAGGAAAATGATGGTAAAGATTGAGCTATGATGTGGAGAGAAAAAAAGCCAGGATCACATGATAACTCGATACCATTTAGAATTATAGAAGGACACTTTGTTTTGCGGTATAGCCTAGGGTTAGGATTGGTTTATAGATCTCTTAAAGGGCTATGCATCCCTACGGCCTAGGGAAAAATTGTTCACAACGGCTGGCCATATTAAAGTAATACTATGTATAATTGGTGGAGCAGACCTAACTAGAAAAAACAAAAACCGAAAAAAGAAAAGGCAGGCAAGTACGTCGCTACTACTAACTAAGCACCGGCGCTGTCGTCGTCCTGTCAGCCCCAGGGGCCTGTGTCTCACCTTCGAAGTGCTTTTCTAGATAAAGCGGCTCGTCCCCAGATGTCCTTGATGATGATATACCCAGCCCGAAGGCGGGTTTGCTCGAAGTAGATGCTGGTCTAGAAGCGTGGCCTTAAAGTATTTTTTCCCTTAGCGCGTTTGCTTGATTCCAGGCGCTTTCTGGGTCGTCCTGCGTTGCAACGCTTGTCGGCTTAATCTAATTAGAGGTGGGAAACGAATATTAAACCTTGTTGATCCAAGCGAGCCGCATCATCATCATACCTCTCTGGCGGTCATCTTCTACCACTGGCAAGACAAGAAGCCTAAGTGGAGGAACGTACAAGACGCTTTCTCGAACCTACCTGCTTCAGGAGCATAGAAAGCGTCCCCTAGTTCCTGTGCGCCCTTGCGCTATTTTGACTTTTATGCTGGCTTGTTCCATTAACGTCCGAGCACCCACAATCCCTATGACTTCTAGCGGGAGCCCACGCCTGGGCTCCCACGGCAAAAGCGCTCTAGACACCAGTGACTCCCCAGCCTTAATCTTCTGAAGATACTCGGACTTTTTGGAAAAATCTTCCTTCTGCTCTTCCAGCTTCTGCCGAATAGCAGCCTTTCTCTCGAGATACGTGTTTCTCACCTGCTCCAAAGATGCAACATAGTCACTTTTCTATTAGAGGACAGCGCAAAGCAATTCATTTCTTCCATGATCTTTTTATCCGACGAGCCTTGTACTTGTTCCCTTCAACTATTACTCGTCACGTAGTAGGAAATCCAGTAGTAGTCTTCGCTTCAAGTAGTAGGAAGTTCAAAACGCTTATATCATCCGACGAAAACGAACAATTATCTTAATATAGCAAGATGAAGTTAGAAACGCACTTGGAAATGAGTTGTAGCCTTAATTGATGAAAGTGTCTACTTTCGCGCCAAACCGCACGAGCATCAACTTGGCTTCTATTAGAGCTCAACCTAAAAATCCATCTTTTTGTTATTCCAACATCTTGTTCCAGCAACCATGTCCTGTCTGAGGACGCCCTTAGAAGATGTCCGATCTGAAGATAGGGGAAGCCGTAACTCTACTGCGTCGTCACCGAGCAAAACCCTTGCTCTTTTTTTTGCTTCTGCTTCTGCGCTCTCAAGTCGCAGAACAAGGCCACAAGATTTCTCAGCGTCTCTAGTTCTTTAGAACATAAGTATTTATATTCACCTTGAAAAGCATCTTTGACCACGTGTTTTCCTTCCCTCAAACAAACGGGGACCAAAGAAGATAAGATCATAGGATAAGGTGCCTTTGCTAGGTCTACACGCAAGGTGCCGACCAAAAGCGCAGGCGAAGCGCCCCAAGGAAAATGTGCAGGAGGGCGTGGTGATCGCTTCCGAAGGCGTTTTCAAACTGAATTAGAATTACGGTAATTATCCTTAATCTGTGCAGTCCGTCTTGTGCCAGAGGCTATACGCGTCCTCCGCTTTCTCAATTTCCACGAAAAGGTCTTGTCTCAACTTCGTAGAGATATCATCTGTGGCCGCGACTAAGTTAGAGCAAGGTTGTACATGTGCGTCGTCTTGATAAGTTAGGTTAGGTTAGGTTGGGGCCTACCATCCGATGTGCTTTCAAACATCAAAATACCCCAGAACAAGATCGACTGAGGATCGTGATTAATCATACTCCCCCACGCCCACATTTGGCAAAACAGCAAAACTAGCCTATTCAAGGAGGGACAAAACAATTCCAACAGTGGCATCATGACGGAAAGTTTAAGGTCCTGTTTCTACGAGAAAACAAGCCAACAGTTCCAACAGTGTCCATCAAGACCATCAGGGATATTGAAGTAGAGTGAAATCGAGACAATGGACACAGAAGAGCGAAATCGAGACAATGAGCCTTAACTAGGTCATCGAGCTGCGCTCCCAGTTTCTCGCTCTTGTCTGCCTTCAGGGTGTTCTCCGTTTTGTCTACTTGCTGCATAATTTAGAGCAGCACTTTCGAAGTAATAACTTGTTAACACCTTAGATAGTCAAAAACCTACTCCACAGATGGGATGAAAAAACTACCTAGTTCGAAGTTTATTAAATCACTAATTATAAGTTGTGCCCCGCCGGATGTAGAGTGAGTGATCTTATGATATCAGATGCCCTTCCAAGTAGAAGAAGAGGGCAAGGGGAGGGCTTCTTCTCCTTTTTCAAGATAGAAGAAGAGTGACGGCAGGAAAAGGATGGTAAAGAGTATCTCTCTTAAACTTAATAAGATACAGTGTCACTAACTAAATCATTAAGAACTGGGGATCAATGCGAGCTTTTCTAGGATTCACGTGATATTAAATGAGAGACTTGTTAGGATTCCTAATATTTACCATGTGGGGCGATAGTGAAGGTAAAGGATTTCTCCTTTCTCCTTTTGCAGTATTTGATCTCAACCTCTTAAATTAGATACTAGTATGAATATGTTATAGTAGTATTGGGTTAATAGGTTAGAATATTGAGAAGGAAATTAATGATACGAATCTACTCGGCAATCTGCCTAAGGTTTCCCTGACGAATCTCTTAAATTAGATATATTAGCAGGTTCTCTGCGTTCGTCCACACAGGTTTTTCTTGCTCTTCGGCGCTCTCTGGGAAAATTGCCGCATACTCTTTCGATTTATAGTCAACAGCCTTCTTCAGTTCCTGCAGCTTCTCTACGGTAGGAACCTTTTTCTTCAGATACTGCTCCTTGAGGTCAGTTTTCATCATTAGACGTAGCGCTTTGGTGCCCGCTTACCCCGTTTGTTATGCTCTTCCCCCTTGGAAGAGTCAAAACCAACGGCAACACGAACACGCAAAGCCGACCCTTAACGTCAGCTTCCTCAGCTTTTCCAAAGGATGCCAGTCGTTTTTCTTCGGCACCTCTAGGCCGCTCTTCTCCGCACCCGCCATCGCGCCTTCGAGCTCCTCTGAAGTCTCTGCAGGTGGGAGCACAGGCTTAGGCCGCACATCTGCAGTCGCGACCTGAAGCTGAGAAGCTGCTGCAGCTGTCTCCTCATTTTTCAGGGCCGTTTCTTAAAGGTTACAGTATTACAGTTACTCGAAAAACTAAAATAAGCGAGTAACAGACGAGAATAACCGAGATACTGATGAGAAGGAAGAGTAGCCTTGACGTTAAGGCGCCTCCCTTACTTCAGTCAGTAACTCGGTTATTTCAGTTTATCGAATACACTCTTCACAACATCCTTGACCCAGTTTCAACCGACAAAAAGGTCAAGGATGTGTGTGGAGGATGTTGTAATGCGGAAACCCTTAATCTTCTACGGCGTTTGTGCCTACTTCGAGCGCACGACTGGAATAGCGAAGGTTTTTGGTGGCGTGGTGGTAGCTGCTCGCCTTTCTGTGCGAGTCCGCAGGCTTCCTCGCCAGGAAGCTAGTCGTCTTTCTAGTATGCTCGTCCGTGGTAGGCTTCGACCATCTTAGAGGAGGTTCTTGAAGACAGCATCTCGAAGTAGTTATAGGATAGGACAAGACAGGACGATTGTAGGCAGGACGATTGTAGGAATGGCTACTATAGGATTCTGGCTCATAAAATTTCGCTCGTGCTGTTGAAAGACGGCAAAAAGGTAGGCGCCCATTTTTGCGCAGCGCTGATTTCAAGTTCAATCTCCGTCGAACTTTGTGCACTGGGCGAGAGAGACAGGACTGCTGCGTATGCCCTAGTTGTGAGAAGCACAACTATAACGCCAAAGCATTGCAGGGTAACAGTGACGAGATAGGCACACCCGATGATGGCCAGGATTGCCAACAATGCAATGCAAATCGCAACAAGAATCCCCGTGACTAGAGGGAGGCCGGAAAAAAACGCTGCAGCTTCCCAGTACCACAAGATTAGAGGACTACAGGCCATAATGTGCAGATTGTTCCTGATTGCCTCCACAGGGCACCGATCTCCACATGTGCAGATTCCTGATACTTATCATCTTTGATGATAACCACCGTAGAACTATTCATCAGTCCACATCATGAGTAGTTGTGGATACCTTTATAACCGCAAGAGCTCATGATCTTTCATGAGGCTGAGCAGTTATACCCATAAAGATAACCACAGGAGCTCACAGAAGTTACAATACACTTACATACAGCTCACTTTTCCAAGCTTTACTTACTTTCCCCTTATCAAAGCGCATCAAGAAAACGCGTCATGTGTGTGTCCCTGCTGATGCTGTTCCTAGCACCCGTAGAGTTATTTTTTTTTGCGTTAGGACTATATGCCGCCACCCTTTCAATCAAATAATTAACCGTAGAGATAAGATCTGATAGTGAGTCCTTTTCTCGTAAAAGCTTTGCGCGTCTATCTGGGCTTGTTCGCTCACAGTCACGAGAAGTTGGCGACTTTTTAGAAAATAGTGCTAAAAACAGTAGGGAAAAGTCGACAGTAGGGAAAAGTCGATAGAAACTAGTACTATTCGTCGATCTCATGTCATCTTGCCTCACGGTCCATCCTATCAAATAGTTTTGAGGTAGTAGGGAAAAGTCGAAGGAAAATCATCCGGTACTATTCGAAGTCGCACTATGATCTGTGATTGGTGCTATTCGAAGTCGCACTATGATATGAAGAAGCACAGGAAACTTATACATAGATCGACGCCTTGTAAACTAATGAATCAATAAAGAACCATCATTTTGATCTTTCTTTAAGACACCGAGTCACAATATTACAGCATAAAATTTCCTTGAGATTGAGGCTCTGGATCGATGACCTGGTTGACGAAAAGCCAGCAAGTTTGAAGAAACTCCCTCGCGTCACGGACAAAGGGCGACCCTTAGACAGAAGGAGGGGAGAGAAGCAGAAATATGCACAGGGTGTGAAACAAATGGAGAGAGTGTGAGAAACAAAAATCAATGAAAAGCAAGAAAACAAGCCCTTGATGGTGATGTTAATAGTCAGCTCGGATTTATTGCCCTATTAGAGACTTTTTCTTGAATCTTTTCCGTCTTTTGCGTTCTTCTATTCTTCTAATAGATTATTATTATTATTATTCCGCTCGCGCACGACCCTCCGCCACACAAAGTGAATCAAAACAAGTTTTCCCACAGAGAGCTTTCTCCTTTGTGTTCATCTTCTAAACTAATACGAAGTTCTTGATGTCACTACATGAATTTGATCACTACAGCTTCTTGTGAACTTGCAATCAATACACTTACATTCATTGATGTCGCTACACGCAACAGTTTGTAAATAGTATAAATGAGTGAGTGAATGAATGTACCCACTCCAGGGGTAAGACCTCTACTAAAACCAATACTATCGGTGGTTTAGCCGAACTACTAGGAAAAAAGAAGCTCTGTCTTAAAAATCTTCAGCAAGGACTCTGCGTTGTTCTGGAGCTTTATCGCTTCTGGTTCGCGTTTTTTTGGCAATTGGCGAGGTCTCTTCGTCTGAAGAACTAGCATCGGCAAATGCTGTCCTTAACGACATCGTCCACAACGGATGCTGTGTCAGTGACAGAGACAGTCTCGAGAAAGCAAAGTGGATATCAGTAGTACCTACTGAAGTAAATCTTCAATGGCGGGGAACGAGACGAGAAAATCTTCAACCAATTGGCTTACTTCTAAGCGAAATCAACACAACTAGTGAAATCCCTGACAAACTTCTAGTCCCAAGCAACAACAAAACTTCTAGTCCCAAGCATTATTACTTGGAAACCCAAACAAGGTTAAGAACGTAAGCGTCATCACATCAAATTACTACCACTAATTCTCCGAAATGAATAAAAAAACATGATGTTTAGGTCAACTTCTGTAAGGAATGAAAAATAAAAGGGAGTTGGGGAAAATTGGGGACAATTCTCCTGCTGAGTAGGTGAAGAAAGTGAAGATTTTGGACTGCTGTAGGATAGGATAGAGGTGGGCTCACTTGTGAAGGAGTGAGCGTATGGGCAGCATATATAAGGACATTTATTGAGTTCTTTGAGGTGACTTTGTATCATGTGACATGGTGTATATTCTCCTCTAAATATCATGGATCTTCATGTGATCGTCTCAGAAATCAAACGTCTCTAGTACAGCTGTACAGCAACTCTCTACACTCTTCTCTCAAGATGTATCGCTGAATTATGACATTAGAGATCGTGGACAGAAGATGAAGATTCTATTTACTCTTCTCTCATCACGCATCGCTCCTGAATGACGTTTTTAGAGATTGACAGAAAATGAGCTGTGTTGTAATGTTCACTCACTACCATGAGCTCCGTCTCTCTGCTGGAGACTCATGATCACGCACTTACATGGTAGATCTGTTGACAGAAGAAGTATATCTGGGTCGCGGTCGCCATTCCTCGACACCGTCTAGTTCTAATTATGCGCGTGCATGTGGATGTTTTCACACGACGAACAAGCGACCCTTTCAGGCAGTGCCGCAGATCTGCTTCTCAAAGAGTGGATGAATCGCAAGAGGAATTTGCCCCGTAGACGTGATAATGGCAAGCTTCTTCAGTCTTATGAGTGAAGAAGGGATTTTTGTTGAAGTCTTTGAAGGGGCTTCTCATACGGGGCATCTGTAGGGCATCTGTAGCATCGACCTGAATAAAAGGATCAAAAACGGTCCCCCTGACTGCTCTTGGAGACTCCTAGCCCTCTCCTGCAGAGTAAAGTACATCCTCTTGTGTGTAGCTGCTTGACATGAAATTTGAAAAGATTTAAAGATTAAGATGTAGACTGAGTAAAAACATAACTGTATCATGAAACTCTTGCTCTTCCAAGGCAATAGACGAAGTTTACGTACTTTTACTAGATATTTCAGCCACTGTGTCCACAGGCATTGGGAGATGGTATACTTATAATACTTCAACTTTTTCATACTTAGCTGCTTTAAAAATATGGACAACGTGTACAACATAGCTCAACACATTCAAAAAATTTTGAACTTGTTAGTACTCGTATAATACGTAGCGATCCTATTCTTTTAGAAATAAATTGTTCACGTGTTCATACTACTTTAGGAATGTGACAGGCCGGGTTCATGATACTACTTCAAGAACATCACTACTGCAAACTTCAGACTACTACATATATCAGTGCTTCATGCTACTACATATATCACTGCTTCATGCTACTACATATATCACTGCTTCATGCTACTTCAATGTCACTGCTTCATGCTACTTCAATGTCACTGCTTCATGCTACTTCAATGTCACTGCTTCATGCTACTTCAATGTCCGTTTTGAAGTAACATCACCAAGCAAGCGAATATTGAAATCAAGGATTACCTTTAGTGGACTCGTTCCTGGAGCAAAAGGCGCTTCCATCAATCCATACCCCTCCTGAGGCACACTGCGAAAAGACTGCTTCATGCTACTTCAATGTCAGTCGCCGTGCTATGATCGTCATCATCGCTACTTGCATCGGCTTCTGTCGATAACATTGACGCGCGTCTGGACCAACAGCTGCCCACGGCACTATCGAAATCGGAGACCTCATCGGCACAATGTTGATCACCAGTAGTTCCACCACCACCACCAGTAGTTCCACCTACTCCGAGGCTGCGAAGATTAATCGCGAAAAAGCCCCTATCCGAGTAGTTGTTCCTGTCTCCCACGTTCACAGCATCCTGTGTGTTCTTCGAGAGGAGCGCAAGAGAATCTTCCTGATGCTGCGGCTCTCGGAGCAAAACACAGATCGCTGCGAGGGCATCTCGGCGGGGCCGTACCCTCTCGTAATACTCCGGAATCTCAGTCGCGTATTCACCGTATTGTGAGACGCAACATTGTGCCTCCAATTTTTCTGTCTCTCCCTGCGCTTCTCGTCGCCTTTTGTGCGCAAGCTTGGCCGCGTCCTTGCGCAAAGCAAGCAGTCCCCTTTTTCTAGCAGACCAAGAGTTGTTTCCTTCAGGAGGAGGGAGTGTATCGCCATCCAACACTTGTTCTCCAGGTCTTCGCTCTCCTCCAGCTGCTGTAGAAGTAGAGGTATTACACGCCTCCATGTTTTCAGGTTCGGGAAAAAAACAGTCGATAAGCTTGCGCACAGCCGGCGCGTCCGCACTTTCTACAGCCTCGTGAAGCAGAGTAGAGGCGTGTTTCATAGTAGGCCCGCCGCTCCATGTGCACGCAAGGAAATCGCCGTAAGTCTTCAACACAATCGACGAGAAAAGCCCGTCTTGGGTTTCCTCAGACGAGCAAGACAAGGGCGAATCGCCATTTCGAATTCCAGCGTCATGTTTCTCTTCGGTGACGCTGGTTTCGAGATTTCTGTTATTTTCGATCTCCTGATGCAATACAGCCTGAGCTTTCTCTTCGACGCAATCTAGCGCACTCCATCCGTCAATACCGCGCCAACGTACGAAGGCTGAAGCTAAGGACAAATCCTGTTGTGATTCAAAAAGACCTGTTGTAGAACTCCCACAACTTCTACTAGTAGCAATTTTAGAACCTCGAACAACATCTTCCTCTTGTTCCACATGCCTTTCTATATTATCTTGTTCCACATGTACATCTGCTCCTTCAGCTTCACATTGTTCTTTATGTACATCATCTCGTCGATCTTTCTCTCCACACTTTTTTTCCACACGACCATTAGCCGGTCGATGAAGGTAGACGCGGTTCAGAAAATCTTCCACAGCAGTCCAGTCCTCGGCTTCGACTAGACGACGCAATGCACCCTTACTGCATCCGAGACCCTCATGAGATGCTGGATGTGCAAATATCCGTTCCTCTATCTGTCCTAACTGGTGCTGTTCTTCCGCTGTCTGTGCTGACTGTTCCCACTGTTGCTGTTCTTCCACTACTTCAATTTCTGTACCCGAGGAGGTCGCTGTTGACCCTGATGGATCATCCCCGCCACCATATTGACCAGCGTCATCAGTAAAGGAAGTATTTCCATAACCACCAAATCCAGATGGAGAAACTCCTAGCATGGAGAGAAGGGGTGCGCCTGAATGCGTCCAAATCTGCGCGTCAGATCGAATACCAAGTAAATCGCTGTGCAAGGCAGGGAAGATATCCAAAAGAACCTGAAGCACTGCTGAGGCCGCGGCCTTATTCCGAATACCCAACTCATCTGGATCTTTTCTGGCACGTTTAGCCAAAAAATCTGTGTACAGATTTCGTTTCTAAGTACTCGGAAAGATGATGTCATGTCATGTGCCCTCTTAAACTACGTGGTCAAGTAGCCTTGACGTAGTTCAGCCTAATTGTACCTTCTAAAAAGAAGAGACTGCAAAGAAACAACGAACAAACGAAGTACGAAGCAAGCCAAGAAATCGATCTCACAAGGTAGTTGCAGCAGAACATCATTGTCCTGCTGCACCATCAGCCCCAAGAATAGTTGTACTGTCAATCCATAATTAACTCTAGATACTGGGGTGAACATGATTCCATTCTAGAATTAGAAAGAGCCAATAAAATGATCTTCCGTTGTACTACTTGTACAAAAATTACCTCTGGCGACTTCGGCTTTGTCCAGTTCATCCTTGCCTAAATCTTCAATGCACCATTTTACAAAGCGAAGCAGACCCATGAGCGATGTTTCATCGACTTGGAGAAGGTAGACGAGACCATGGAGTTCCACGGGCAGCTTCTTAGTCCAGCCAGCATAAGGACTTTCAACGATATCATTTGTTGTGGTTGTAGTCTCATTTGTTCCTTGGGCGACAACAGTTGTTGTGGGTGCAGTAGTCGTTGTGGTCTCATTTGCTCCTTTCAAAGGTTGGAAGCCACAATTGTGCAGTAACCAAAAGTGCAACCATGAACGCTGGACTGCTTCTCGAAAGAGAGGCGGAATCCAGCGGATGAGGTCTAGGATGAGCTGCTGCCGTTGCCGCGACGGTTCCATAATGCCCAAGGAGGACTGCGTCTGCAAGGTCTGGGCACTGATGTTAGAGGAACCCTCTGCAGCTCACCTCTACTCCGCTGCATCCTTGAAGACAAATAGCGTGGAGGACTAGTTGTATTTCCGTATGATACAACTCCCCCAGACGTTCTTTCAGGGATGCAGCAGTCAAAGAGCAGAATATTAATTGGTACTCAGAGTCTTAATGATGCAGGTAACGAAGCCGGTATTGCCACTACACCCGGAGTAACATGTCATTACCTCCTCCAAATCCAACTCAACATAATTCCTGTTTTCAGTCTGTTTTGTATGTATTTGGGTTTGAATGAAGTGTCGCAGAAAGCCTTTAAAGCTATTCCATGAGGCGATAGAACCATCGCTAGCATTCGTTACCCAGCTGCGCATTTTCCGAAAAAGTGGATGCCGCAACATTAGAAACCTACACAACTACCACCGACGCATAATTATCATGATAATTATACGTGTGGTCTCCATCTTCACTATACTAGGTGGCACAGCTTTGTATTGACGGGATCATTTTTTCAGGAGTGCATCATCTTTGTTCATCACCATCATCGTATTTTTCTAAGAGCAGGTCATCTTACACCCTTTTTTCTAGATGAAGTAGAGTACGACTATTAACTCACAGATGGTGACGACTTATCTTCTAAATACATCAAATACAAATCACGTGTCATATCAATACTTCTCCCACTACGAAGAGGTCTTCTATTACTTCTCTAGACGGCAATAGTCTCTCCACTTCGCTTCCTTCGACCTTTTCGGCTGCTAGCTGTATTGTGTCTTCAATATCGATGTCTTCCAAGAATGTGCTCCGACTGGAAGATCTGGAAGGCGTTGTTGAGGGACCAGTGTTCACGAGACGGCGAGTAGTTTGCTCAGGCACGTCCAAGTTCTTGGTCTGCGATAACACTTCCAGCACCCGCCGCATAATGCGCCGCAGCGACACGGCGAATTCCGACACTGGCATGGAGTCACCGCAGTAGCCAGGGAGATGTTCGAGCCGAATCTCGGAGACCTTTATCAAACGACCGGTGCGTTGTGTTCCATTAGCCAAATAGGGGGCGCCGCAAGAAAGCAGCTGCAAAAACAACTCCATTGCGGTGTCTGGAGTCACATCTCGACATCGAATTTTTGCTGGCGGCGGAAGTGATTTATAACTTCTTCCAGCTTCTTGTTCGCCTATAGAAGGATTAGGATGATAGCCACTAGTCATAGAAGGCGCACCTATAGAAGGAGGATACCTACTACTAATAAGGAACAATCAACCATTAGTTTTTGATGATCTCGACATGTAACTTCAAATAGAAATAGTGCAGCGCTTGAAGAACTACGTTAGAACCAGATTTTGACAACAAGGTCAGGGTAAAGTAATAATTATATAAGACGTTGCTGTTGTACAACTAGTAGACACTTCATCGGCGGGACGTTGTTCTCTACCCTGGTTGCCACTCTCCCGTTTCACTGTTTCCTTTCCTCTACTCTGTGGCTCGTTCACATCTCTTACTTCAGGTTTGAACTTGTAGTTTGAACTTGTAGTTGGGCAGAGCGCATCGACGCTAGCACTCATCAGCACCCGATACGGTCCTATTTTCAGGAGTCTTAAGTGTTCCATGGTTTTATTCCCGTGCTTGGCACTCATTGCGTGACCACACGCCCATCGCTTGAGCCTGTGTTAGAAGCAGCTAGTAGTAGTAGGAGTAGCAGGAGTAGTGGGAGTAGTGGGAGTAGTAGGAGTAGTAGGAGTAGTAGCCCCAAAATACAGACAGAATAGTGCTGGGCGTTTATTCCTAAACCGTTCAGCTCTACAGTTCTGCACATATACCCGGTCAAGGGGTATGGAAGACAGCACGTTAATTATGCCCTGCTACAACAATATAATTCCAAATGCCAATATTAACCTTCCCCAATCGCCATCTTCTCTACCAAATAACCAAGCATTCCCCTTGAAAGAAAAGGGCCAAGGATGTTATTCCTCTTGTCCTTGGACAGAACCAGACGACATCTTAATTGGTTACGGACGACAACTATGGGTAGTACTAGCAGTTCCCCTATTCTCGGATGGCAATCAGATAAATGATTGCAGCGGCAATAATTAAGAATCGACGTTGGCGACAAGTGGTGGAATAAGATGACTGAAATCCACCTAGCTATAATACATAAATCGTGGTAGTGATACGTTGTTTCATGGGATAAGCCTAAGGTTTAGCTTTAGAGGCAAAAACTAACCGGTTGTTTTATTTAGTGCTTTGAGCGTCGCTGGGCCTAAACCTCGACCCTATAAGAAGGGAAGAAGCCAATCAAGATTTGCAGCACAACCTCGCATTTATATAAAGGGGAAAAAACACGTTCCTGCTATGGGAGGAGGTGGTAGTGATACATAAAGATAAATCTATGTTGTATTGGCATCAAGTCTTAATGATAGGTTGGAAAAATCCGGTTTTCGAAAAAGTTTCCTTCCCGCTTGTTTATAACGGTCGTTCCCTTGCAGTTCTCCACGAGGTAGCTTGTACCCTTGGAAGAGCAGGTGTTCTCCTCTTCATGTCGTCCACACGATGCTAGAGGAGGCGAAGGTGGCATCCGTTAGACTTTCACAGTAAAGCTATACATTCGCACTTAATTACTTATATAATATTACGCTATGAAATTTCGACGTTTGAAATGCAATGAGCCATTCGTACGCGCGCACGCGCGTATTGTGGAAGCCTTAAATGAAGCAGTCTGCTTCTCCGCAGGTCTGGAAAAAGCTTCCACCCAAGAGGAAGTCAACACTGCTCAAATCCAATCCACGCTTCTCCGCCACAAAGAGGGGAACGACTCGTGGACACGACTGTAGAAACGTGAAAGCACCTTGTCGGACATCGGGTGGCAGCTTCTTTTCGAAAAATACTCGAGACCTTGGACCCCATCCCGTGTTCTCGTAGCTGTTCTCGATTTCCCGCTGCATGTCCGCTACGGCGCGCACGTACTCTGGTTGTAAACTAGTACCTGTATTTCTTCCAGACGTTTCTGCAGTTTCTCCTTCAGCCATTGCTGCCCCGTTGTCGTGGCTAGTCCTTGTATCGTCTCGTCTATCTTCAACATCTGCCAAAACCTCGTAGGCGACACAGTTTCGGATTTCCTCTGCAGTGGCAACGTTGCTTTGTGCGACGTTGCCTTGTTCGGTTGGCACCCGATCTGGATTCCACTCGAAGACACCATAGTCCTCCAATACTCTCACATCAAAATCCAAGGGTCTTGCTGATAGAGCAGCACCTCCTAATCCTTCCTCAACATCCCCTTCTAGATCTTGCTGATAGAGTAGTGATTCCAATACGGCATTGCACACCTCGAGAGGTGACCGGCTGCACACCTCAGCCATGATCGTGCCAGGAGTCAATTCCTTGTTACGCTACCAGTACCACTTCTAGACGAGTCAATTATACCCTACTTGTTTTTACCGCTCAGCCTCGTGGCAAGTCCTTGTGATAGCCCATCTGGGTTCCTTCACTTCTATCAACTGGTGTAAGTGCGCTCAAGAGCGAGAAGATGCTGCTGGAGATATAATTTTACAGTTGCTGTGAATTTACAATTGATGTATTTTTCAGAGACGCATCAACTTTGAGCTTTTTTTTTGTCAGAGGCGCCATGCAATGTTTAAAACATCGAGGATGGACATGGAATTCGAAAGCAAAATCTTCACCTGTCAAGTCCTTGTCAGTCGTATCAATAGACCTACCATGCTCCCTCGTATGAAAAATATGGATATACAGTAAAAAAATAATGGAGGGCGATGCTCTGGCAAAGGAAAAAAAATGGGGTACTCGTCTGACTCTCAAGGAAGTATCTTCTTCTCTCACTTTGTAATGGCTGGTCGGAATCACAAAGACATATAAATTGGTAGCCGCCCACTTGCAGATCGAAAACTCAAACAAGTTGACCATTATTCTTGTCTATGGAGGCTGACCCAATATTCTTGTCTGAAGATCTTCGATCATAGATGTCGGGATCGGCAGCCATGAAGAGGGAGTGTCTTCTATTATGTTCATCTTGAGCTTGCCTTCAAAATGATGTGAACTTCTTGCTAACAGTATCGCGGGAGCCTGATCGTCTCAATGTGTTGAGATCTGTTTTTTTACGGAGACCTTGTTGTGCTGGCTGTTATGTTTTAAGCTAGACCTCTCTCTGTAATTCATCCGGAAATAAAGACTTGTTTCCGCGCATTTCCCTTGCAAAAGGGGCCGAAGATGCGTCTGAAGATAAATTACGGTAAGCCTTAAAAAAGGCTACATCTGTGGATGAAAACGATAGATTCACTTGATGCTATGTATGTGCTACCATGTTTACTTAGTTGCTCACCCTCTCAAACTGAAACACGGCACTTATCATTACAGTCTGGCTCTCCGTCAATACAACATGTGCTCGTACTCTCTGTCCCATTCACTCAGCTAGAGCTACTTTTTTGTCGGTTGTGTATGCACTTGTTGCAGTTGGCTCACCAATTTTAGCAGTCGCAACCGCCCAACTGGGAATCCGCATCGGAAGCTCGAAAACAACTCCAAAACGGCAAAAGCCTCCGATCCTTGTGGTAGGGCAGGAGTAAGGTTCTTTTAATTTTAGATACATTTCCCCAATGACAAAGAAAAATATGTAGTTTACATCGTAGTTACCAGTAGATTCTGGAGGGTTTAGTTCGTTGATAGATCCTGTGTATTTTGCAGTATGGTGTTGATTCTCAAGATTAGTATCATTCATGTGCAGACGAAGTTGATGGCTCATCTATGATTCTTACCGTTTTTCACTTGATAAATGTATTTTCCGATGAGTTCGTTGAAATGTTGAAATTGTAATACGAATTAGATGATAATTCCCAAAGTAAGTTAGTCGATATATCCCAAGAGTGATTTTTGATAGTAGCTTCAGTAGATAATTCGAGATGTTTGTGTAAGACATTCTAGTTCATGAAATGAGAGAAACTCTTTTTGTGTCATGCAAACGTTCAATTTCTCTTCTACAAAAATGGCTTATAGTATGTCAAGAACTTGAAGGTCGTGTCCTTATCAAATAATTTGAAGAATTGTAGTCGATCTTGTCCTTTTGATTAACATGATTGCTATGATGATGGTGTCAGAAAATTCAAATTGTTCATTTCTTAGTATCTCAGTGTTCATTTCTTAGCAGTTTATGAAGATCTTTGTATTTTTCATGATTAATTAGTTAATTGATTGTGCTCATCATACTTGGTAAACTAGTGGTAGCTGTATTTTTATGTGAAGATTTTACATGCTTAGTGATGAAAAATAGCCGATTTTGAATTGTCTATTTGGTTGATATTGATTTCGATTTATTACTATTGCTTAGTGTCCTATGCCTAATCCTGTAGTCCAGATGTATCCCAGAGAATGATGAATGACCTTCGTGATTTTTAGCAATCAGAAGTTCAAGTTTCCTTTATCCATATCAACAATATGTAGTCCCTGTGATTACCATGCAACGAATTCTACTCCCTTTCCTCCATCCAACCATTTCTCCCCCTTTCCTCCATCCACCCAGTTCTGCCCCCCTTCACAATCCAACCATTTCTATCCCCTGTTAGTATCAAGCCCATTCCACCATCCCACTACTCCTACTCCCTTCCACCATCTACTCATTTCTACTCCCTTAGCGCGTAAGGATCGGTTGAAATTCCATTTTCGCCGTGCAACAGGGCTCCACTGTATTGTCACGTCTAGTCTTCCTTAGATGATGATCAGATAGATAGAAATGGAAGCTAGTTTCAGCAAAAGTGGAGTCGGAGTGATGAACAAGCTCTACAATTGAGGAACAATTCTACATCTTTTCTACAATTGAGGAACAATTCTATCGAGTCGTAATTCGGGCATGACTGGGTTCACTTTCGGCAGCAGTGGTAGTGGTGGCGGATGCGGAGCGCCCACTGGTGGCAGCTTCGGCGCCACAGTGGGTATAGTAGCAGAGGGTGTTGCAGCAGGAGTATTAATTTCCGCAGGCGCAGGAGTACTAGCTTCAGCGGGTACTGGAGCAGAGGATGATGCTTCAGGAGCAGTACTAGTAGCAGCAGCCGGAGCAGGAGGCCCCTGAACACTCGGAGCAGCAGCAGCAGCCGGAGCAGCAGCAGCCGGAGCAGGAGGCGCCTGAACACTCGGAGCAGCAGCAGCACCAGACCCCGTCATATTCTGCAGGTGCTGTTTAGCCGCTTCAAATCGCCCTCGTAGGTCTGGAATCTTTTTTTGTTTAGAACTTTGACTTTCTAGGAAAAATTCTAGATCATGTCATGTGTGGGTCTCTGTTGTAGTTGAACATCACTACCTAAGAGACATTACTGCATGGAAGTGATGCAAGGACTAGTTACTCATCAGCGCCTAGCTTAGATGATCTAAGGCTCTCCTATATCATATAGAGGATAAAGTTAGTCATTGGCATTGTCAACCTGAGAGCGATCATGATCATTATTAAATCCTCATCCAAATGATTGCCATCAGAATCACCATCCTCAATGTATCACTCGCGGAAGAAGACATCCAAATAGGAGCCTTAACCTTTTCCACCTTTGATAGCTCAGCAAGTAAGTTGTCGACCTTGGTGGAAATGCCAGTATTGTCTGCAGCGTCCGCGGACAGTGCATGCATCTCTTTCTATGACAAGGAAAAGCTTACTCAACAACCTGACAAGGCACTTCCTACCAGTTGAAGAAAACTGAGACTACATCAAATGTCTTGCATTTGCAGAAGTGGAGTTTCTCTTCATCTGAGTAAGAAGTTGCATCCACTGCGCTGAGTAACGTGGTATGCGTGAGATAAGTGCCTGACAAGACTGAGAGATAGAGAAGAAAAGTAAGTATTACATTTGAGCAGTTTATCATAAAGCCTTGAGTTTTTTCCTCCCTGTGTCCCACTCTTTGAGGGACGTTTTCGTTCCACGAAGAGATGTGTCAAGGTCTGCCATTTCTACCGCAAAGCTTCGATCTTGTCCTATAGCCGGTTTAACTTGAGCTTGCGATTGGAACTCATTGACTTCACTGAAAAGATCATACACGTTCTGAGGCCCACCACTGAGTAGCAGCGGGTTCCCCGACACCTCTTCAAAAATTAGAGAATACTTAAAAGTTTTGTGTCCTCAGTTAAGTTCGCAACATATTTTCTTCTTCTCGAAGACAAAGCCTCCTCGCTCTCTTTGTCGAGTCGAAATGTTATCTTCCCTATGATGTATCTATGCATAACGATAACCTTACTTTAAAAGCACAGAAGTAAACTTAAAGCTGCGCACCAGCTGACTAATGAAGAGGTGATAGCGTGTAAACTATGTTGTTTGAAGGGACTAATCGTATGAGGGAAAGTCAAGCAGTCACTTATTTTCGTTATGTGCTCTATTTAGTGCGTGAACTGTACTCTTATATCAACATCATAGAAGTATTAAGATACGTGTGAAGTATTAAGAAGCTACTTTTTTGGCTGCGTTTTCAAATAAGGAAACTGCTTCCTCTTCCTTGCTTCCTTTCAAATATGGACTGAGCAACTACTGTTTCATTACATAAGAGTAATATGTATTGACAGCAAGTAGTAGACGAAGTTGCCACCTGTTTGGCTACATGTTGTTTAATTCAATGCTCTACGTGTTTGGCTACAGGTTAGGATAGGATAGGATAGGATAGGATAGGATAGGATAGGAGAGGATAGGACGATAGGATAGGAGTTGATTCTGTGTCGGTTAGGATAGGATCGGACATGTTCTAATGCTCTTCCACATGTTTGTTGCCTTAATTCGAGTTTCTGTTTGAGCTCTTTCGCCCACTGCGGCAATTCTGCGGAGGCAGGTTTCTTAGCAGCAGGAGGACCAGGTGGAGGACCAGTCGCAGCAGGAACAGCAGGAACAGCAACAGGAGCTTTAGCCAAAGCAAGATCAGCAGCAGCAGCATCAGCCGGGGCAGCAACAGTAGAAGCAGCCGACGCAGAACCAGCAGCAACAGCAGGAGCAGCCGTGCCAGCAACAGTAGGAGCAGCAGGAGCAGCCGTGCCAGCAGCAGCAGCAGCCGGAGCGGGAGGAGAAGTGCCAGTAGATTCCCCAACACTAGTCGGTGGAAGAGATGAAGACGCAGCACCAGGACTCAATATATCCTGCAGGTGGTCCTGGGCGTCCTTAAATCGCTTTTGCAGGCCTGGAATCGTTTTTTGTTTAGAACTTTGACTTTCTAAGAAAATTAATTCTAGATCATGTCACGTGTGGGTCTCTGTTGTTGTTAGTATTACATGCCCAGAAAGCGGGCCCATCAGGGGCTCGCTGCACTGGGCATAGGTTAGAAACTAGACAGATAAGACTACGACGAAAGCCCCTAAGAAAGTCACCAAGCTAGCGACGCGCGGCTGGTTCAGCCTGGACAATTCTGGGCGCCCCTCATGGCTAAACAAGGAGGCCGGCTATCGCTGTCTTGTGGCTAAGGTAGCAAGCTGGCTGTGGCTAAGCTAGCGAGCTGGAGTGGCCATGGCAAAGCTAGCAAGCTAGATATGGCGGGGCTAGCAAGCTGGCCAAGATTAGGCTAAGGGGCTGGCCCTGGCTGCCGGGCTAAGCTAGCAGGGTGGCCATGGCCAAGCTAGCTAGCAAGCTGGCTCCGGCTAAGAAAGCAGCTACTGAGCTAGGCCTCGCAAAGGAAGCAGCTACCAAGCTAGCTATGGCTAAGCAGCTAGGAGCAAGCTAGCGATGGCCAAGCAGCTAGCAAGCTAGCTATCGTGGCCAAGTCGCTAGCTTGGTAGCCAAATAAGGCCGAGCAGCTACCTAGTGAGCTCGCTAGCTATGGCGCAGCAGCTAGCAAGCTAGCTATGATTAAGCAGCCAGCAAGCTAGCTATGGCTAAGCAGCTAGCTACATAGCTCTGGCCAAGCAGCTACCTTGCAAGCTCGCTATGGCTAAGCAGCTAGCAGGCTAGCTATGGCTAAGCAGCGAGCAGGCTAGCTATGGCTAAGCAGCTAGCAGGCTAGCTATGGCTAAGCAGCTAGCAGGCTAGCTATGGCTAAGCAGCTAGCAGGCTGGCTATGGCTAAGCAGCTAGCAGGCCAGCTATGGCTAAGCAGCTAGCAGGCGAGCTATGGCTAACTAAGCAGCTAGCAGGCCAGCTATGGCTAAGCAGCTAGCAGGCTAGCTACGGCTAGCCTACACCTAGCCAGGTAGCTACGGGCAAGGGGTAAGCGCGCAAGCTAGCTAGCTAGGGCTAAGAAGCTAGCAGGCTGGTAATGGCTAAGCTAGCAAGCCAAGGCCCTTGCGAGGTGGCGGCGGCCCTTAAGGGAGGGCCTATTATTAGCCTAAGTTTATTACAAGCATTCCTTAAGGAGCCTCCTTAAGGAGCGTTTTTGTTCCTTGAGGAAAAGCTATAGTAGATTTTTGTAATAAGCATTCTTGAAGGCGATCAATTTCCTTAAGGAAGGCACTGAAGGAAGGCTCTTAAGAATTTCAGAAAAGTTTCTTACCCTATAAATGCTAATATGATTCTGATGGCAATTATTTTGATGAGGATTCAATGGTAACGATAATGACGACAGTGCTCTGATGAAAATGAGTAACTTTAGTCAGTTACTCTAGGAACTCTGGTGGTGCTCCTCATCCTCATTGTATCACTCGCGGAAGAAGACATCCAAATAGGAGCCTTAACCTTTTCCACCTTTGATAGCTCAGCAAGTAAGTTGTCGACCTTGGTGGAAATGCCAGTATTGTCTGCAGCGTCCGCGGACAGTGCATTCATCTCTTTCTATGACAAGGAAAAGCTTACTCAACAACCTGACAAGGCACTTCCTACCAATTGAAGAAAACTGAGACTACATCAAATGTCTTGCATTTGCAGAAGCCGAGTTTCTCTTCATCTGAGTAAGAAGTTGCATCCACTGCGCTGAGTAACGTGGTATGCGTGAGATAAGTGCGTGAGAAGACTGAGAGATAGAGAAGAAAAGTAAGTGTCACACTTGAGCAGTTTATCATAAAGCCTTGAGTGTATTCCTCCTTTCCGCCCACTCTTTGAGGGACGTGATCGTTCCACGGAGAGATGTGCGAAGGTCTGCCACTTCTACCGCAAAGCTTTCATCTTGTCCTTTAGCCTGTTCAACTTGAGCTTGCGATCGGAACTCATTGAATTCACCGACAAAAGCCGCCAACTGGTTCTGAGGCCCGTCACTAAGCAGCGGGTTCCGAGACACCTCTCTAAAGATTAGAGCATCCTTAAAAGCTTCGTGTCCTCAGTTGGGTTCGCAACATATTTTCGCATTTCTTTGTCGAGTTTCTCGTTGTAATTCCTTTAGCAACACGTTATAAAGCAGAATTTTAATCGAGCAGTACTAGAATCCAACCAGCATGCATCTATAACGCGTTGCTAAAGTAACGCGTTAAGCCTGTCATAGTATGATGCATCTATGTATAACGATAACCTTATTTTAAAAGCACAGAAGTAAGCTTAAAGCTGCGCACCAGCTGATTATTATGAAGAGGCGATAGTGTGTAAACTATGTTGTTTGAAGGGACTAGTCGTATGAGGGAAAATCAAGCGGTCATTTCTGTTTATGTGCTCTATTAAGTGTGTGAACTGTACTCTTATATCAACATCATAGAAGTATTAAGCTACGTGTGAAACTGTGTTCTTTTAAATTAGGACTGAGCAACTACTGTTTCCTTACATTATTTCAGCACCATAGAGTTGTTGGTGGAGCAGACCTAACTCAGCATCATAGAAGTATTGATTAAGAACAAGTAGCAGAAGAAGTTACCACCTCTTGGGCTACATGTTGTTTAATTCAATGCTCTACGTCTTTGGCTACAGGTGCTACATGTTCTACATGTTCTACATGCTAGATGTTCGATTGTTCTGCATGTCCTAATGTTCTACATCTTCTAACGTTCTGCATGTCCTACACGTTCTAGTGTTAAAAATGAGCATGATGTTTGTTGCCTTAATTCGAGTTTCTGTGCGGGCTCTTTCGCCCACGGCGGCAATTTTTCGAAATCGAAGGCAGGCGTTTTCTCCTCGCCCTCAAGGTGTTTCACTTGCAACTCCTCTTCGAGCCCTTCCTGCCTACTCTCCAGCTCCGCGAGCGCTCGCCCTCGATTAGATCATGAGCGCAAAACAGCAACGGGTTAAGCGTAAGATAAGAAAGTGCCAGAATGGTTAAGGCGAGAGAGAGAGAATCGCCGCAAAATAACAATTCAGGAGTTCTTCAGGAGTCGTCCATTCCTTCAGAGAGCATTTGAGTGGAAGAAGGAAACAGAGGAAATTTGAGTGGTCCTTCCTTGGAATAATGAAAATCACTCTATCGAGGAGCCTCCAATTCAGATTCCCACAAAGGAAACGGAGGAAAATAGCCCTCGCAAATGCATTACTCTATTGTTTGAGCCTTCATGACCCCTTCTTGGAGTAATGAACCTAACTAGGAAAAGGCCGAAAAACACAAAAAGTGTTGAAGGTACAATTCTATAGGTAAAAAAATTATAATGGCCAACTCAGTAAGGAAAAAACTCTAGGTAGGTAAAAAAATTAATTCTAATAGGTAAAAAAATTCTAATATTAGGTAAAAAAATTCTAATATTAGGTAAAAAAATTAATTCTAATAGGTAAAAAAATTCTAATAGGTAATAAAATTCTAATAGGTAAAAAAATTATTCGATTGAGCCTTAAGTAATAATTCTTCGTCACTAAGCGTTTCCTGGACTTTATCGTGAGTCGGCTTGTACTTTTCCATTTCAATATGCTCCGTTTCCATTTTCTCTGCAAAGCCTCGAAGTTCTTGGGCGATGCCTCTATTAGAGCTCGCCCCAATTAATATCGGGCTAAGCGTGACATAAGTGCCAGAATGTTACATAAGGGCCCAAGTTGTATCTAATATTTTTATTTCGTCCTCTCATCTTGTAATATATAGGATAGTACATCTTGGTGAAGGGTGCTCTTTCTGCCCCTCGAAAACCCCATCAACATCCTGGTCGATCTTCTCGAGAATGCTTTTTCCCGGCGTTGAAAAAGAAAATCTCCTTTCCTAGGTGGGTGGTGACTTCTCTGAAGATGGAAAAGAACCCTCTGTCTCTCGTGACGTCTAGGAGACTACTTATACCTGTTAGGCTATAAATGTGAAGGGACTAGATTTTACACTGATTAAGGACAAAGCAAAGCCTTGTCAGTAGAGCGATAGCCTGTAGAGCGATGCATAGGCTATAAGTATCGCACTTTAGCTGCTTTTTCTACGCATGAGGTAGCGTGTTCCTCCTGGTAGAAATCATGCTTCATTATAGATACTTTCTTAGGGACGAAACAACAACAACTACAAGCCAGCCTTAACGATAATTTCTTCATTTTCAGATTGCCCTCGTCCTTTGGCCTCCTCGATCTCTCTGTATGGATGTCGTTTTTTCTCCCCTCTAAGGCGAGACCATCACGGCTACCCTCTTCCCGCCCTTACAAACCTAATATGACCTAGTCTTGAGGGGAAACCTCTCTTCCTTAAAAACCGTTCCCCCTCAAAGAGCATCACGATCCCCCCCTCGTCCAATAAAGTCTTTTTTTTTTCAGCCACAATAAAGTGGAAGTCACCTAATGAAAGCGAGCCAACATGGTCTCTTAAAAAAAGGGAGAATAATAATCATCATCCATACTTTGTCGAGCGCTTGAAGCTTGTCTTTCAAATTTTTAGGGACGTCCTCTCGTGTCAGCGAAGTGTCGACCTTGTTGTCCACGACTTCCAGGTTTCCCTGAATCTCTATCATTAGAAAATGAGGATGGTTAAACATAATGGAAGCACCACGTACGTAGCTAGTGGATGAGGATGAAGGTGAATATGTTAAGGCACAAACGATTATGAAGAATTGCAGTAGGGCTAGTAGGATCAAGTAGTGCATGGAGTCTGGGGTGGTTTAATTGGCATGAACGAGAAAGATGGCGCAGCATGATGAGGAAATCAGATGAAGAAGTATTAATACACGTAAAAAATAGAAATAAAGGGGAGAAAATGGAAAAGGGGGAGAAAGAACGGCTCCCCCAAACCGGAGAGACCTGCAAAGAAGCCACCAAACCCCAAAACACTCTCCAACAATGTAACTCACTCCAGCCGGCAGTGACGGCGAGCCATCCACCCCCCCCAGCAGGGCCTTGAGCGTCGCTGGACCTAAGCCACCACTTATCTCCTAAGCGGTGACCAAGCGATTTGCGGCCGGGCTGTGCGAGCGAGAGTGAGAAACTTGTAACTACGGAAGGCTACAAAAAAGGTCAAAGAAGTGAAGGCTCCAGATGAAGGAGATGATGGACTACATGAAGAAAAACGAATAAGGAAAAGACCGCCTCAGCTGTGGAAGCAAAAGTACTTAGCCACGAGTTAGTATCGCGTTCGTATCTTCCCCTTTGAGAGTCAGTACCCTTGGAGGAGGGTCATACACATCCAACTAAGCCTATTCTTCACGCTTTAGCGGTATGTATGTATGAATGTATCCGCTCAATAGAGCCCACAGCATTTGGGGGCCCTCCTTACATCAGTCGTGCTCATCGGGTTGGCGGGGGGGATACCCTTTTCTTAGCGGCAGCCTTAATTTTATCTCTTTCCTTGCGCCCTGGAGTGCGTTCATGTCATTAAGGATTGCAATGTAAACAGGCATGTTTCCATGCTTCTCTATGTTGTCCGCGTTGTCCGCTGCTGTTAGATGAAGACGTAGTACACCTCCTCTCTTAGTAGTAGTCCCCACCCTAAACCCTAGAGTTTCTTTAGCAACTTGATTTTTTCGACGCTCCTGTCAGTAAAAACGTCAATACTATTACGAGTCATCATTAGTGCGAGTGGTATTCGTGTTGGACTCTCTCTCTGTCGGTGTGAGGGTCTACTCAGGCCTATGTCCTCAAATTCAGGACTTTGCCGCTTGGTGGGATAGTCCTAGGTTACGAGGGAAAAACTAGCCGTTTGTTTTTTTCTCAAATCCAGGAGTGTGTCCTCAAATTCCAATAAACTGAGAACGACCGACACTAAACCTTGTGCTTAAAACATGTGCTGCGCCTACTCCCTCGAGGTGCGCTTGAGTCGTGGTCACCGCTTCATTTTCCTTAGTCGTTCGGCCTTGCCTGTGACGCGTGAATTAGAGGGAGCTTAGAATTTGTTCGTCCCATAGAGGATAGAGGATAGAGGATAGGAGGATCTACTAGAACAAGACGTACATAGTCGAGGGAAAAGCAGCCGGCTCTTCTCTTTAACTGCTTGAAGCGTCGCGGGGCCCCCCCAACCTTTACCGTATAACAAAAAAGGTAGAAGCCAATCAAGATTTGCAGGTTCGCAGCACGCCTCAATACTAGTACAAAATCTATATTATAAAGTTGTAACCCACTACTTGTAATTCATTCATTCACTCATTGGCGAACCACGTGACAACTTACGCTGCCTGATTCCGAAGTAACGCCTTACTGCAAAAAACTCGTTCTCTTTACTGCGTCGTCGGAAGTTGTAACCGCATTTTCTCCGGAAGTTGAAGAGGCCACGTTGTCCATAAACGTAGGTGTCGCCACATCTACTTGCCTCTCACGCATCTTACTGTCTCCACGTAATCTTGTGCCGCGAGCTCTTAGATCATCATCATGATATCCCTGCTGGTGGCCCTTCTCTGCCACTGCTGCAGTTGTTGTTAACATCTAATCCTTCTTTTCCTTTACACATTTTTGTTTTTCTAACATGATCTAGTACTTAAAGATAGCTGTCACGCGAAAACTACGTCTACGTCGAGTCTACGTAGGGTACGTTCCAACGTAGAGTGGGTAGACCCTATGACATCAGAAAAAGATTCTCCTGTATCTATTATGAGACATTAGTAGATACTAGAGAAGTCCACTTTACCTTATTACCTGACGGGATTAGTCTCAGGATAGGATAGGAATTGACTCACATTCTGCAGGGTAAGCCTGCCTCTTCGGTATTTCAAAGCTGACACCAGGGTTAATTTGTTCTTCGAAGAAAAAATTGTAAGGTAGTTATAAAGCAAAGAGATCCCCTACTTGTCTTATATTTCCTTGTCTTAAATTTCCATCCCAGGTAGCACTCGAGGGAGCATTCAACGACAAAAGAGGCGCGGTCCACAGACCGTAAGCGACGTAGATTAGCTGAACTTCTAGTACTGGGCTGATTAACTAGAAGGCAAAGGAGGATGGAGTTAGTGATTCATTCATTCATTCACTTCCCTATTCGAGGGGTGTTGTCCAGAGTGCGGGGACGACTCAAGTGTCAGTGACCTTAATTGGGTACATTTGCAAGACTTGTAGACTAGTAAATAGGAGAGGCACTGACAGGATTTGAAAATGATCTTCAAATGTTGTATTGTCGAGAAATCATCTAAGGATGAAATGAAGGTGAACATGATTCATGACGTTCTGAAATTGGGCGGTTTACTACTACAAATAAGGTAATAGTTATTAGACTCGTAAAACAGTGATTACGGTTTAGTACTACTCGTAAGGAATGGACTCGTGCCGACAGGAGCACAAGGAAAACGCTGACGCACTGCAACGCCTTGGCCACGAGATAGGCGAGTCCCAGGACCATCAACGCAGCAAGGATTAGAGAGCGTTGTGATTTTTTTTTTGAATGAGCTAGTATGAAGGAATGAATGAGGCATTTGAGAGTGCTAGTATCCTTCGAAGATGAAGCTTCTTTTTCAAGTAGAAAAAGAATAGTTACTCTTTGAGAGTGATAGTATCCGTCAAAAGAAGCTCGTTCGCATCTTCCAAGATGAGGCTTCTTCTTTGTCTAGTTCTTCGAAAAAGAAGAACCAAGACGCTCCAGCCAGGAGATGCTGTGTGTCTAGAGGAGAGGGATGCAGCTTCAACGGTAGCCTTAAAAGGACAGCGAAACCGGTGCCCACGATCGCACTCCGGAACAAAGAGAACTCGCTACAAATTAGAGGACGATCTAATGGTTGAGAGAATGATTCTCCCGTAATCACTGAATGAATGTGTTCTCCAACTATCTAATGGATGAGAGCGTGATTCTCCTTGGGCTTCCTTATCTTTTGAGTCGTTCTTCAATGGATGAAAACTCCAAGGAGGATAAGAATTACAATATGAAAGAAAGGTGGCTCCATATTATCGATCCTGTGATACCAATTAGCAATGAGTTTTTGGTAAGGCTGAGAAAAGTGCCACCACTCAGTGGATCAGGAGAGGAGAGGAATATCAATCAATGAAATAGTACGACTTAGGTAAAGTTAGTAATCGTTGAAGTCTAGTAGAGATCTGCTTCATCGTCTTACTACTAAAACAACAAGGTAAAGTTAGTAAGTGCCGCTCACTTACTACTAGTAGTTACGATTTACTAGTAGTTAGTAATCAGTGCAGTCTAGAGATCTGCTTCATCGTCTTACTACCAAGTAAAAGAGCAGTGTAGTACTTAGTAAGTAGAAGTACCGTTCATTTTCATAAGAAAAGCACGACCATCTGGAAATACCATATTTCCGCTTTTGTCTCGGGCCCTCGAAAGTTCTCTTTGCCGTCTGCTTCTAGACTTTTCCCACTCAGAATCGCAGTGGCCACTGCACTTCTAATTAGAAGAATCCAATTGAGCAAGAAGAGTTACCCAACCTACACGGGTAGTTACTCTACTTACACAGATAAATCTTCGAGAAGATAGCAGCTACTAGTTCCAGAGTGCTCTTTTTGGAGTCCAGCTACGTCTTCCGAAGTCGTGCGCAGTTCCTTTCTTGCATGCTGTAGTCCCTGTTAGCATCGTTCATGATGGCCGCAGAGACGGGGTCAGCATATCTAAACTACTACCACGTTAATATTAGAAATATGCGCCATAAGTCACCTCTTGGCGGATCGACCACATAGTTCAGGAAATGCCGACAGGTTCCGCAAAATTCGATCATTAGATGAATGGCATCAATCTTATACAGTACATATTTTCAATCTTCAGACCAAATAATGGCACGGGAACTACCTCAGGAAATGAGAAAAGGGCGGGGTTGTAACAATGAACAAAGGTAGAGACCAAATCACATCTTTTGCGATGAGTCAGATTCATTCATTCTTGACGAAGGACGTGACAACCGTAGCGACCCGAGTAGAGACGCGGCAAAGCAGCGATAAGTATGCATGCTTTTGTCCCTGTTGCCACCGTTCATGGTGACCGTAGAGACGTGGTCTGACGGTATTTCTATTATACCCGATCAACAATGAATATGAATATGAAGGCCGTAACTTGAATTCATCGAGATACTGACGGTCCGCCTGTGGCCATGCACGAACTAGACTTGTTCGTCGCTTTCCTGTAGTACTCTCATTAGCAGAGGTAGGGCCTTCGTGTTTCTGAAAAAATTTTCGCTCTGGAAGGAACGCGCCACCTTCCTCCTCATCCGAAGAAATCGGCTTGCTGTTATTAAAGCTCAGCATTCCTTGGTCAGCATCTCTCTGAAGAACGGAAGCGACCCCCTTCAAAGCTCTCCCCTTTGTTCCCTTCGTTTATTTCCCCTGTTGGTTCTCTCAAGAAGGGGTCGCCTCTTCGATCTGAGTGACCAACCCCAATGACCATTGATTCACTCATGTGCCTGGCATGAGGTCATTGTTGGAAGATATCTATTTCTTCTCTTGAAAGTTGAGCCTTAATGTTAGTCCGAAACATCTTCACGACCACACAGCCAAATGTGCACCTGGTACGTAACTCTTAGGTAGTTGTACTAGTACACCTCTTGTAATGCTGATCCGGATCTTGGAATTTTTGTTCCCACGACGAGCGTCAACTTAGGGCAAGCTCAGTTGCATCCCTGGTAGCGTCCTGCCTTGGCCTCTTTGCTTTCCTAGCTGAACAAAAGGGAGCCAAGGATGATGTAGTTGAGGATGCACCAGGCGCTGCCTTAATCAACCTAGTGTTGAGCGTCCACACCCCGCTCAGCTATGTTTGCACCGGCGCTGCCATGATTTTGTTTTCCAAGTTTTTATAGTATGTGAGGAGTCTTTGCTACGAATTATGTTGTCTTCATAAAAGGGTAATGGCCTTCTCCCCTCTTGTTCCTGTAAGGAAGCAAATACCCTCTACACTATTTTCCACAAAACGGAGCAGCAAGATCTGCATTTCACAGAGAACTACATGAACCACTAGTTACAAGCAAAAAGATTTGTATTTCATTACGAACTCCATGTGCTACTAGTTGCGACTACAAATGGAACGATTACAATTAGGTACAACGCGGATAGTACGATTGAATACTAGAGAGGCGTACCTAGAACAACTCAAATTCTGTATTTCTTGATAGAGAAAAGAATTAAAATGAGAAGCTCGAGAGTTGTTGAGAGGTGTGTTTGTGGACAGAAGGATCAGTGCTACAACCGAGGACAGAAAGCGAAGCGGCCATCATGACAAATATTGATATTGATGTTCGGATAAGCCGATGAAACACGACCTTGACTTCTCGTATAGACTCGTCACACCAAGAACCGAAATGTGAATTACTCAAGGATCGTTGAGCAAATTCTTCGCTACATATATACATGATACCGAGACCGACGTTGGCAGACTTCTACCCCACTCGATCACAGGAATGGTGATGATTGAAACCGAAGAAGACCAAAATCATTACATTCTCTCAAACAAAAAAATTTGTCATCTAGATCACGACATGAATGAATCTTTATAGCTTGCGCTGTCTGCGTCAAAATCTTCAGGAAGACTTTGTGTAGTAGAAAGACCATTTTGGGGAACACTATACACTTGCAGATGACAGTCCGCGTCCATCAAGAAGATGATGATGAACTTGAAGAAGTTCTAGTTCTACATGTTGAATAGTTGTAGTTAGTGCTCAGATGAAAATATTGCAACAACTTCTTATCTATCAATGTGCACTTGTGACGTGTTTCAACAAGAAAAGCTTTTCCCGAAAAGCGAGTGTCTAAACGCTTAGGTTTTCACCACTTATTTTGTCCCTCCTGTTGTACTATTTCCAGAAATCTAGTTGCGCGCCGACTTCTTTAAGACTGAAGCTATACGCTCCACTTCTGCCCTATGCTTTCTCCAAGAAGCGGTCTAGAGAAGAGAGAGTGATTAGTAGCGCCTCTTCCGCTCGAATCGTGCGACTGGTCTGGTGAGGGCAGGTGTTCAAGTAGTGGTGGCAGATCTGTCTGGGGTTCTTAGACACTGACCACTTGTTATCTTCTTCTTTCTTCCCGGCGAGCTGTGACTCCTGCTCTCGTTTGACGAAGATCGGGTCCTTCATGACGGCTTCGAGTCCTCCTAGAGAGCCGAAAAGGACTAGGCAATGCTTGAATTGGAGTTTCTTCTTAGTGGAAAACTCCGTTCCCATATCCCGACCTCGTTCACTCGTCCCCAAAACTAGATCGTAGTTCTCGAAAGGATGAAAGGAAAAATTCATCTTTTGTCTCCTTTTGGAAATCAGAGCGGCTCCTTTGTTGCTTACTGGTTGTTCCTCATCTTGTTCGCACCAAAAAGGCTTTTGCGTGAAAACCTCTTGGAGAGAGCGGCATGTCCGCGTGTGATAGCCCCAGTAGATGCCCAGCTCTTCTCTAGGGACTGAGGGAGAAACGAGCTCACCGTAACGAAAATCCTCCTGATTCAGACGCACCGTTACCTGGTGACAGATCCGTTGAGAAGAATCGGGTAAAAAGCTGGGTAAGAGAAACACCGATGAACAGACTCTCAGCTGAGAGGGGACAGACCTGGGCCTGCGAGAGAGAGGAAGAGAAAAAGAGAAGCATGATGCAACAAGACTACCTTAAGAAAAGCAACATCACATTGGTTGGTATTACACGATGACCATCGATCAAAAAATTCGATTCTGTTAGTACCCTAACGCCTTCTTCCGCGCCACAGCCATCTTCTATCCAGACTGGCTCGTCCAGACCGCAGCAGACAAAGACACCGTCTTTTTTCGGCTTCGTATACGGGTGATGTTTCTCTACGAGAATCACACCCTCTCTGAACTGGATGTTCTCGCCTTTCCGCAGATGATGTGGTGCATCTAAGGGGTTCTGTACTCCCGCAAATTTCAAATCCGAATGCATCGGGAATAAAATCTTGCGCAGATATTGTGGGGTTTCGAGGTATTGCAAATTCAGAGCGAAGAAATTCATGGCCCAACTAAAAGCTTGCTCTTCCGCTTGTTTTGAGGTGGTGGATGAAGTAGAAGAAGTGGAGCTATTCGTCTCCTTGTCTTTTTTGGTGTCGTTGCCCCAGCTCTTGTCATTTCCCCAAGAATTATCATTCCATGCTCCACCGGAATTCCAGGAACTATCGTCTCCTCCCGGTCCTTGCTGGACTAACTCCTCTTGATCTTCGTAGAGTACTACTTCATCAACGCCGTAGATCGTCAAAGCTCGTGCTATCTGTGCGACCAGGTAGGACCGCAGTTCATGACTCTGCGCATTGGCTACTATGCTTGCCGGAAGGGCTACGGAAAGGGTCCAGTCGCGTCCACCGGCTTTCCCCTTGTACATGAAATCCACGGCGCTGGGCTTCTCGTGCTTAGCACGCTTGGCCTGAGGACCGCTGTCCTGGTCCTCACGCTTAGCTTTCGACTTGTTACCCATTTTTTTGATGTGGAGTAGAGAAAATGGAAGATGTCACGAGTCGTCTTGAGTTTTCACTAAAATGACAATAGGCGCAGATGCTGTCGTAGGAGGTGGTAGCGCTGATGGCAATAAATACACTGTGGGGGTGGAAAAGGAACTATTTTGACTATGCTAGTGTAACATTAACCCTCCCGTCTGCAGTCTTCTCATGCTAAATCAATTTTCCACCACAAAAGGTATCAACGATCTGGTTGTGATCCTCGCACTATCATGAAAACGATCTTCGTGTTGATCCGTAGGATGATCTAACGGGTCCAACTACTTGATCTTTCTCCAGTAGATCTTACAAACAGGTCACAAAGAAAATTTGAGGTGATCCATCCGGAGGTGGGACTAGGGATCTTCTGATCTGGTACAAGCAGCTAGTGCTAGAATCCATGTATTGCTTCATGGGATACGCCTAAGTGGAGAGGACCTTCGATGAAGACCATGGATCTGTGTCCTGTTTACAGCTACGATCAGCGTTCTCCTCTAGCACGACGTTTTCTCAGCGAATCAATGATGACCCATTTATTGCCGAACTGTAGGTTGAAGAGATCTCTTTGCGGCTCACTTGTGATTCAGCGCATCCTCTCTGCGCCAATGCCAAAGGAGCACGAAGCCCTTCTGGAGATTGTTGCCACCTTTGGGTCCTTCATACGTTAAGTAGTAATTCTCTAAAAATATTGTTCAGTGTAAGAACGTGGCCTTTGGCTTCCATACTAAAAGTCAAATCTACATAGTAGATCTAGATACAGTCTTCGAATTACTGAGTAGAAACTACATAGATACAGTCTGTTCGATCCCCTTGTCCTGTAGTGCAATTCATTATCATCGCGCGGTGTCTAACAATCTCACAACACGTACTTCTGCATCTGGTACCTACAACTCCCTGGGTGATTCTCTCTGGTTGTTTCTAGCTAATTTGTGCTCAACGACCAGCTGTACTATCCCTCCAAATCGGCAATCTACCGAATTGTTTGTTCTTGAGCAAGTCCAAGATGTCTGCTTCTATGCGAAAAAATAAAATCTCATAGACGAAATGACTCCCACGATCAATCAAACTGTGGGAACACGATAACTGAAGCTAGGTTTGGTTATGAATCCTGCACAATGAGCTCACCCGGACACCTGGCTTACCTCATATATAAGTAAGAAGACATGTCAACAAGTCTCGTTAAAAATTGTAGTCTTCTCTAATACTTAGTTAGAAAGTTCAAAATTATGGGCTATGGAAGGAAATGAAACACTACCTAGAAAATAAACTCCACGACCTAAATAGGAGGACAATAGAAACTTCTAGCCCCTAGAACATCAGTATAATGTAAGGAAAAGAAACAAAACGCTTCGAAAGCGTAGAACCACAAAGACCGCCGTGTCTCGCTTTCTAGTCGTACGAACATAATTATACCATAATGTGAATAATTGCCTAGTGCGATGAATGAATTGACAGTAGGGAAAAGTCGAAGGAAAAATAAGTAGCCTAGTGCGATGAATGAATGCCAAGTCAATCAATAATATGCGGCCGGCTAACGAGCGGCGGTGCTGGATAACGGAGGAACAAACAGACCCAGGGCCAACTCTGGACTGTGCGAGCACGACTGTGTTCCCGCTGACCTAGCCCACAAAAGATCATCCATCAATCAATCAATCAATCAATCAATCAATTCTAAGTATGCTGCATCGTTCATGAAGGCGTAACGTGTCTGAGTATGATGCGTATTCAACGGCCAGTCTAATATTTGCTTATACCACAAAGACCGAGTCTACAGTCTTGTCTGTGATCAAACTTTTATTACCCAATGAAACGATGTAGGTATTATATAAGGCTTCTAGTAGAGGAAGGTCAAGCCCAGACACAGACTTAAATAGAGAAAATCAATGTAAATGCCGCAAAATGATCTTAAGAGTAACAAGCGTCACATTCATCACTGACTCATCTAAAAAGACTGCCCTTGCAACCTCGTCTTCACATCCTCGTCCTCCTATTGTAGCTACCAGACGCCGGCGGCGCTGACCCTAACTAAAAAACTGAGCTACATCCATCATTCATTACAATTTGCTTTGACATGAGACAATGAGTGATCAGCTGCATCAGGCACGCAGCGCAATTGCAATACTTCTAGTAGTATAAGTAACCTGAAAATATAATGCAAGTAAACTATAAGGAACCAACTCAAACTCATAGATCCACAATTTTCAGCCTTTGCCTTGCTCACCATTCGCTGTTCTGAATAGTATTCTTACAACATCGTCTATCTTCGCCGTCAATGATTCTTAGATGCATAGTGCTCTGTAAAAACTACTGATGTAAATATCATCTCCGGCATATTACATTTGGAGTTTACTAAAAAATCTACACATGATCACCAAGAACGTAACCTACTTTGCCAGTGTACTTCTACAACATGATGCCAAGAACGTAACCTACTCTGCCAGTGTAGAAGTTCTGCGTTTCTCGACATCGTCCAGTTCGACTAGCTTCGCGTACACAGCTTTAAGCCGTTCCTCCAAGCGGGGTGTTTCTTGCCAGACGGCAGATGACTGGTTCCTCTGTCCAAAGCGACGTCGCAGCCACGGTTGTCTTAGAGGTGGTGGTGGAAATAAATTAGTCTGAATGTACAATTCTAATTCTGTATCGAACTTCTTCTACCAAGAATAGTTTTTATTGCTTAGTTTCATCATCTATTGGTTAGTGTATAACACTTTCCATCGGTTCATACAGCATTAGTTGAATAGAAAAAAACAACATTCTGGTCGATCCCAGTCCTAAAAATTCGGTTAGAAAGCATTCATTTCTAGTCATGTGCTGCTAGCAACATCCAGAGCTAAATGCATAAGGAACTGCAGATACAACTGCTGCTAACTAACACCAAGTAAAACATAGGTTCATCTCAGCCTTAACAACAACTGAATAATCGCGAGGACATTTCTTGGCGAAGAATTATGGACGCTTCTCTCTCTACGACCGGTGGCAGACGTAGCACCCAGGTCAGCAAGGTCTGTGAGTAATTCGGGAAGTTTGTCCAAGTCAATCCATCCTATCTCTCTGCGATACAGATGTCCAATCTTGCGCCACTCATCGCCTATGGCGTTGCGAAGCTGCTGGAGCGCGGCAGGATCCTGATTGGGGGGGTCGTGTAGGTTTGTTGATTCTGTTTCAATGTTCCGGTTGTAGGTATCATAAGTACGGGAGTCCAGAGGATCTTTGAAGAAGTACTTCAACCTGAATCTGGAACAAAATATCGTCACAAGGTTCCCCGTCAGCACCAGCACACCTTTCAGCATCTTGTAATGGTACTATGCTTAAATAGTTGTAATAGTACCACATCGCCAGCTTTTTCAGCGTCTTGTAACTGTTTTTCCATACGGAAGACGCCGCCGAGTTCTCGCGGATTCTCTAGCGTTGCTTTTAGATCTCTGTAGAAACCGTTACCCAGATCTGTGTTTGACCTGTGGAGATTCGAGATTGAACGACGTAGAGTAAATGTACTTAAAATTTTTGTTGTTCTTTCACATGTGGGAACCCGTAAACCCTAATAAAGTAGACTCCCTCTTCTACTTGAATCAAAATTATACCAGTTCTCCTTATGGTCTGCAATCACCTCAATTGCGAAGAAGATGCTTCGCTTCACTATCGGTTCTATCTTTGATGCAGAGGCAGGACTCTGAAAGGCAGCAGGAACAAGAGTGGCAGCAGTAGGAGACACAAGTACTTCTGGGGAACTCATTATCCGTCTTGGACCAGACTGTTGTTGACGGTTCGAAGAAGAGGCCGTCTCCTGATCTTCTACTCTAAGACGTTGCTCTCCTTGTTCTGTACTAGAGGGGACTGAGTCCACCAAAGTGTCCACCAAAGTGGCGTGGTCGATATCGTCCCGGCCAGGTCCTCCTACGATATTTCCATAGTATTGCTTTTCATCCTGTAACTCAATCACTGTTTCAGGCGCTGGCCTCGGGATGGTGTAATCGAACACTTGATCATAGCGAAGGCCAGTTTCCTCAGCAAGTTCTCGTTGTGCTTCTCCTAGTAACCACTGCAGGTCCCGGTAAGTCCGCATGGCAGACTGGTGTGCTGTTGGGGAGTCTGGTCCTGCGTTTGAAGTAGACCCAAGCTGTCGTGGATCTTCTGGAGTACCAGTTCCATAGTTACTAGCTCCAATCCCAACACCACCTCCAACCCCCATTTCTTCCTCTACTTGCTCCGCTGATGCTGATTCGTCTGTGGTCGGCTGACTTGTTGAGAGGTATCGTTTATCCCTACTGCTTGAAGCCTGTTCAGAGGACTGCTTCACAAGCTGTTCCTCAGACAAGGCTGCTGTACTGAATCCGAGGAAAGCGTTTTTGTTTCCTTGTTGACGGGCTTCGTCCGCTGCCACGGCAACTGCAGGCTGATTTTCGTCCGCGGGAACGGCAGTTTCAGTAGAGGAAATCTGCGCAACAACAGCGGCAGCTCCTTCTTGCTGTTTGCCAGCTTCAAGAGTGGATCTCCCTTCTGGCTGTTTCAACACATGCTCAGAATCGGATGGCGCTTCGACGTGCTTAGGCAAATCCAAGGCAAAATCATCGAAATGTAAATTTTCTGCGTGTAAGAGCTTCTTTATGACGCTGTCTTGCACCTTACCTTTAGGAAGTTCTGGAGCATGCGAATGCTTGGCCTTGATAAAAGCGATCATAATCCGACCGTCCTTGTCGAAACGGACTGGAATGCAGCCAGCTAGAAGCACCCGCTTGTACGACCTTAGAGGAGGAGTAGGCTCTTGTACCACAGCTAGTGAAGAGGAGCCAGAAGATTCATCTTGTGGCACGACAATTGCCTGTGACGAAGATGATGTCGCAGTGGGTGCTGGCTGAAGGAATGATGTCGCTGTGGTCGACGATATTCTTAGAGCACCACGGCCGGGTGGAGAAGGTGCTAGCGCTCCTCCTTCGTCAACAATCGACGACCCTTCGTGTTGCCTTCCTCCACTTCCCCCACCAGTTAACATTTGCCTCGATGATGCTCCCTTTTTCTTACTACTTTTCTGCTCTCCTCCGCTATCTCCCCTCCTAGTGGTCTCTAGCTGTTTCATCAGTGCATGTTTGTTTGCCTTTAGAAACCTTACTGTAGCGCGAAACATGATATCCGCGTTCCTGTACCATGAGTTTGGCCCTTCGTGGTCATCCGTAAAATGCTCACTGTTTCGTAGATTGAACCGAGGCGTCTCAAATCTGCGTCCCACGTCGAAGAACCGGTGCTGAATCCCTGCAGGCTTCACTTGCAAATCCAGCTTTCGCAACTGCTCTAGATCAACGACCTGAGAGTCGCCTTTTTCACTACGGAACCGCTCGAATTCGGCTTTGATGAAGCCTTGAGATGTCACCTGGATTTTTTTCAAATTCGGCTTTGATGAAGCCTTGAGATGTTACCTGGATTTTTTTCAAGGAGAAACACGTTATTTCTACTTGGGCGTGCAAACATTAAATCGAGCCTGTGTATCTACCTATGATACCGTGAAAAAGACTACCTCTACTCATGTAAACTCAAATGGAAATACCTGGAACACCGAGGGGTGCGAAGTAAGAGCTTCGTCTCTCCATGCTCTGCAGACCTCTGGCACTGCGCAAATGTGCGTCTCCAAATGTATCTTGAAATTCCGGAAGGGCGTCAGTTCGTTTAAGGTCAGAGTGCTCTTTGCTCTTGTACTAGTACTAGCGTAGTTGATAGTCAACATAGTAGGCAGCAAAGCTGCTGAGGTTGCTGCTGATGCGGTCGGACGACCACTCCCCAAAGCTAGATGCTGATCTTGTAGCACAGAAACTCTAGTAGTGGCAGAACCTCCAGTACTGGAAAGAACTCCAGAAGTAGCACCGGGTGTACTAGTGATGTTCGGATTTTGATGTTGTAAACCGGAAGTTGCGGAGGTTGGGGTCAGCGGTCCTTCACCGGTAACTGGCCCTGGTACTAACTGACCCTGCGCCTGGAGCGAAGAAGAAGATAGAGGAGTAATATGACTGCCAGGAGAACCTCTCATGAAGATCGGTGCAAAGGAGCGTATCGCGAGTACGGCGACAGCTGTAAAGACGCAAATGGCTAAGGCAACGACGCTGATAACTACAGTTTTTTGGGTTCTCGAAAAGGATCGCCAAGACGCACAAACGGTCTTCGTCCCTTTCAGGTCTTCTACATCGGCCTCAGCGCCACTGTCTTCCTGCTCATGAGCATCCCCATCATCTAGTGGTCGTAGTAGACGCCTAGAAGTTCTTGTAGTTGTACTACTTTTTCTAGTAGTACTGTTGATCTTCCCCGATCCAGACGAGGTCGCTTTGGAAAAGTTCTTGAGGTTTTTCGTCCGTGTCAATGCTGCATGTGGTACCAAATTCAACCGCTCGAGACTGGCAGCTGCCTCTTGACTCCGAGTCACGGTGAGCGACCTCTTTTTCCCGCTCACAGCACTATGCGACACGAGAGATGTAGAACATTCTAATGGTAACATTTTTGATCCTGTGAAAGCTCGTTCATCGTCTATGATAGTTGTTTCAGCGTGGTCTCCATGCTGTTCTTGAGCTCCAGGAAATACCGTTCCGGTGGAAGTGTCAACTCCGGCTACTTTCTGTCGCTTCCTACGACTTGGCAGCTTAAATCGATGGCTCAACATGGGACTATGCGACAAGCCAGGCACTGGGGCAGCAGACCTGTTTTTTTTTGGATTTGAGACCTACTACCAGGTATTCGATACGCGCTGTGCGCGTGGAATAGTAATCCATGTCGAAAAAAATGATTTGGCCTTCTTATACGAGTTCCGCAGTGCTAACTTCACAGTCAAAATCTTTTCAAAAATAAATCCTAGTACAATCTTGGCACTAGTCCGCGTGTTCCTTTTTGGCTTCCGCGACTCGAGCCCGTCTCATGTGTCCCGCCAGAGAGCTGACCATCGCTGATTGACGCTTCTGACGAAGACGAGGGTGCGAATTTTCGTGAAGACACACCCGCTTGCCAATAAAGGCCTGGCTTGCTTTCTGCACTACTAAGCGCAGAGTTCCAAGCAGTTTCACAAGTTGTTTCACCCCCTGAAGCACATCCAGTCGACATGAAACCACCATCAGATGAAAATACGGGAGGTGGTGGCATTCCTCTAGTTGGTGCTTCGTCTAATAAAGGAGTAGTCTCTTCGAGGTTCTCAGGATTCGCCGTATCGTCGGATGCTGCTGGTGGTAGGCATGGTGCGGTAAGTGAAGAAGTAGTCCAATCAGCAACAACCCCTGCTCGCAGATCACGGTGCTTCATCTTTGTATGACAGTCTTCAGGTGCATGACCACTGCTAAGTCTAAGTCCTTCTGCTCCTCCTTCATCATCCGGATGCTCCAAGAGTTCTCTCTGCCCTTCCTCTCGTTGTCTTCGCTTTTCCATCCAGGTGTTCTTTCCAAGAGCATCGTCTGAAGGTCGTCTCCTCTGCGTCGAGTGTAAGCGCGATATATCGTTGTCTGCGCAGTAGCCACTACGTGCACCTATTTTTCTTCGACGTCGGCGCTTCCAATCATCTCCATCTGTTTCGCTTCTACAAGACAAATATCCTGGAGCCGGTGGGATCACCGCACTGCGATACGACCGAAAACCACCACTACTACTAGAAGAGGGGATTATCGTGTGGTGATTATCGCGTGGTGGATGTGTCAGTTCTGTTGTGCTGCAGGTCGTTCCTATCCGAGGCTCTTCGTCGATCCGATCGCAAATGCGTTGCGGGTAAGGAGTCGGCTGCTCTACGGAGGTTGCTTTGATAGAAGTAGGATTCTCAATACTTGCGCGCCGGTGTATCAACATAGTCGTTGTTTCATTATTTTTGGATGCGGTCTCATCAAGAACGAGACTATTCTTCGCAACAGAAAAAGCATTCTTCTTCTTGTTCCCACATGATGCTCCTTCAGCACCGACACTTGCCGATGGCGGCGACGGCAGCGATGTGGAGCAACTACTGCCTCCAAACTCGCATGAGCCGGTGATGCGCCGGCGTGTACCACCACTGTGGGTTGAGCCGCCGCTTTCATCATGTTGTAAATGATCCCCGTGAATAAAGTTGGTTTTGTCGTGACTTGCAGACGCAGAGGAAGTTCTTGATAAATGACAACTGTGTTGCTGCGTCGAGGACTCCTGTGTTGCCGCGTCATACTCCGTACTACTCAGTGCATTAGACGAAAATCTCGTGTTTCATGTCAAGATGCTCCCGCTAGTGAACTACTTAAAAAACATAAACTTATAAATGTATACTGTTGATATTTTAGAAAAAATCATCTATACTCATTGATGTGGAAGAACCTCTGGAGCCTTAAGTTGAGCTCTTTGCGCAAGACGGCTAAGTTGCTTCCTCCATACCGCATCGCCATGCCTCATCTCTGAGGCTGAGGCTGACATCGTACGAGCGCAGTCACTGCTCATCTCGTTCTGCGATCCATCCCGGGATAGATAAATGTCGTATCCACTGTGTTCCAGTAAGCGGTCGCGACAAAAGTAATAGGCTCTTCGCATTTCGCGGTCTGTATCATCAGCGCCCGTCGCTACACCGGAATCAGCTTTCTCCGCTGAGTCCTTCCTCTTCTTTTTCTTCTTCTTAGCTACGGTGGGCGATGTTTCCTTTGCTGTACTAATTGCTGGAATACTAGTACTAGGACGGAAGATACTAGGGACTATACTGATACTAGGTACAACTTCTATGCTTTCGGGAAGCGGTTCTGGTGGAATGACGCTTTGTATTTGTTCCGCATTACAGTCTGAACCTAGGATCGAGGTATGATCGATTGTATGGATCGAGGTATGGATCGAGGCATTGCTGGTCCCTGTCTTCGTACAAGTGCTTGTCCTTGTTGTCGTATTATTTTTATCATTTTTGACTAGAATGCTATCGTCATTACCTTCAGAAGCAGGTACTACTACATCTACAGAAGGCACGTGGTCTAAGTGGTCTATTTTCACGTCATGCAATGACCGAGGAGACATGAAATCCCCAACGCTGTCGTTATCGTAGATCCAGGCTGTCGCAGGCTTATCTAAGTTGAGGCCGCAATTGTCGGAGGAAAACCCGGCATCTGAGGTACTGCCGAGCCCAAGATGACCCGGGCTACCGCCAAGAACGCCTCTCCGAAGAGAGCTCGAGGCCTGAGAAAAACCAATCTGCTCCGGCATTTTTCTCCTGCTTGGTTGTCGGTCTAGAATAAATCGGTAAGCTTGTTGTACTGCATTAATCAGTTACTCTTACTTTTTCGAATGTTGACTACTAGTAGAAGTCATACGCCTTTCTTTGCATTGTTCTTTACTATCATTAGCACGAGGACGAGCTCTTGCAGCATCGATTTTGCCACGATGAGTATAAGAATAGTGGAACGAGAAACTGGAAAACGAAACGTGGTACTAGATTTGTTTGGGGCGATCATTCACATTTTCATACTATGAGCACAAACAAAGACTCCATATATGTATGATTATGATAGTACACCAGAAGAAACGATTTAAATGAAACTTGTGCAACTCGATATATCGTATGCCAGAATAAGCGTGTAGATCTTAGAAGACCAAGAAATGCCATGATACTAAAAGGATCTGAGACTAAATAACCACGAGGGTGTCAAAATAAACCTATCGACGCTCTGCACTCAAAAAAGAGAAGGGTCCATCGGCCCTACCACGTAGTCTTTGCAGAGTTACCAAGGCTATAAGTTAGTAGTGGTTAAAGATAAAGGAAGTGACACTTAAGTGATTACTTACAACGGAAAAAGTCACGCCTAAGCTAGTGAGCAATAGTGTCAGTCTATCAGATAGACGAGGAAACAGTAATACCTCCTCAGGATCGATAGGTTAAGTTGGGGTCAACCCAAGCATCCTAAATGAGAAAAAAAAAGACACGAGATACTAAGACACTTCGTACTAGGGTTTCATCCTTATTATCGAAAACTGCTAGAGCCTCATGCGATTCGTTCAGCATCCCAAAAATTGTCAGAAATCACACTTGGTGCGAAAACACACCACACAGGCGAAAAGTACACATACAAGTACTTACAACGCCTCCCTCTTGGGGAGGAGGGCCAAGTAGTCCTGTCATTTTTGTGAACAAGCGGAAACCACTTATGAAACCAAATTAATAGAATTCTTCTAGCGTCAAAAGTTACAGTATCAAACTTGTTACAGTGAATGGAGACCAGAAGGAGAATGTGGGAAGGCAACTGAATTTTTTTTGTGCACATCGTAGATCGCTGTGCACATCGTAGATCGCTGTGAGCATCGTAGATCGGATCCACGGAGATGAAATTCTTGAGACATCTGTATTGCACAGCTGCTTTCTGTGGCTTCTACAACCTGTCACGGTTGTCAGCACAACAAGGCAGATTTTTTTGCCTCACAAGGCTGCTTCAGCACATGCCTGCAATGTACTGGTGTAGAGATGACATGAACACTTCGACATGTTTCTGCATTTCGTCGCTAGAAGTAGGAATCGAGACAACGCATTCTGAAGAATAATCTCTCTCAGAATTTTTGGTTGGTATGGGAAAAAGCAAGCGCGAAGAAGTAGAAGAAGTGAGTGAGTGTTTCCAATCGAAAGAATCTCATGGTGCGTTGATTCTTGATTTCTATTATCATTACGTCCAGTCCATCGTCGACGTAGCATCAAGACTAGGCCTGTTTTCCGCATAGCCAGCCTGTGCACCCTGATCATAAAGGCCAGCGATGATATCCGTGAGCGTTTTTTTCTTAGAGTGAGAACACAAAAGAAGGGCTTCTGTTTATTCAACTTAAGCTATGGACCTCCAAGTCTACGAGACCTCCTTATTTGTGGATGATGATGATGATGATTGTACCTATTCTAGAGGTATCTATTAGATGTTTAGGATCATGTTTAGGATGTGGTAAGAGCATGAGGAACATGTCGTGTGTTCGCTCCGTGTCTAGCTCCTAGCTTAAAGAAGATGCTGCTGAGCGATTCGATATGACTCAAAACAACCATGTCATGTGTCCACCTCATAATTTTCTGAGCTTCTAGGCCAACAATCGTTTGCCTGAGCTCATCTCTTTCTTGGATCACCGCATCGCGCTCTTGGATTGCCGCATCCCTCTCCTGTCTCGCAGTAGCCCTTTCCTCCATAAGGGTAGTAAGTTGCGCCGCAGCCTCGCTCTGACCAGTGGCCCTACTGCGGGAAATGAAAGAAATACGTTTTTTTTACAGTTTGTTTTTAATATTGATGTCAAACAATCACTGGTTACTGACATAATCGATGTTGCCAGAGGGAGACGAAGAATTCCATTAGGCAGGGTTTTCCTGTCATGTAATCCTTCCGCACCATAAGCAAACTTTCTATCTGCGCCTTTAGTCCGTCACGCTGCTGCTCGAAGTCGATCTGCGCTGTTCTTTCAGCGAGTAGGAGATTGTCGCATTTTCGCGCTAACTCGTCTTTTTCGTTCCGCAGATTCACGATTACTGTATTAGCATCTTCGATTTTCGCGTTACTTCTCCGTAAGAGATCATCGTTTTCTTTTCTCAGTTTATCCACAGTCTTACTCAACTCCTCTTGCGTAGTGCGTTGCTGCTCGCGTCGCTGCTGGTCTGAACTGCGGGTGTCCTGGAAGAGTGAAGAAATTGAAATGACTTGTTACACCATATGGAAAGTGAATAAGTAGGTAAGTCCTTCGACCCTTCAGTTTTACAATGTCCTGAGAGTGTCCATGGATCAAAAAGAGCAACGAAAACTTTCTAGAACTAAACCAGACTCGAACCTCTGTAAAACTAAATCGACAAACTCAAACCTCCAATTCTCCTTCCAGCAGATGCGTTCTCTGTGACGCTTCTATAGCCTGTCTCCGCAGCTCCGCAGTTTGTGCTTCGTGCTCTTTAGATACGCGGTCTAGGTTCTGTCGTAGTCCTGACAATTGCGATTTTTGGTCTTCTACGACGCCTTCTAGCAACGTCGCTCTCCTTTGAGAGGTCTCCAGTTGTTGCTGTACAACCGTAGAGGCGGTAAGGGACTGGTCTTCTTCCTCGTTTCTGACAGGCAATGAAGTGAAAAGGGACGTGATCCGTGGGTGTCAGTGCGAAGTGACAAAGATTACTAGGGAAATGCTATAAATTTGATTTCTTTGAGCACAACCGTACTTGTTCTATTTCTTGGAAATTGTAATTTTTGACATTGATTACGAGCGTACTTATTCTTATCATTGGGGTACCGCAAAACCAACAACTTGAACGAGCTAAAAAACTTTAACTTTCTACAATGAATACTGCTGAACAATAGTAACAACATCCTTCTCATACACTTTTCCCAGCTCCCGACACTTCCAGAGAACCTCCTTCCTTTCGCTGTAGTTCCATCGACAAAACGTGTGCGAGACACACGTGTTGCTGATGCGACTTGAGCAATGGTGCAAATAGGCGCGCTTTGAAACTAGTGTCCTCTTCTGTCAACTTTAGAGGTAAGACAGCTCCGCGACCACGCTCTGCGTCCCTGCACAACGACACGCAGATCTTCGGTTGTTGCGCATTTCTAGGTCCCGCATACATTGCTTGCTCGAACATCACCTCGGCGCTGGTAGTTAGAAGAGGAAGTGAAAGTGGAAATAGGCACAGCGAGAGAGTGCATTGCATGTGTAACTGCACGTTTATCCGATCCACGGTAGATGAACCAGATGTACATGTACAAGTTGTTTACAAACTGACTCTAGTAATCCCCGAACGGACCACAATTGTAGTGCAGGTGGTACACAATTGTAGTACAATCTACCACCTGCAACCTATTACGTGGCGCCTTAAATGCAAATTCGGAATTGTATCTGCCATGGTGTCCAGTTGGAGCCAAGCGTAGTACAACACCTGATCCGCCAGAAGTGCGCTCATTGGTATCCGCACTTCTCCTGCATAGCGTGCACTTGCCGCGGTGGAAAACAACGGTGCATAAGCACTGCTCACTGCAAAAGCGGGCGTCCGAGATCCTGACGAGGACGACGCACCACCATGCTGAATCCTTCTAGTCGGCGCACCTGGACCAGCATTCGTAAGATTGCTGATGCCTCCTCCCATTGGACGAGCACCTTGTGCAACATTGCTCTTGCCCAAAGATTGCTCTATTTCCGCAACACTCTGTCCTGCCCAAACCTGTACAAACAATGTGGCGTCAACTGGCACCGATTTCACCAGTATTGAGTCTCCGGGAGGACAGAGTTGTTGAGAAGAATTAGAGAACAAGGAAACTCAACAGCACATTAGTAAAGAAACTCAACAGCACATCAGTAAAGGAGAGAGTGCACAGCCCTCTTTTTTTTCTGCAAGGATGAGGCTTGGTTCTGCTTGCTTTGGTGCAGTAGGACTATTCTAATCTCAACTCAGAGCCCCGTGATGGAGGAGAAGACGTACTCAGAGCCGCGTGATGGAGGACCTACCAGTACCACATGGACGAAGTAAATGAATGAGTGAGTGAATAAATGAATGAATGTGCCTAACAAGAGGTGCTAAAACGTCTTTTAATTAAGTCGTCTGGTTGTTTTCAATAGCAACAGAGAAACAGAAACAGACTACTTTTTTTATTACAACTTCCAGGGAAAGTATTGCCTCTAGTGAATGTCAGTCGAGAGATCTCCCTTTCTATCTCTTAATGGAAGAAGAAGGCCCGTTCCCAGAACTTCCACTGGACACACTTTCCGACTGCAAAGACGGACTGGAGACGTGTACTGCAGAGAGGAGTACATCGGCAACGTTCTCCAGAATGACGCTTCGGATTTCGTGGAGCGAAAAGTTGAGATCGACTTTGGCTAGCGTAGGCTCGAAACAGCCTTCGCGGCTGAAGGATAAAGCTTTGAGGAAGTCCATTCTTGCATTCAACGTACTAGCGTTGTGTAGCGTTGTGTAGCGTTGAACCTTATTTGTGCCAGTTCTATTTGTTCTGGTGTGAATTCTAGTTGTCTTTGTGTGCATTCTACTTGTCTTTCTTGTGTTCCAGAGGACAACTGTCGTTCAAGAGAGGACTGTCGTTGAAGATAGAGATACAACACACACTCTTGAGAAGTTCTGTGAGCTACCTTTCTTTTTGGAGAGACAACTTTGTTAAGAGTCTTCGATTTTGCACCTTTGATGGCTGAATAGTATGTTTCAACGGACTTCTAGCAAATTTCAGATTGACATTAAGCAGAGGCAAACTCTCTCTCTATTATTATTATTAATATTTCGCACGCGACCCGACCGCCTCGCACGTTTCACGCCCTCAGGCGTTCCTACCATCCGTCGCTATGGACACCGATGTAAGGGCTCTATGGAGAAAATATGACCGACGTCGTCACCATGGCCATGGCTGCCTTCGCTTCAGTTCAGTGCCATGCCTCTCGCTTCAGCCATGCCTCTCGCTTCAGCAAGGATGCTAGGTGCGTCGAAGTGCATAGAATTGCTTTCTCTCCCAGGTTATTAAGCCTGCAGCGTGAAGGGGTGGAAGGAGCCCTTTCTTGAGGCTAATTCATCCGCTAATTTTTCATCCACCACTACTATTTCGTCTTGTCATGGTAATGCTTGTAAATCTCACATCAAAAGCAATGAAGCTATGCCAGTCAACACGCATAAGATCAAGCGACTCGACGATCTCATGCAGCATAGCAGTGTGGTACAACCACCCTAGTTGTTCACTCCATGCTTCACTATGCAACGTTCATAGCAATGGTTGGTCGTAACCCTAGTTATTAACCTGCTTCACTATGCAACACTCATAGCAAGAGGAAAAATGGAGTTGTCCTCACAAAAACCAAAAGTTGGCACATTTTCAACAATCTACTTACTTACAAGAACAAGCTGCGCGTTACAGGCAGAGAGAGATTTTCTGATAGATATTTTTACCAGTGTATGAATCATTTAGCTATTTTTCAAATTTAATCTTACATCAAAAATTACAATTTTGATATGCGGAAGCGAATCTGTTCATTCGATGGTAAGAACTGACATACGTCTGCATGAGTTGCACATGATAGTACTACATGATTTGTACAAAATACTGCATGATGTGTAACGTGATAATCAAAATTAGAGATTTGAGTAGTTTGTGTACATTTCGATTTGCGGATTCACATTTCAAATGTGTGCATTCAGATTCTTAGAAAAACTTTACAAGTTCCTCCAGCAGCGTGGGCATACACAGTGATAGCCAGGTAGACCTTAGACAAAAAAAGAGCTGACTTCTCTAGAACAACAGATACAGTGATAGATAATGACGATGCTGCACCCAGCAGGGGGTACAATAACGCATCACTATCTACCTAAGACCAGTTTTTCAGTGCTCTTTGTTCTCCCTTCGTTGCTCTTATTAGCTCTTTGTTCTTCCTTGTTGCCCTTACTACCCTGTCAAGCGGCGTAATGGACCTTTTCATTCAATCCTGATATTTGCGGCCACAACTATGTCTTCCCCTAGTTTTCGAGTAGCTGTAAGAACTTTTTTTGTTTTGTATCGACCCCTATAATTCAGATACGACACCAAAGAACCTAATCTCCTCTATTCAGGTACGACAGACCTAACCTCCGCTATTTAGAAACACTTCTCCACGGTTTGTACTACTAGTCGTTATTCCAATAAGCGTCTCTTCACGACTAGCCATTTCTGTACTAGTCCTTTCTGTACTACTAGTAAACATTTCTGTACTAGTCCTTTCTGTACTACTCCTTTCTGTACTACTAGTAGACATTTCTCTACTAGTCCTTTCTGTACTACTCCTTTCTGTACTACTAGTAGACATTTCTGTCCTTCTAGTCCTTTCTTCATCCAGCTACAAGCTGTGTTCCGCCACAGTTTGGAGAAAGCTGGCTGCTGCCTCCTCTTCATCTTAGAATGAGTAGAGAAACTAGGATAGGATAGGAGAAACTCTACAATTTTTGCCTTAGAGAACTCTACAAGATGACTCAAAAATATGACAGAGTCAAGGAAGTCACTCAGACATTTACGTTTTTACAACGAATCTCGCACAAAGATCTGTTCAGCCTACCAAAAGGGCTCAACGAAGTGGAATATACCGCACATCTACCTACCATGTATTATAGTATTACCTAGTACTTAGTGGTGCCTTAAGGTCCCGACTTCTTGCCCTCTTTATCGTTACCCCCTTGATTAGAGCTCAGATGACAAAAAAGCTCAAGGTGACCTTTATCTATTTTTACTACAACTTCTTTCCCTCAGCCGGAGGTGACCCTGCTTCATCTAATAGCGAAGTTAGTATTTCTTGTACTTGTTTAGTGCTGAGAAAGATTATGCAGTGTGAATGGACTGAAATGCACGGGAAAAACGAGAGAAGGCGCAAGTGCATGTCAGGACGAAACAAGCTTTTCTGTTTCGGAACAATGGGCGCACCATAATCCAGGAATCCCACTGGCGCTGAATCCACGATCGCGAATGTTAGAGGTTTCGCCGCGTTCATTTAAACTCCTATTAGCATCTTCTCGTGTACTAGTACATCTTGAGCTTCTCCAGCTCTCCTACAAGTTCTACTAGCTCTAGGGTAGTCTACCTACTTCGTACCTACTTCGTACTGAGCTTGAGCTGTAGCAAAACTACTTGTATGTAGGTCTACAAAAGAAGAACTCAAACAATCTTTCACCATCACAATCAATAATATGCTGGTCTCCTACAAAACAAAAGAAATAAAGAAACGAGGTCAAGTATCAATGACTTGAAACGGAAGAAGACCCAAACCTTTACACTTTCTCAAACAGTATGAACTTGATACTTCAAGCATCAATCTTGTAAGTTTGAGAATCTTAGAGACTTGTCTTCTTATTTCTAAACAAGTATGAGCTTGATACTTGAACGAAATATTTCACTTTCCTTAATTATGCTGTATCAAATATGAACTTGTGATACTTCATGTTGAAAAAATTTCACTTTCCTTAATTGTCCTTCTTTTCGCCATTTTCATCCAGCTCCTCGCCATCGTCTTTCGCATCGTCTTCGTTCGCACTTTTGCCTTCGCCCTCACCCTCTCCATTCTGCGCTGGCGGTTCCTGCTCTGGCTCCATGTCCATGTCCATCGTCACATTAGAGAGCTCATATTCCCGAAGAATACTTTACACCTGCCTACGCAAACGCACTCTAGTACTGTTAAAAAAACTGTCAAAAAGTACATCTAAGTACATGATCATAAGGGCTGGAGCAGGATCAGAAGCAGGCGCGGCCGCCGCTTTATCGCCGCTACAAGAAAAGCAGTCTTCACGCTGTTGGAGAAAGGCCGTTTGCGTCGGCACCTTTTGTTCCGCATCTGTTAAGAGGTTTTCTTAGGTTTAGGGTTTAGGGTTTAGGATTTTTGCTTGGGAACCTTTCCCAATCTTCTAGGGAACTTTTCCCATGATCGTACATAATGTCCATGTCGTTCGTTGTTATCATAACATTATATTATAACCATATCCAAGATAATTCATAGAGGAAACCTGTACAAGATAATCTTAAGAGTATCACAGGAGCTACAACAACATTAGTACCTCGTTCAGTGACGCGGCGATCAGCATCGCCCTTCAAGATCGCTCCATCCACGAGGTGGGTGGAGAGTAGGATAGCGGCAGCAGCAGTAGCTGCTTTGCGTCCCTTTCCAACATGCTTATTTCCTCCCTTCACGGAAGAAGATTTGCGAGCTTTCGGAATGAAGGCCATTTTTGTTGTTCTGCGTGTGGTAAAGTTGTGGTCGTGTGGTAGATTTTTGAGATTCGAGATCTAGTGTCTGACTCTGGACTAGGAGTGTGTTCCTAAAAATGAATCTCTCCTCGTCGTCACTTTTTAGCGGTAGTAGCTAAACAGTCCAAAGGCTGATATCCAGCCTGAATCACCAACTCCTACTTTCTAATGCACTCGGCGTAGGTTGTAGTTTCACAAATAGAAGATGGTCCAAAGTCTCGAATACGAATTACTTCTTTTTTGAAAAGAAGTAACGTAGTTTTAGATGCTCTTCTCCACGGAGGTTCCCCTTCATACGAAATGACTTTCTACAAGTTTCGGTGACTTGTTTTACGATGGTTGTGGCCGCTCTAGGAGAAGGAGGGTGATTGTGGAGGTTAATGGGGATGCGGAGGAGGAGGATTTGGAGTACTGACAGTGATACGATGTGCACCGATTCTTGAGTACCAGACAGACTCGCTCCGGGGACAAGTTGGAAGTATTTTTCCTCAGACAGACTCCGGGTTTGGCATTTTCCTTCGGAAGCGCCTCATACATCATGATTTTGAGCGCCAGAGGACGTAGACTTTTTCAACTCCGTATATTTTTACCCAAGCCGGCTTCATACCCACCAGCAAGTAACCTCCACAACCGTGGTTATGGAAATCATGGTTATGGAAAAATATACTCTGTCTTGCATATTACTACGAGGATTTGCGTGCTGACTGTTGAAGTATTTTTCCTCAGACAGACTTTGGCATTTTGACATTTTCCTTCGGAAGCGCCTCATACATCGTGTGCATAAATTCCGCAAACACGCACTGTATTCCCCCCAAAGGAGTAGGGTACAACGTTCGAGTAATGTGATGAAGTTCCAAAAAACGTCTCAGTTCCTTTTCCATCAACTCTGCGGCTGCGTCTGGTCCTCCATAGAGCTATAATAATGCGTAATGTGGCCGCGTAATGTTCAAGTTCTTTCCTATTATTCTATGGTGCATGTGGCTCGGCTCCACCCACCTCTCTATAACATTGGTGGAGCCAACCTAACTAGAAAAAGCAAAAAAAGGAAAGCATGTACAGTTATAAAAAGCGTTTAGATCATATCATGAATGTGTTTCCTGAAAAGACGGTTGTGGAGGTTACCCCTACTCCCTACCTCCACGTAGCACAAAGCCAAAGTTCGTTGTTGGTGTGTAGTAAAAAAAGGTATCTATAAGTACTAGAAAGTGAAGTAGAACAACTTCGCTTTGCGTTTTTTACGACATCCATGATAGATGATAGTTTGTTCGTTGAGTTGTACAACAGTCTTTAAAACCTAATGGCGCGGTCGTCCATCATCATCATGATCGTACGTCTTTAGCGGTTATTCTCAACCACCGACGAGGATCAGACTCTCACGACAGAACATTTCATCTATTCAAATTTCAGAACGGGCGCAATTCAATAATGTCAAATTTAACAAGTGGTCTACAGTATACCAACCTATGACGAACAATACCAGAGGATCACATCCGCGTAGAGAGAAAGGCACGACCACGACAACATCCACCTTACAGTACCTAGTCAGGGTCGCTCCACAGAAGTTCGGAGATCACACCCACCATAATGTAGTACCTAGTCAGTGTCGTTCTACGTTCATATATTGCGTTATTCTACCAAATCCCCAGTAAGTAGGTTTCTTGCGTCGATCATTGCCGCAACAAAAAATGGTCCATCACCTCAAAGGAGTGCAGAAACAAGTAGTTTGCAATTCCCAAAATGTGCTGAGGGCTTTCAGGGACCAAATTCCTCAGGTTTTTTAAATCCTCACCCTGCCATCTTAAATAGACCTCTCCACCCGCTGTTCTTTCGTAGTCCGCAAAAAGCTCCGTCATCCTTTGCAGTAAGTGAAAGTCCTCGTACTTTCTGCTGTTCATGTCTAGACCAAGAACGGGATCGACTGCCGGCCACCACTTTTTCAGAGCAACAAAAGCAAAGTTCACGTACGAAGCCTCCGGAAGAGGACCTTTTTCTTCGTCTGGAGATCCTCCTGAAGTGGTCCTCTGATACACCTCCTCCATCTCCTGCACATACATCCGCTCCTCCGTAGTATGGAGGAAACTCTTGCTCCCCTCCGAAGGTTTCCAATCTGCCACAACGTCGGATTCATGGTAGGCGCTGGGGACCAGGAGAGGCTCCCCTCGCCTCCTCTTCTCCAGTAAGGCGTACTCTTCTTGCGCAGTCAAGTCCTCGCAAGATTCGGGCACAGGATGATAAGCGTTTATCCTATCCAATGCACTCTTCGGCAAAGTGGCTAGAAGGTTCCTCGTGCGTCGTGATGTCTCCTTTCTACTAGGACCAACTAGTCGCGCAGCAGTATCTTTTGTTTCTGTTTTGACCTCTCCCCTGAAGATTAACTCCTTTTTACTCGGACCTCCGCCTCCCGCAGCTGGTAAGAAGAGTTGCTTCCTTAGCCACACCTTGTGCCAGACAATGGCTTGCTCATACAGCACTTGGGGTAGCAGAATTTGGAACCATTGCCGGATGAGCCAATCGACTGAAGCGTTGGGAAAATCATCCATATACTCACAAGCGAGCCTCTGAAAAACGTGCAACGCAGCCCCTCTCTGTTCTGTTTCCAGTTTCACACGTTCGTAGCCGTTGCGGAAAGTAGGACTTTGATAAAAAGTGACCATGCTGTTCGGCTCCTCTTTGGCAGTAGAAGCAAAATCTTTTGAGACAGTCTCTGCCTCGGAGGTTTCCACCTTCAGATGATCTTTGCCATCTGCAGCTCCACTGGCGACCATAGTACTATCCGAAGCTTGTTTGATGTCACCTTCTCGCGGTGTAAGAACAATTGATGCTTGGAGTTGGCTTGCTTTTTCCTCTGTAAGGGAAGACGAAGAAGCTTTTTCTTCTGCCTTATTGGAGGCTGCTTCCTCGTGCTCTTCCGCTGCTTTTCTGAGTGCTGTTCGCCTGGCGACTTCCGCCAAGATTTTTTTCTTTCGCTCTTCTTCATTCTTTCGCTCTTGGGCTTTGCGTTCATCTAGCTCAATCCGACCATACACATTTAACGCTTGTGGGTCCACACCCATTCCTACTCCCTCAGCCATGATCCTTAGAGCAGTTTTTTCAGATCTTTCTATGCCACTGCTTTGCACCTCCAGTCCGTCCTCAGTCACAAACGTCCCGCTTATACTCCGTCTCGCTTCCAATTCTTCTACTTGCTTCAGCCCTTTGATACGGAGACCACCTTTCGTGGGGAGGACCATACTTCGGGTAGTAGCAGTTGTTGCTTCTTTCGCCCCCCGCACTTGATGATGTTGATCTTTCACGTGAAGCTCTTGGAGTTGACCTTTGCTCATCTTCTGCTCTTTCTTCTTCTTTTTACGGCCGTTGGTTGTACTAGTAGTTGCAGCGCCGCCTGCTTGGCCAAAGACGATTCGATTGTCCCTTTGCATTTGGATCCATTTTTCAGCTACATCGTGCTCCTCATCCCAAATGCCTTCGCCGATCGGGGGACTTCCGAAAAGAGGGTCATGAAAGAACAGACCTCCGTTGCGAAGAATCCTCTTTCTCAAAAAGCCGTCTCCTGTGGTACGTTCCAGTGGCCGCGTCGAGAGACCAGTGTACTTGACGAGGGCCCAAGTAGCTAGGGGCGGTAAAGGACGACCTGAGCCCCTTCCGGATCCAGAGGCTGCAGCTACTGCGTCTCCATTCCACGACGTTGCCGAGGAGAACCACCAGGTAGATGTTGGCGGTAAAGGCGCAATCATCTTACCCGCGGCGCCATAATAGGGATTCGGTATCTTCCGATACGCGTTCTCTGATCTTAGAGTCTTGCGTCTAGTATCCTTTATTATCAATTGTGGTAGACCCCTAACTGAGAAAGAAAGTTTACTAATCAGTAGACGGCTCTTGAAAGACCGAGTCTTCCATGATCTTCTGTATCAAAGATCAGTAGATGGGCGAAAGACCTCCAAAGATCTGTATTGATTTTGGATTGCTCCCGTGTGATAGTACAACTAGCTTGACAACTACCTAAGAAGTTACTCAAAGAACATTATTCAAAAAAGCTCAAGTGCGTAGTTCATCGTCAACATAAAAATTGTGATAGCAGCTGTTGTCCGCCACCGCCTCCTGAACGTCCTGCTCCTCTGACAGCGGGACCACCCTCCTCCAGTTTTTTTTTCTCCTCCAGTTTTTTAATGGTGGTCTCCGTTGCCTGATGTAAGCGGACGATCTGGCGAATGTTCCCGAGCTCGTTTTCAAACTGACGGCGTGCCCAAATGAAGGCAACGCGACTGCAAAAGAGCTGCTCTAGGTCCATTATTAGAGCGCGAAGCATTTCCCATTTCTTTCCTTCATTTCTGCAGATGAATCCCAAGAAGGAAACAGCGAGAAATGACCTAGTAGACCTCCTGGAGAAATGAGATATATATGTACAAGAAACCGGGGTCGCCCCTTGGGCGACCCCTCCTTGATAGCAGCACAGTCACAGGCACAGAGTAGAAACATAAGAGAAAGCAAAAAAAAAAAGGACTGAGGCACGGAGCGCCCGCCCCTTGGCCTTGGCGGCTGCCGTCGAGATGATGGAGAAGAACAAAGACCGAAGCAACCCACGGAACCCAGAACCCTGGCGCGCGGAATCAATTAGGCACGCCACGCCAATGAGACAGGCCCGGCGGACATTCATGCGTGCGCGGGGGCGGGCCGGAGGTGTTGCCAATGCCGTAAGGTGCGCCCGACGTCGGTGAGCCCTCCCAAGCCCGCGCGCCCTGCTCGTCTTGTTCGCTGGTCCCGCTCAGCTTGCCCAGGCAGTTTGGCCGGGGCCAGCTTTGGCCGCTCAAGCCTCTCCGGTTTGAGCTGCCCGCGTTCTCGCCTAGGGCTAGCTGACTGCCCTCGGGTTTGTTCTTTGGCTCAACGAGCGGGGGCTGCCCATCGATCCCGCCTCGGCCCCCAAAGTGCCCCACGACCTCCCCAAACGCAGCACGACCGACCTCTCCAAACACAGCGCGACCTCCCAAACACAGCGCGACCCCTTAAGCACCGCACGGCCCCAAGCTACAACGTGGCCACGCAGTCGCAGCGCGTCCCCCAAGCAACACACGAAGCACCAAAGACACCACGGCCCCCCAAACTTATTAACACACCACGACCACCAAGAAGACACAGCGCGACCCTCCAGGCAACCCACTACGGCCCCCAGAAGACAATATGAGCACGAGCATAGGGGCACAGCATGACCCCCCGCGCAAATTACTACAGACCGCCAGCCCCCAAAAGACAAAGGAAGCAACCCCGCAGACAACACGCAGCCCCTGGGCTATGACATGACCCGCCCCCTAAAAAAAAGAGCAAAACCGCAAGAGGCACCGCGACCCCCTTGCGGCACCCCCTGACCCCAAACCCCCAAAGGCACTGCATGGCAAACCATAAAACTGAGCACGGCCCCAAAGGCACGGCGTGACCCCCGGGCACAGTCAGCATAGACCCACAAAGGGACACATGGCCGGACGTGAGGCATGACAACCAAGACACACCAGCACGACCGCCAAAGAGACAGCGCGACGAACTTCCAAAACAACACAGCACCCCCAAAACAGCACGGACCCCAAAACACAGCAAGACCCCGAAGGGCACAGCACTACCACCCCGAACACACCGCGGCGACGAGGACGACTAAGACACCCCACGACCCCAAAGGACCACCGTGACCCCCCGACGCTGTAACTTATGGAGACCTCTCGCCCCTACATCATAAGGCCCCGCATGACCGCGCACCATCCAAAGCGCAGCCGCCTGGCCACGCACCAAAACGCAGCACGACGGACCCCAGAAGCACAGCGCCAAGCCTACCAAGGCCCACCATGACCCCCCTCAACTCATTGCGACCAAATGGACGCAGCACGCGGCGACACCACTGAAAAAAGGAAGCCAAGCCACAAAAGGAGAAGCAAAAGCCTGGCCCCCATTTTAAAGGCACAGCGTGACCTCCTCCAAAACAAAGAGCAGCGCGCAGCCCCCAAGGCACCACGATCCCACACCCATACGGAAGACGGACCGTGGCCCTTGAAACACACCACGCGCACCCTGACGCCGCGCGGCCTTCTTAACTCACTGCAAAACACAGCCCGCCCCGCTGCCGTAGCTGCAGCATCCGCATGCCTTCCGAGACATTGCTTGCCTGCCCCCCTGGGAACGAATTGGCCCCCCCTGCACCCACAGGCAGCAGCCACCACCCCCCGAGCACCACCCAAGCAAGACGCCAAGCACAAAGTGACCCACGAGAAACAGACCACAACGACGACCCTCCAACGCATCGCCATCGACTCCCAAAAAAACGCCACGGCGTGACCTGCCTGCAGCATCTACATGACCGCAAAGGGATTCAGCTGCCTCCTCAACGCGCAGCCTCGAGAAACGACATAACTACCCCAAGGCAAGCACTGCCGCCAGCATGGACGCCAAGCCCTCACTCGGTGGCCCCCAAGTCGCACCGCGATCCTTGAAGACCACCGCGGCCAGATAGTCACAACCACACAACGCGCGCCCCCAAGGCGAAACATGGATGGCGACCCCCTGAACACACCACGACGACCACCAAAGCGCGCCGCGCTTCCCCTGACGCTGACACACCACGACCCGCCAAGCATGCCGCAGCCACTCAGACACAGCGGGGCCCCTTAGTAGAATCGCGGCCGCCTGGGGGCACTGCGTTCGCGTTGCGCTTAAAACACCACGCGGCCCCTCAAGATCTGCATGACTGTGAGCACGCGCCGCGGCCGTGCATCCCTCCAAGCTCCTCGCGACGCGATCTTCCTCCAGCGAGCCACCCACGCACCCCCCCCCCGCACTTCGCGACCCCTCAAAACTGCAGGAATACGCGCGGCCTCTGCAGAAAAGTGAGAGGCTGCCCACGGCCACGGCGCCGCAAGCACAGCGCAGCTAAATGGACACCACTGCCCCCGCCAGACCCCCCCGACACAACGCGGACAGCACCCAAGATGCCACGCAACCCACCAGGCAGCGCGCGACCTCCTATAGCGCCGCAGCGCAACGAACCCCCCAAGCGCTGCACAGTCCAAAAAACAAAGCCGGACCCCCTGAGCAGGCACAGCGTGAACCTTTGGGCATTATGTACGTAGCAAGCCCCCCAAGCACAGCACAACCCCCCGAAGCCCAAGGGGCACCGCGCGACCCCCCACACATGAGGGGACCCCAGACACCACATGACCTGCCAGGCACGCCACGGCCCTCCAGACACACAAACGAACCCAACCCCCGGCAGGCACGTGCCACGACTAAAAAGGCAGGCCGCGACTCCTTAAACGCCGAGCGACCCCCGCAAAAACACCACGAACGACCACCCCAGACACACCACACCCCCCCCGAACACAGATCGACGCCGCGACCTCTCACCGCGCTCTGGCTCCCCGACGCATGCAAGGACCCCCCCGCGAAAACGTGGCCAATATGGCGCAGAAAGGCGCCCCAAGCGCACCACGAACCCCAAACATTGACCGACGCCCCGACCTCTAAAAAAACGCGCCACAGCCTTCCAAGATTGCCACGGCTTAGCCTACCCACGTAACATGGCCCGCCCCTGGGGCGCAGCTTGGCCAAAGCCAATCCTCCCGGAGCAGCACGAGCACACCCCCGAAAAAGACACAACCAGACCCCCCAACCAAGCACCGCATGGCCGCGCCCCTCTCTAACACCATACGGCTGGACCTCTGGGGCACCGTATGAGCTCAAGCCCCAAAGCTACAGCATGGCCCCACAAAGACAAAGCAAACACGCCACCGCCCCGGAAAGATGGGGAGCAGCGTGGACCCCCGAAAAAACGGGCACGGCGCGAACCCGAAAGCCCAGGGCCTTGGGCTGTTTCTCTTTCTCATATGGATGCAGCCAGCGCCTTCAAAATAAGAAAGAGCAAGAAGACCCACCGCGCGGGGCTTAAAATCAAGAAGCCCGCGGAGCTTGCGAAGGCGCTCCCCATCGGCTGCCGGGCTTTCTTGCGGTTTTCTTCTCAGAGTCAGACAGAGAGACATGACGGGGCCAGCCTCTAAGGCTGGCACTTTTCACAGCTTCTTCCTCGCGTTGTCGGTTGCGACCGGGCGCAGGGGGCCCGAGGGGGTTGCCCGGGCGGGCCGGGAGTTGGGCGCCGCGTTTCGATCTTGGTGAGATTGCCCGCCCGCGGACTCCTCCAGCCGCATTCTCCTCGGGGGGTGTCCAGATCCGCGAGGAGCTAGCCGCGCGCCTACAGCTATGGCCTCCCACCCGCGTGGCTGGCTCTTACATTCGGCGCCTTTTCGGCTTTGTGCCACGAAAATCATCAAGCAGGCGGGAAGTTGTGAAGGCGTTGCCAGCAGGTTGGCCCCCCTTCCCCTCGCTCGCAACCTCCGCACACACACTCCCAAGGGGGAGCTGCGAAACGCTAGCCCCCTACTGTGGTGCCGGTTTTTCTCCAGTTTTCGCCGAGGTTCTCAAGCGTCGCCGCGCCTGATCTGGCGCGGAAGTTGGACAGGGGTCGCCCGCCCCCCTGCCCCCGCCTCCCCTTCTTCCCCCGGCCATCCCTCAAAAAACCCGGCTGAGACTCTTTGGACCATTTGGACAGGCGCAGGGGTTGGACAGTGGTGGCCCCCCTCCCCCCTCTTGAAAATATCGAAGGCAGTGGAAGTAGTTCGCGGAGTATGAGTCTCAAGCACGGGGTGGAGCTCTTTGAAGTTTGCTCCTCTTGCAGGGTTGTCGCGCGTGTTTGTTGAGTGTCGGGGGGGAATGTGTCGGGGGGAGTAGCGCCGGGGACTTGCGACCGGGTTTAGGAGAAGTGGCTTCAAGCTTGCGGTCTCGCGAAGAGGGTCGCGCAGGGGTCGGACAGGCACAGGGGTTGGACAGGGGTCGGACAGGGGTTGGCCAGGGGTTGGACAGGGGTTGGCCCCCCCTACCCCCCCCCCTAGGACCCCCCCTTCTCCCCCCGATAATCCCTCGAAAAACCTCTCCGAAATCTTTTGACCATTATTACTTTTTTAATGAAGAGCTTCAAATCCAGAAATATGATATTAAATACTGAGCCTTAACATTAGGTAGTCATCCACATGAGCTTTCTCCCCACCGCCTAAAGCTGCAACATCCTCCCACGCGATCGGAAAGATAGCGTTGCTACATTTCAAGTTTAACGCATCGGCAAAATTAGAGGGGTAATCACTACGAGCTGCTAGAACGACATCTTGATAAGTGAACAAGCCAACGCCTTCGTAGATATATAAGTCGAACCCACTGTGCTCTAGATCTTGAGGACCTAGAAGATTTAGATTTAGAGATGACTATTCGTCATGTGATGTCTAGCAGTATCTTCCTCCGTAACCAACCCTTCATCTGATACATCCGCTGTGCCATGCAACTTCATGTCCATAGGAGAGAGCCAATTTTTCAACGTTTTAGGAGGAACAATGCCTCTCTCGGTGAGAGAAGTATCATCTGACGCAAAAAATTGCTGCTGCTGCTGCTGAAGACTTCCTCCACCGGGAGTTTCCTTTGTTTGAGGAAGCGACGTTCTTGTTGTCGAAGCTGTAGGATCTGAAGAAGACGACTCAGAAGATGTAGATGCCGTAGATGCAGATAACAGCACATCTTTCTTGGTCTTGGCCTTCGCGGTCCTTCCAGCTTTCTTCGCAGCTATGAGTTCCCGCAACGTTCGACGATTTCCCCACTGTTCAGCCTGTCTAGCCAGAGAACAGTTCGAGTCTCCACGCCAGGCATGCATGCTCTGATGCGCTCGAACCGGACTCACCACAAGGCCTCGGTCCTCCGCTTCTTGCCGCAGCCGTGCGCAATTCGATCGTTCCTTCTTGCGCTCTTTTTCCTCTTGTTGAAGAGCGTCTCGTCTCTTTCGCCGTTCTGACTCGGCTACCTGCTTCAGATGCAAGTCCAATTCGGCAGAAAATGATAGCTCCATCTCCTCCTGCAGCTGGGCAGCTTGCAGTTCATCAGCGGCCGCCTCTTTCTGAGCAGGATTCCATGCTGACGAGGTCTCCGCTTCAAGCGGTTTGTCCTCGTGGATCACAGGGGCAGAGGAAGTTGCCGTCCTCAAAGCACCACCTCCTTGTGCTCGAACATGTTCTTGCAACAGAGCACTGTTGGAAGCGAAGTGATTGGCCTCGTCCAGGATAGTCGATAGATTCGTTTGCCCTTGAAGGTGGTCGCCACAATCTTCATCCTCCTCATCCTGTTGGTACCCTTGTAGGAGGTCTCCACGAACACCACTAGAAGTTGTAGAGCCACTAGGAGTTGATGAAGCAAACGGGTTAGAAGACTGCTGCTGCCGTGAAAGTGCTGACTCGACGACGCAGCTTCTTCGCGAGCCAGGTACAGGCGAAGGTGTCGAATTTGCCAAAGAGGAAGACCAAATGGAGGTCCCGCCGGTTACACAAGTGGTCGTGCTGCTGCATCTACTTAGGAGCTCTTGCTCTGAGCCATCGAGGGCATGCTCTTGCTCTTCATCACCCCCCATAGTTGATAACGACGCTGCAGAGCCGGGCGAAGGCAAAAGTGCTTGGTTGGGCCTACGTGGTTGTGGTTGCTGTACAGCGACATCTCCTGCGTCTTCTTCTTGCTGATGTTTGAGCTTTTGCTCGACTTCCCTTTGAAACTGTTCCCTCTTCCGATTCGAGAAAGTCTCATCGAAGCGGTCTTGCACATAGCGGAAGAGATCCCTGGCGAAAACAAGATTCGGAAGTAAATCTAGAAACCGCCTATCAGCAAAAGCGTGGCTCTCGTCGGAAACGACTCGGCCATTGCGGGCGACGCGAGTTTGCTTCGCTGCTGCTGCTGCTGCATTGCCTGCTCCGGATGGATAAGCAGCACCACTGGCAGCAGCTGCGTTCGCAATAGTAGAGCCGAATAAGATGTAAGGACAATTGTCTGGGTTTTCCAGAAAGTCTTGTCTTGCCTTCGCGCAGCTCACGCCTGCTTTCATCAGCAGGTAGGCGGACCACATTCCGCTCTTTTCCAGTAATTTCCGGAACAAAGGAAAGCTAGAACGAGGAAACGGCACATGCGAAAAAAGCGATCCTGGTGCCGGTGTCGTTGCACTTGCAGCGGGAGCATCTTCAAGGTGAAAATAGTCGTCGAAAACTTCTCCAACCAGCAGTTGTTCCTCCTCTTCGCTTTCTGCAAATGCGTACCACCAATTGGCACTTTTCGAAACCGTGTCTTCCAAGGTCCTCAGTTTTAGCTCCAACGAGGTTTTCCCCTTTGCGCCACAAGAAATATCCGGAACGGGAAAGAAGTGTTCTTTCAACACATCGTCCAGACTTCTAGCGGAGGTGTGACACGCCTCCTGGATGGAGCCCGCCTGCCAGGCACAGCGGGAGACATTCGTGAAAACGTCTCCTGCACTGACAAGCTGAACAAGAAAGTGTTGAAATATTAGTAGAGGCACTATTATAGATCTTCCGTAAAGAGGACTACATATGGAACAAAGAGGAACCCCTACGAAGTGAACTGCTCGTCCAGTACGAATAAATCGCAAGAACATAATGTTCTTGTGGTCCCTTTTCCGAAGTGCTCGTCCCCAATGCCGCAACATCTTGTCCCTTTTCTCGTTGATGTATTACACAAAGACGTGGCTACTTATTGTTAGTAGTAGTAGTGGGAGTAGTAGTGACGCGACCCAGTCGCGGGATATAACGTGGAGTCTGTGCTCGGAACAACAGTGCCTACACAATGGACACACCTTAAAGCCGAGACACTAGATAAATCTTGAGGCAGCCAGCAAGTGAGCAGGTAGACCTTAGACAAAAAAAGAAGAGATCCTAGGATCTTAAAAAAGAGAATTTTTTAGTGATAGTGGGTAAGATAATTTTTCAGGGGTATCAATAAAATATTCATCAATCAAAAAGTCATAAGAGATCGATGAAATATTTCAAAGCTTAGGGTAGTTCAAAAGAATTCTAGTATGGAGAAGAATAGCAGATGCAATTCATTTAGATTCCCATATCGTGTACGCAATTCATTCAGATTTTGATATTTTGAGACAGCGTATGATACCACGTTGCGCTATTCGGTAAGAGTTTGCGCATTGGGTTAAAATTTCAATCATAAGAACGAGTCACTCAGTCAACGTTTCCCTAGTAGGTCTTGTACCTATAGGGGTTCGTCGAGAATGACAAATAGATTTGTTGTATGCTTGACAAGGCACGAATGATTATGTGACTAGTGAAGACTAGTGTGTGTTAAAAAGTAACGGCGTCATACGAAGTTATTCGTATTTCAAAGGGTCGTGTAAAAAATGCGACGGAAATTCTTTGCAAATTCGATGTTAGGTCCAGTGTTCAAGTTGTCTGAATAAACAAAAGTCTAGTTCTTGTCCATGTATAAGGAATAATTCTCTAGCACAAGAGGCTAGCACAACAAGCTTCAAAGACGAAGACGAAGTTTCCTCACACTGTACACCCAAATACATGCAATGAAAATTATAGAAATATTGATTACGGAAAATTATTTATCATAATGATGAGAGTGTATCATGGCAACTACTCAAGGGAAAGTTAGGAATCTACTTCAAAAACGTGAACTCACTTTGAGCAGTTGAAGTCGAGTGCTCCAATGTAATATTTCTGAAGATCGTGCACTAGCAATATTTTTGATCTCCTAGTAGAAGAACATGTCGAAACAACCTTGACTTGCATCACTAGTAGTGATATTTGGTCCTTTTGGTTCTGTGGATCTCTTTCATGTTCTACTTGTGGAGCTCTTTTATGTTCTTGGATCTCTTTCATGTTCTTGTGGATCTCCTACTTGTGGATTTCTTTTTAGGAGGACTATAGGATTTTCACTGCTTTTACGGGACCTCTTTCGGATCGTCTCGCTACCTTAAAAATCCTCGTCTCTCTACCTTTCAAAACCTCGTCTGTCTACCTTTCAAATCCTCGTCTCTCTACCTTTCAAAACCTCGTCTGTCTACCTTTCAAAACCTCGTCTCTCTACCTTTCAAAACCTCGCCTCTCTACCTTTCAAAACCTCGTCTGTCTACCTTTCAAAACCTCGTCTCTCTACCTTTCAAAACCTCGTCTGTCTACCTTACAAAACCTCGTCTGTCCACCTTTCAAATCCTCGTCTCTCGAGACACCTTGAAGTCGCTGCATCAAATAGTAACCTACAAAAAGAAAAATATTGAAGAGAGATGTGAAAGCGCAAGGCGCGAGAAAACGTTGGGAAAGAAAGGTGCGGGGAAACATTCAGGCGCAAGGGAAAAGTCAAAGCAGCACTGCTCTTGTAATCAAATCTAGGAAGGAAGGCTGTGCCAACTCTCATGACATCCCAATGTTGGCAAAACCTGCTCCTTTACTTCAGAGTTCGTTCATTCTCATTCAGCTACTCCCGTCATATGGAATGTCCCCCGTCTTACTTCACGGTTCGTTCTGCCGCTATATGGAATGTCCCATAAAACCACTCCTTTAATTGTTCCACAAACTGGGCGTTGCTCAACACTAGTTCGCCTTCGTAACGCGGATGCCGCTTTCCTCTCATATACTGAATAACCCGATCCACGTACTCATCCGTTTGGCGTCTGTCTTGGTGACGCTGGGATTAGAACAATAAACTACTAAGAATAGCCCCTTCCTTTGCTGAAAAGATTAGAACAACAATCGAGGTGTCCTCACGGATACTAGTTGGGCAATATTCTGGTACCTGGTGCTGGAAAAGGTTAGAGGACTGTGAAGAGCAAAAACACGACTAAAACAGAGTAGGAACCCAACTCAAACAGTAGTCTAAGAAAAAAAATTAAGATCATAACTAGCATACAGCTCAGGCGGAATGACTGCTTTATCAGGGTGCCTCTCGAGTAAAAAGAGCAATGCCGCACAGAGGCAAGCACCTGACCTGTTGATTCCCTGCCGGCAGTTAATGAGAATTCGAGTACTAGTGGTCCCTCCAGTGCTTGACGTGGTCTCTAGATTGCCTTCGTGGCCTCGTTGCGCCTGGGCCTGCTCTTCGTGCTGCTCGTGCCTTTCCAGGGTCTTATCTTCTTGTGCCGCCTGGTCCTGCGCCTTTGGGTCTACAAATGAAGGTCCCTTCTCTCCTATTTGCGCTTCGATGTCTACAAAGGCTTCAGCATGATCGGCCAACGACGACTTTTCACACACCTGGGCCAACGATGGTTTAGACACCTGTCCCACTAACGAAGGAGGTTTTCGGCCTTGTGGTCCTTTTGCAACAACAACCGCCAGTTTTATTGCTTCTTCCACTCTTTTGATCACTGGCGCGAAAAAAGGAACAATGTCAAAGTTCGAGTGGTCGTGTGCATATATCTCCAAATAATCGTCAACGCCGAAGAAGTAAAGATAGAAGTCTCTTGGCCCCCCTTTTGCGTACAGGTCCACATACGCTCTGGCCGCCTCGTGGATATCAGGCGGTTGTCCTCCTTTATGTTTATTCGAGGACCAATGTTTCCGAAGATACTCGACAACTCGTGGAGGCAACAGATTGTTCGACGCCCTCGTGGGTGACCCCTTCGAAAATAAAGAAGTGGCGGCATAAGAAGCAGCGTTGAGCTGGCCACGCTTAACGTCTTCTGACGAGGACAGCGCTGGAGTAGCAGAATCAGCCGTACCAGGAGACGAGGACACTCCCCGAGAAGAAGTAGAGGTCGCCCTCGCTTGAGTAACAACAGGTGGATCGTCCTCTAATGACAGTGCTCTAAAATGAGCTCGAATAGCCGGATCGTCTAGGAGGGTTTGGGCTTCACTTTTTGCCGCGTACTTGTCAGCTGGACAGCAGTTGATGATCACGACACGACAATCATCTTCTTTTGCTCGCGTTAAAAAACAGGGAGTGTTAGACTGGTGGGGGCGTTAGAATTAGAAATAAGAAGATGGATCCTCTTTTATTTTAGACACTAGCGTTTTTAGAATAGCAATACTGCTTCTCGGTGAAGGTCGAAAGTCTAACAATATGTGGGCGATCGGCAGCTCAGAGTGCGCGCGATATCAACGATTCCCAGTGATCCAAAGCTTAAGATTCAGAGCTCCGGCAATCCCAGTCAAATACAGCTCCAGTGCGGCTCCTGCGTCCGATGTGTCATTCTTTCCTGAAACGATACGGCGATAAATCAAATCACAATTCATCCTGATTCCTCACCAATCAAACTGTAGTACTTTTTGATAATGTTTCGAATACTAACTTGGCTGCCCTTCTTTAATCGCGCTCGCGCACTGTTTTGAATTTGATTGCTTGTCAAAGTTCCCCAACGTTGAAAATAAAAATCGATGACGCTCCACCTCGCTGCGCTCATTTTTCATTGTCGTGGACCTGTAAGAAATATCTTTGGATCCATCTACCAAATCGATTTTTTTTCTCATCAGAGGCCTCGTCTTGATTCTGATTGTGGGTGCCATTCAAAGAAGAATATGACTTGTTCAAATAAGTGAACAAAAAAAATACCGCGTGAAGGTCGTGGCGAGCAACCTGGAAATGCCTTGTTGAAGGGGCTGCGCGCTGCCGCAATCGCTAGAAATCATCGTCAATGAGCTGAAGCCAAAAGTCACAACTTTCTTCAAATCTATCAGCAGTAAGCGTAAGGTCGTCAAAAAGGGACTGGAGATAATACCATGACAGCACTGATAACCTTCTAGTACGAAGAGCATACACGGAGCACGGGACCTCTTCATAATACGAAGAGCGCCGCGCCAGAGCATACCCGGGATCTCTCTCTACAAGACTGGTTCCAGGCATAGGATGCCACTCTTGAAGCGAGCAAGAATATCACATACCCTAAGTCTACTCTCTCCGACCTCGCGAAACTCTTAAGCGAAACCGTTAAGGGACAGTGGCACTTCTGGGCCGTTTTCGACATTTTGCCGCTTTTCTTCACAGTTTGGCACGCCAGTCCCTAGATCGCGAGGCCAGTCCGTCTCCCTCCTCTTCCCATTTCCTTATTGGTTTCGCCTGTGTCTTTCCGGGCTCTGTTCAGATGCTTCCGCCATTCTCTTATCGGTTTCGCCGCTCGCTCGGCGTACCCGACTCCTCTGCAATCCCTCCGGCTACAGATACAAACCGAATGAGACGACAGGCGACACCATGAGACATTGGCTCGCCCTCCTTTTTAAGAGTCCGGGGCATCATTACAGGCAAAGGCTAGCCCTGCGCGCCTGTAGCTCTCAGAAGGGCGCCCGGTATAGGTAGCACACGCACACGAAGAGAGCCAAGGGGGTAACTTCAATCGCGGACGTCTTTCGGTAAGACCGCAGAAGCTTGGCAAGACGCCCCGTCTGGCGCATCGGCCGCCAGCGGGGCGGTAGGGCATGCCTTAGTTCTTCAGTTACACGGGCGACAGTTTGTCTGACGCATCCCCCCTCCTCCCGTTGTACCCCGCCCCCCCTGTACAAGGTTACACGGTTGGGCACAGTCCGGAGGCGCACTCTTCGGCGCAGGCTCGTTATAGGGACTCAGAGTCGCGCAAACGCTCAACCTTGTACAAGGGGGGCGGGGGGCGAGATGGTCACGCATTGCCCCCTCGTCCCTGGCGGCCTACGGCCGCCAGAGGGACGACGCGCCAAGCTGCGCTGGTTGGCGCTGGTGGGCGCGTGGTCGCGTGGTGTGCGCCGCATAATCCAGCGCGAACAGCCCAGCAGGGCAACCCTCTGCCCCCTCGTCCCTGGC